GGGTATGTTTTCGTATACGCAGGGGATGGGAAGTTTGTTAGATAAGTTTTTAAAACATAAATTCACCTTTACTTCTTAACTTGTTTAAATACAACGATCTCGCTTATTAAATTATTTTGTTTTGGCTGATTTCGATACGTATTCATAAAAGTTTTGACTAGTTTGGTAATGTGGATTTGTTTTTAAAGAAAATTAATTTAATCTTACGAGCGTAGCAATTATTTTACTGGCAGTGATTAATTCCGGAATGGTGAGTGGGATAATCGCTATTACAATACCATTGGGACTTCAATCTCGTGGCTCAAGGTGGCTGTGACACCATAGACGCCGGTATCTATAGTGTCCAATTAAATAATCAACTAACAACTGACGTCGTTGTGGCTTAAAGGATAAGACGTCCGGTGCTTTCGTATCTAGCGACGCATCGGTGTTGGAATCCCGCAGACGAGTATAATTTTTTCTAATTAAATACGTCCTTAAGAAATGTTCGGATTGACTTCCACGGTGAAAGAATAACATCGTGTAATAAATATCAAACCCGCAAAATAATAATTTGCGTAATTACTGGTGGTAGATCGTCTTGTGAGGCCGCACGAGTAGGGGTACCAACACTGCCTATTTCTGCCGTGAACTAGCAATGCGTTTCGGTTTGAAGGGCGGGGCAGCCGTTGTACTGTGAAAATTGAAACCTAAGAACACATATCTCAAGGTGTGTGAGGGCATTTACGTTGTAGATGTCTATGGGCTCCGGTAACCATTCAACACCAAGTAAGCCGAGAGCTCTTCAGTAGATAGCATAAAAAAAAAAATACTCAATTATATTACTCATTTAAAATGTTCGAAATCAATAAAAAGAAGATTAAATTATGTGGGTCACGGGTCATCGGCACCTCTCCTACAATCTTTTTAATTCCGTCAAACGCTGTACACTAATCGTTCCTCTTATCTTAATTAGACGACAACCTTGGAAGCAGACTTGTATTTTAAATTTGATGATACCATTATTTTGTTGAAGTGTGTATATTATGGTTTTATTTGTGTCCCAAAACGTCCGCGGCCCTGAATGACGTCTATTTTATCATTAAGGTATGTTAGTTTCTACTTCAAATAATAGTAATATCAACAAGATCTCTGAGATTATTTTCAATTCAGTTATTTTAGATATCGCTACACAACTTATGATATGAAATAGAATTTTCAAAGGTATGTAGATTCTTGTAGAACCTATTTTGTAGGAATTGTGTTAAACTTATTACTTTATCGGTACGAATGGACTCAATATAGGAATAAACAGGTAAAAGAGAAAAAATAGCTTAAATTATGAGAAAGATTCAATTGGTACACAAATTGTTAATCGATAAATGTATTTAAAGGCTTTGCTTTCGCCTTCTATTTTATAGGAAACAAATGAAGAATTATTATTCTTTTAATTTTTTTTTCACGGACGCTATATTTTAATTAATTACCTTTGAAATCATATCACTCTCATAACTCCGAAAGATACAATATGATAAAACGCCTCAAAATAGGCTGTAGATCGTGCTAAAGAATTAGAAATACATACATAATATATAAGCTGGGGAAACTTTACCCTCGTTCAGTAGTCCAGTGATGAAGTCAATTTCACTCGTATTATTTATTATAACGACCTCTAGTTTTGCATAGCAAATTCTCAGTTAATATTGCCACACTCCATGTAACGCAACCCGGCTTAGGGATCTTAACCTTATGCCTGACCTTCTCCTAATTGGGTACAACGTACAGCCAGTAGGGCCTCTAGTTTCTCATAACCGGATATTATTTCCGGTCTGTAGATTTTCATAAAGATATTATACGTCAGGCGATGCAGTAATTTATACCTACTTAACTACCTGCCTCCAATGTGCCAAATTTTCAATATCGGAATCGTTAGAAAAGCAAAGGCATGTTCTGAAATAATTTATTCTGGTCACAGCAGTGGGATACTTTATGTTTGGACTTATGTTTTATGAAGCATAAGTTCGGCCTCGCAGGGAGTATCCGATCTCTTCTAGGGGCTCCTTACAAGATAGGTGCATTCGAATTGTGGATAATGCTCACCTCAAATATCGTTTGGTAATTTAGTGTCTACGGAGAGACTATATACAGATCGTTGGTGTTTTTTAATGCATGTTCTATGAAAACCACTCTGAAGTAATGTTTGAGATTTTAATTTCCCGTCGTTCTTTTATTACACTTCCTCCCATCGGAATTGAGCTCATCGTTGATACAAAGAATCACTGCGATCATCTCAGTGCGATTCCAGGGATATTTTCCACACATTATCTGACTGCAATGAAATTTCCTCTACGACTAAGTATGTAATGCGGAAAGTTCATAGTCAGAAACATCCGAAGATGTAGTTTTCTCTAAGGTTCTGGTAGAAATTGCAGATTAAGATTTTGGTAGGACTGTGTGAAATAGAAAACGAGTATAGATACTAATTAAACAATAACACACTATTCGAAGCGAAACACAACAGCGATTCACTCTTTATTTGAATTTTTGCGATAGACCGCACTACACTTTTCGCGCGATCGTTCTGACACTGACGTCTCTGAAATGCTCTAATTTAAGAGGTTCACAAAAATGCCACTCCACTCGACTAAATTACGGCAAAAGGGGAGAAACTAAGTCCCCATTTCTATTTTGTAGTCTTCATTAATAGATGAAACGTTATGTTCTAACAATTCGGTTCTTGCGGTACATTTGTTTTTGGAGATTTTAATAACAAAATATTCAGAAAAGCGTCTGTAAAAAAAATTGTACAGTTACAAATGAGTCGACTATTATCAAAGCCGGCAATATGACTTTTGGACAATTATTGGTAAATCAGAAAAACGAATTATTGACTTTGTATTCTATTGGCAGTCACAAAACTCTTCTGAACGACATTTTAGATAAATAACAGGTTAAGTATTAACCTTTATTTAATGCAGGTTTTGAACCGTATNCTATTGGCAGTCACAAAACTCTTCTGAACGACATTTTAGATAAATAACAGGTTAAGTATTAACCTTTATTTAATGCAGGTTTTGAACCGTATTCTTTGAAGGAGACGATTATATTCAAATCAATCTGTATTGACATATCAATAACATTTTTTTGTCCAAATGCACAGATTGCCACCTTTGATAATAGACGACTCAAATAACAGTGCCGGTAGTAATTATTCGAGAAAGGACAAAATGTGTTTACTTTGTCTATCTCGACGTTCCTATACATCGTGATCGTATTTGTGAAAACTAAACAAATTCACGGTCTACGTTTAATATGGAAGTTGGAAAGTAAACCTATTTATACGTTACGTTTTTTTTTTTTTTTTTTCGTTACGCTGAGTTTGTCCAATTCCTCGATGGCCTCGATGAAGTGAATTGAACAACAAATCAATTTATAACTCAATTGAACACACATACTGGCGAGAAGGAATCTAACCTGTGTGCTTAGTGCTAGTTTTTTAACTTCTCGATCGCGTAAAAGTTAATTCAAAATTGTATGGAGTTGGAACAGCGCCCCTAGCGGCAAACGAAAGGAAACTGTTCCAACTCCATACAAATTTGAGTAAGCACACAGTTCGTCTGTATATCAACAGCGAGCCTAAGCTAAACAAACTTACGTGCAAATAATCAGTCAGTTATTTTATTTGGAACCCGGTAGATTTTGCCTATTATCGCCGCAAAACATTGCATTCCTGTTTGAAGGGTGGGACAACCGTTATACAATACACTTTAGTCTTCGACCTCATGTCTCACACAACGTAATTTGTGACAAGTACCGAGATAAGCATAAATTATTTCTTGAATTGTCCAACCAGCATCTGCATTGATTTTGATCTCTGTGAGAAAGGTTAATATTGACAGTAAATCTATGCGTTATTCGAGATCGGCTTTTTTAACTGTTACAAATTGTCCCTTATTGTTATGTCTCGTTACATTTTCATTTAACAGATAAATTTATACCGTACCTCAGAAATAATAAAGTTCAAATAAAAAAAATTAAAAAGTTTGAATCTCAAGTGACGTAACATTTCAGAAAAACAGAACAACCTTTGTAAAGGTATCACAAATACACAAAATACAGATTGTAATCTGACTTATCACGTCACAAAGGCTAAGGCTAAGGCCTTCAGTGCTTATAGTTAACTTGACCATATTTAAAAAAAAAAGTAAACGAATCCAAAAAATTTATTCAGAAAATATTTAAAAATGTGTGACATGAATATTTACTTACATATTACATTTTCTCTTTTGTTTTGTTATATACATTGTTTTCTTGTAAAGATAGAAAAAAATGTTTTCAATTTTTATTATTGGTCAAACTAAAGTTTATACTGAATCCTCTTTGCCTATTTATACATTTATCCCTACTATGAATTATTAATATAGTTTAATAATACAACCAAAAATATTTTATTTACTTACTATCAAAAGACGTATAGAATAAATTAGCTATTTCACGCAAAGAGAAAAATAAACCGTGTGTATTTAAGCAGAATCAAGAAGCTCAGACAACTTGAATAATACGATTTGTGGGCAGTAGCATGATCGATGATCGTGGAAAACGTCTGGCAGTTTCCCCCATATTAAGGGGAGAACCGATCCCTTAACTTCACCCAAATAAACTTAACCAACCCTTGTGTGCAATAAAAATCCATATGTCTAAACGAAGCACTTATCTTTAATTTTGTGCAGTAGCAATGTTCCTAATATTCTTAGATGACTACATTGTAATTTTCTATGAGCATTAATAAAATAATTGTTTCTATCAAGCGGTTTGGTAAAGTGTGTTTTGTGTAGTGATAATTCGAAATATTGAGTTTAAAAAATCATTTGAATTCATTCTTCAGATAAATGGACTCATAAATTTTATAATCCTTTGCTCGAAATCATGAAGTTTTAATTTAAAGGATGTTATGTAATGTTTGGGTATAAATGGAATAAAATACAATTGCGTGATGAATCAAATTGTCAACCCTATTATAGTTGAGGTTGTGTAAAGCGATGGTTGCGAGGGGACGGCAGAAGACGGCGCGCATGTGCGGCGAGTACGGTGTGCGCAGCGCGTGTCAGTCCAGCCGCCCCCGCAGCTCGCACCGGTCCCGGCGCTGCCGGGCTCCCGCTCGGATGCCGCTGCCGGCTACCGCTTGCGATGGTCCACGCCGGGCCGGCCGTGCGCGCGCCCTCTCGCGCGATGTTCGCCGCCGCCGATACTAAACCGCGTCGCGCCGTCTCGCCTCTTGGTATACCGAAATCTCCTTCGTTCCACTCTGGACTTGATCTCGTCGCGAATCAAGCGACAACTAAGCGCTCCGAAAGCGTATCGGACGTCGCCAGAGCCTTTCGGTTTGCGTTGTTCGCCGGCATGGAGGGCCAGGGCCCGCCGCAGAAGGCGCCTTCGCCGCCCGATGCGCGGAGCCCGCCGCCCCCCGTCTCTGCCGCTGTATCACCCGATNTACCGAAATCTCCTTCGTTCCACTCTGGACTTGATCTCGTCGCGAATCAAGCGACAACTAAGCGCTCCGAAAGCGTATCGGACGTCGCCAGAGCCTTTCGGTTTGCGTTGTTCGCCGGCATGGAGGGCCAGGGCCCGCCGCAGAAGGCGCCTTCGCCGCCCGATGCGCGGAGCCCGCCGCCCCCCGTCTCTGCCGCTGTGTCACCCGATCGTCCCGTGCTGGTGATACCTAATGTTGATAGAGAGAGTCTAATGGAGCAGTTGCCACTGCTGAAAGGTTCGTCAGAATCACCCGAATGAATTTATATAGAAAATAGTAAAACTATCTATTTTTTCCTATGAAAATTTGTCATACCTGTTTGCACTGCATACATACAAACATACCTAATTTGATGTTGCCAATATATCCGAAAGTGCAGCAGTTGGTGTCATCACATGACACTCACAGCACAGGTAGCTTTGAAAATGAGTTTTCGGGCTCTTATCTCACGTATTGATAGTAAATATATAACATAGGAGGGAACGATTACTGACTCACCCATGCCTCGTAGTCAACCTTGAAGGGGCACAGCGTTCTATGTTCACTGAATGCGGTTGAATTGCTGAAATTAATGACCTATTTCACGTACTATTCCGTATCATGTAGCAAAATGGCGAAACTGGCGTAGAAAATGTTATCGACCCAAAGGCGGACACCGGCCGGCTTTTGTATGTGTGCGATTGCAAATGTAATGCGACGACATTATTGCCTGCAGTATTTAACTATCAGCATTATTCTTCCGAAGCTTAGTTTATTTTCTGATATGAGTAAAACACGATTATCTCATTACTTCGTAATTAGACACTTATGATGGACATTGGTTTTGTTAAAACAAATATTAGTGCATCAAGGCTATTCATCGTAAAACTCACGATGGCCAGAGTATATATTTATCAGCTAATACCGTAATTGTTCCATGCTGTGTAGCGCGATTGTATATATTTGATACTTACGAAAGAATATGAAATGATTACGCATTAAATCGATTACCTAAATGCAACGTTGTTTTTTATTACCGGTATACTAGTATCAGTTCCACTTTGCTTGAAATGTGCAACTTAATACGCATTAGGCATTGTTAACACGTCAGATATTTTGAAATTTAAGTAGCCGTAATGAATCTTCATTTATGGTATAATAGAGATGGTATGGTGTTTATTGTTCAAGGGAATAATCTATACTAATATACATCTACAGTGGTTTTTACGGATGTTCCGTTATTACTACTGGACCATGCATCCGATTGACTTGAAACTTGGTATCCATGTAGAAAATACATCTACTTAATGGATAGGCTAATATTTATATGAGTGTTGGACTCCCTACACCAGTTGCGGGGGCGTTAATGATGAGAATCTTTGTGGGGGAGAGACATAATAATGTTAATTTTAAATAGCCAGCGAAACGGATGGGTATAGCTAGCAGATTTCTGAAATTGGTATCTACTTAAATTGTATATGTTTCAAAGGTATTTTAAGTATCTTTTATATGTAAATTGCTCATTCTTATTTATGTGTAAAGAAGCAAAATTTAAAATTTAATTTTTATTTTTTATTTTTAATAATAATTATTATATTATAATACTTTGTATTAATTGTATGTATATTTACGGAGATATGTACGTGTATATGTATGTGTACATATATGTATATGTATTTCACTGGAATGGTACACCGCGCGTAGTTCGTTTCCAAATGGTTCTTGTCCACCTGATGGTTGTCTGGAAGAGATCGCTCTTAGCGATAAGACCGCCAATTGTCCTTTTTTGTTTTTTAATGTATCGCACTGTTTATTTGTTTTTTGCTTAGATGTGTGGACGAGCTCACAGCCTATCGGTGTTAAGCAGTTACTGGAGCCCATAGACATCTACAACGTAAATGTGCAAGCCCACCTTGAGATATAAGTTCTAAGGTCTCAATATGACTACAACGGCTGCCCCACTCTTCAAACCGAAACGCATTACTGCTTCACGGCAGAAATTGGCAGGGTGGTGGTACCTACCCGTGCGGACTCACGTCCTACCACTAGTAAGTGGATAAGTGAATATAGTTTAATAATAAAATATATTCTACATTTTCTCGTTTACAGACTAAAACTTAATGACGAACTTCTGTCTGTACCAAATGATAAAAAATAGGATATTTCTAGAGTTATAATAGTTATAAATACTTCAATCGCACTGGAAATTAAACAATTTTGGCGGTAGGCTTCGTTGCCAACAACATTTGATATTAAGGGTGTCAACTGGTGGTAGAGCGTCTTGTGAGCCCAAACGGGTAGGCACCACCGCCTCTCTATTTCTGCGGTGCAGCAGTAACGCGTTTCGGTTTGTAGAGTGGGGCACCCGTTATACTTTAAAAACGGAGACAACTCTTGTCTCAAGATTGGCGGCGGTATTCTCGTGGATATTGTCCATGGGCTCTCAACACCAGATGGGGCATGAGCTCGTTCACCTATTTTAGCAATAAAAAAGAACGATGTATGAACATACCTATGCCTTCAACCCACATAACTAATGAGCGTTTTATAGTTTCGTGATCGAATAATAAAAATTATTTTGTCTTTCCTCTGACCGACTGTTCCTGCAAATTTCTAAATTGTTAAGTCCATACTGAAAATTTAATTTCCGTTCCAAAAAGTTAAAGCCATTTCAAAGATCCTGTTTTATTTTTTGGTCGCCAGATGCACCCGCAGCCGAAAAAGAACAGCTCTTCGTGCAGAAGCTGCGGCAGTGCTGTCTGCTGTTCGACTTTGCGGACGAGCCACTGTCTGATCTCAAATGGAAGGAGGTGAAGAGGGCCGCGCTGCTCGAGATGGTCGAATACGTCACGTCGCAGCGAGGCGTCATCACCGACTCTATTTACCCTGAAGCCGTTAATATGGTAACTATTTACAAACATAGTTTTATAGGAAACATTGTTGGTAACGATATATTATTATTTTGAATATATATGCAACGATACACCTAGCATTCCTTCGTCTTTCCAAAATACTTTTTATCTTTGCAAGGTTATGATTGTTTAAAACAAACACTACGGATATTTTTTGTTTATTCTGAAGAACAAAGAGAAGTTTTCATACAAAGGCTTGCATTAAAAATTGAATTATAATGAACTAGAAGCGTGCACGAATCGACAAAAAACACTAGATGATTTTCTAATTGGTTTTGTTAGCGGGTGGGTACCAACCACCACTCTCCCTATTTCTGCCGTGAAGCAGTAATGTGTTTCGGTTTGAAGGGTGGGGCAGCCGTTGTAACTATACTTGAGACCTTAGAACTTATTCTCAAGGTGGGTGGCGCTTTTACGTTGTGGATGTCTATGGGCTCCAGTAACCACTTAACACCAGTTGGACTGTGAGCTAGTCCACCCATCTAAGCAAAAAAATAAAAAAGTACAAATGAAATGTATGTACATACATATATAACATATACGTACAGTTTTATTTTTATGAAGAAGTCTTACATGTCTTTAATACAATACAGTTGAAGTCTTAACTGAAAGTAGAGAAATGTTTATTGACGGAGGTCATCGCGTCACGTTGCTACTCTTGGTGTGACGTCATCATGGAGGGCTGACAATAAAAAAAAGTGAAGAGTGGTCAACCGATTCCCAAAAATCCATGAAACGCATTCACCTACATGAGTAGATGACACCGGATTTGTTCCGAAAATCACGTATGGGTGTAGCCATATGTTTTAACCATCAAAACCCAGACGAATGACTCATTTTTATTTGATGTTGTGAATATTTGTAATGGTTACGAACACACAAACTTATTTTATTAGTATTAGAGTGTAAATTGTAAACCGAGGTTACAAGGATATCGTTATCCTGTCTCGTTTCCAGCTTGAGAAGTTTTTCATTCGTTATACCATACAATTGGGACTTCAATCTCATGTTCGTAAGTGAGGGGCGGTATTCACGCTGATGATGTCCAGGGACTCTCGTAAACTAATTAACAGATAGGCAGTGAGTTCTTGGAATGCAATCAGTTTTTTTTTATTTATTGCATTCACGTGTTAACGATCACACCGTCCTCCTAGTGTTCTGTCGTTACTGGGCATACGATGTTGAAGTCTCATTTGATTTCTATATTGAATCTCTATACTGATTGTCTATGCTCTAATACCCTAAACTTAGTGAATCATGTTGAAGAGCTGTCTGATTATTATATTATTGTTCACTTCAGCCTCTATCTTAAAACTAAATTTAGCTTAAATGATAGACGAACGTATGGCCTGCTCCATATCCATTTACCGGAACCAATAGACCGCAATTTAAATACCGGAGTGGAGGTAGCAATTGCGACCGGGATTTCTTCGCCACAAAGACTAGTATAAGGGTGACACAAATCCGTGTAAATTAAATAAGTTCTACCACCAGGGCTCAAGAAATTACTATACTAAATTTGGTTACATTACTACCACTGGGGTAGGGGAGGCGCTTAGTGGTCCCACATTCAAAGCCGGCTTTTCCGTCTATGGAGAGTCGGAGGAAATTTAGAATACGACCCAAAAAAAAAAACCACGGTTCTAAAAAGTATCGACGTAAATTTCATATCTACTAAATTATTCAACTAAAAATACTTTATTTATTTTTTTATTGCCCTTGTAGGCAGACGAGCATACGGCCCACCTGATGGTGAGTGGTTACCGTCGCCCATGGACTTCAGCAATGCCAGGAGCATAGCCGAGCCGCTGCCTACCTAATCTTATGAATAAAAATATTGGTTATATTCGTTCTCAGTTCGCGATCAATCTATTCCGGACGTTGCCGCCATCATCGAATCCTAACGGAGCGGAATTCGATCCTGAAGAGGACGAGCCCACATTAGAGGCCGCCTGGCCGCATTTACAGCTCGTCTACGAACTGTTCCTGCGGCTACTCGAGTCTCCGGATTTTCAGCCAAACATTGCCAAGAAGTATATAGACCAGAAGTTTGTTTTGCAAGTAAGTATCTTCTTCTTTTTCTCAACCTTATCCCACTAAGTGGGGTCGGCACAGATAATTTTTTTTTTGTTCCATTTCTTCTATCAGCCGTCATCTCAACCCTCACTCCTCTCTCTCTCATATCGTCATTCACATACTCCATCCATGTCTTCTTTGGTCGACCTCTTCCCCTCTACCTTGCACTACCATTTCCATACATCTTCTAGTCACATGCAAGTATGTTGCATTAAAATTTTATTCGTTGTTGTTCCTTGTTTATCGCTTTGGTGGGTCTTAACGCTTTCGCTACAGCAGGCCTTACTACAAAGTCTTGCAGGAAAGGACGCTCCATGCCGAAAGCGTACATCACTCATCATGTAATGGTAGTGTCTTGTGGCGGGCGAATATAGTCACTGGTAGTAGCGAAAGGGTTAAAGACGTGAATCGTTTTTATTGAATAGATAAGTGAACTTGTTCACTACCCACCTTGTGGTGTGGTAATCGGAGCTCATGATTTGAGTGCCGCCCGCACCATGAGATATAAGGTCGATATTTCGATGGTATTGTATAACGACGGTCCCGCTCTTCAAACCGGAATGTATCACTGCTTCGTGGCAGAAATAGATGGTGGTATCTATATGTTAATACGTGAAGCAAAAACTTTGTACCCCTTTCTACGAAAATTGCGCGGACGGAGGAGTATGAAATTTCCCACACTTATACAGAATATAGGGAAGGAATGGAGAATGTGAATTTTTTTTTAATTATGCATAAAAATACATTAAATCAATAATTAAAAAAAACATTACTCATACTACCATGTATTTGTTTAAGTCTAACTTTTCATATTGCTTAAAGTCTGTGGTCAAATTGAGAATAGATTAAATTTTGTTTGTCTTTATTCATATTTGTCTAAAGTGTAGTCTTGGCGAAATCTGTGATACAGAAGTATAAGTCTTTGACAATAGAACCATACTTATAATTCCAACTAATTATAGTCGAATTTCGACTACTGGGTAACCACAACTATATACAATTGCTCCCTTACATTACGCTCTATCACCTTAGAGAAAATCCAATTTTTACTAAAATAATGAAATCATAGAGAGCCCTTAAAAATAAAGTCAAATTAAGCAATTTAAAAAAGTATACCCGCGTTGCAACATATTGAAAATTTATTCTATAAGCTTTATAATACGTAATTAAATTAAACATCTAACCAGCCAACTCTTAAATATTTTTTCGATGTACATACTTTACCTCCTAAACTGCGTTGCACAAAACATACCTACCACACGCACACACTGATACATAACAACACACACACTCAAAACTCGCATGTGTGGTTTACATATTACGTAATTTTACATTAGTTGTGTCTATCTATATATTTCCTTGATCTGTGTACCTTTTGTAAATTTTTTCTTCAGTTCTTTTTTAGTAGGTACTCGAAATGCTGATCAAGCAAAGCTACATCATATTTTAAATAAGACAGCTTATAGTGACCGTATTTTGCAAAATAAATTTTAATTATCACTAGCGACCCGCCCTCGCTTCGCTTCGGAAACTGTAATTTATTATTGATTTCTCCACTACTTAATGGATATTATTATACATATAAACCTTCCTCTTCAATCACTCTATCTATTAAAAAAACCGCATCAAAATCCGTTGCGTAGTTTTAAAGATTTAAGCATACATATGGATGCAGGGACAGAGAAAGCTACTTTGTTGTATACTATATAGTGATTTACCTACGTACTAAATTGTCTAATCTGCTCAAATCACGTGTTTACATGAAGAATATCATGATTTTTTTCTCGTTGTTAATTTACAAAATATATTATGATATTGAAATGATTGAAGGTAACAACATTTTTTTGTACATCATTTAAATGTGTTCCCTGGAGTGCTGTGTCAATTTACAAATACACGGTCAAGGCTACATGTCATTGTCGAATACAAAATAAAATGAACCATGACTCTTTGGCCTTAAAGCGTTATTTCGAATAAATTACGTTTAAATATTAAAACAATACATTGATTTCTTCATAGTTCAGAATCTGCAATCAAAAATTAACTTTGAATGATTGATTGTATTTAATCAATAAGTGTTAATTTGCCAGTAATTATCCAAAGTAATTATAGCATGTAATTAGTTTTAATTTAGGTATGTATAATTACTTTCGTTAGTTAGTAGATATGTATCAATATTGCTCGTGTGAAAGACGATCATGGTACATTCTAGAAACCGAGGCATATCCAGAACGAAACACTAAACAGTTACAAAGGGTTTTTATTAGAGGGAAGAAAAGTTCCTCTGACGGTTAGCGACCAGCGGAATCCATCACGCGAAAGCACGTGAATCAACGTGAACGCGACCACGGTTGCAATGGTTTTAGTACAGATTGTTCTAAAATCGAAATAATTTGTAATTTGTAATTTTTATTGCTCTAGTTCGCAGACGAGGGTACCGTCCACCTAATAGTGAGTGGATACCGTCGCCTATGGACTACAAAATAATTAAAATTGTTTTTCTAGTTCATATGGATGTGCCCGCCTGGTTTTAAGTGGTTCCTAGAGTCGCCCGTAGACATTGAAACGTAAATGCCGCCACTCACCTTACGATATATGAAGCCCAAATCTCAATTGCGTCCTACGACGTCTTCACAAAGGTTTTCAATACACGATGATTTTTTTTACAAAAACATGTAAACAATATCTTTTGAAGTCTCGAGTGTTGAATACGCAATACCTATTTTAACATTTAATTTGAATAAAAGTGCTAAAGATCGAATAGCCAGTCATGTTTTCCGTTGTTTCAGCTCTTGGAGTTGTTCGATTCTGAGGACCCACGCGAACGAGACTTCCTCAAAACAACTCTCCATAGGATATACGGGAAATTTTTAGTTCTACGCGCTTACATAAGGAAACAGATCAATAACGTATTCTATAGGTAAGAGGGATTTATCATTCATTTAAGAGGTGATCGGACCTCCTGTTGTTAACTGGTACCATAGAAAACATTTCAAACGAGGCTTGTGGAGAGTACTTAGCAGTAAGTAGCGGCTTGGCTTTACCCCTGTCATTGCTGATGTCCATGGGCGACGGTAACCATGCATCATCCGGTTACTGGTGATCTACGGAATTATAAATTTACTAGCCGTACTCGCCCGCTTCGCTACGCATTTAAAATTATAATAATATTATTTATTGTCATTATTATTAGGGAATCTATCACTCATATAAATATTAGCCTATCCATTAAGTACATGTATTTTCTACATGGATACCAAATTTCAAATCAATCGGATGCATGGTTCAATACTTATAACGGAACATCCGTAAAGACGACTGTAGATTTATATATTAGTATAGATTGTTCATTTACCAGAAAAAAATACTTGTTTTATGTATTAAAAAAAAAAACTAAAATACATTCAAAGACAAGAAGGACGCGTAATTCTTCTCACCTAAAATAAGACTTCTTCTCAGTTGCCCCTCTTCGAAAATTTGCGGAGTACTAATCTAATTAACAGTCTTATCGCGTCTACCGAAGATTGATAATTGATAAATAATAACGATGATGTTAAGTAAATCAACGTACATTGCATTACGTACTTTAAAAAGTATCTAGAACACAAAATTATGTATCGCACAGTGGTTGCGATGGGCGACGCTCTCCGGAATGTCGTAAAACTAACCTTGGCTTAGTAAGGTAGGCAGCGGCTTGGCTCTGCCCCTGGCATTGCTGAAGTCCATGGGCGACGATAATCACTCACCATCACGTGGGCCGTATGCTCGTCTGCCTACAAGGGCAATAAAAAAATAAAAAATAAAAAAAAAATTACTTAGATGTAAGCGTTTACATTTTTCTGCAAAAGAATCGAAAGAAATCATCTGTCTCTTTCTCACAAAGTTTATGTTTAAAATACGGTAGTCTCAATTTAAAGTTTATAGATGACTTCGTAATTCATGAACGAGATTTAGCATTATTCGATCTGATTGTTATATTCTTCAAACTTCGTTAATATTATTTTTGTTGCCCTTGTAGGCAGACGAGCATACAGCCCACCCGGTGGTGAGTGGTTACCGTCGCCCATGGACTTCAGCAATGCCAGGGGCAAAGTCAAGCCGCATAAACTACCATATTTCACTTTGCCGGAATTGAAATATTTTAATTGTAACTTTAGAAGATTGATGAGTGTACGGACTATAAGTTTTCTGTTCCACGATACTTTCCTGTTATCACTTATACAAATTGAATTGGAATAAATCATTAATTGTCTTTGTTTTTTGTTTTTCAAGTAGTAGCCGTAATTAGGGTACTTTTAGTTCTCTGTGCGCAGAGAAACTGAAACCGAAATATCAATAAATAGTCTTATAGAAAATTTGACGGTAATCTTTTTTTTTTTTTTTNTTATTCGATCTGATTGTTATATTCTTCAAACTTCGTTAATATTATTTTTGTTGCCCTTGTAGGCAGACGAGCATACAGCCCACCCGGTGGTGAGTGGTTACCGTCGCCCATGGACTTCAGCAATGCCAGGGGCAAAGTCAAGCCGCATAAACTACCATATTTCACTTTGCCGGAATTGAAATATTTTAATTGTAACTTTAGAAGATTGATGAGTGTACGGACTATAAGTTTTCTGTTCCACGATACTTTCCTGTTATCACTTATACAAATTGAATTGGAATAAATCATTAATTGTCTTTGTTTTTTGTTTTTCAAGTAGTAGCCGTAATTAGGGTACTTTTAGTTCTCTGTGCGCAGAGAAACTGAAACCGAAATATCAATAAATAGTCTTATAGAAAATTTGACGGTAATCTTTTTTTTTTTTTTTATTGCTTAGATGAGTTGACGACCTCACAGCCCACCTGGTATTAAGTGGTTACTGGAGCCCATAGACATCCAGAACGTAGATGCGCCACCTACCTTGAGATATAAGTTCTAAGGTCTCGAGTATAGTTACAACGGCTGCCTCGCCCTTCAAACCGAAACGCATTACTGCTTCACGGCAGAAATAGGCAGGGTAGTGGTACCTACCCGCGCGTACTCACAAGAGGTCCTATCACCAGTAATTACGCAAATTATAATTTTGCGGGTTTCATTTTTATTACACGATGTGATTCCTTCACCGTGGAAGTCAATCGTGAACATTTGTTAAGTACATTTCATTAGAAAAATTGGTACCCGCCTGAGATTCAAACACCATTGCATCGTTCAACACGAATGCACCGGACGTCTTATCCGTTAGGCCACGACGACTTCAGTCAGCACAACATTTAAATATCGACAAATAACGGCTTAGACGTCCGTGCCTATGTATTGTATTCGAAACTCTGGAATTAATACCACCACATTAAAAACACCATAAAACTAGTTTTAATTATAAAATCATCATAAAATTATTTAAGAATTAATAAGTTTTTTTAATGTTTAAACAGGTTTATTTACGAGACGGAACACCATAATGGCATCGCGGAGCTCCTCGAAATCCTTGGTTCCATCATCAATGGATTCGCATTGCCTCTCAAAGAGGAACACAAATTATTCTTACTCAGGGTAAAGTATCGTCCCTTCGCTATCAGAATATCGATCTATAAATAAATTTGCAAAATTTCCAAAAAATNATGCGCCACCTACCTTGAGATATAAGTTCTAAGGTCTCGAGTATAGTTACAACGGCTGCCTCGCCCTTCAAACCGAAACGCATTACTGCTTCACGGCAGAAATAGGCAGGGTAGTGGTACCTACCCGCGCGTACTCACAAGAGGTCCTATCACCAGTAATTACGCAAATTATAATTTTGCGGGTTTCATTTTTATTACACGATGTGATTCCTTCACCGTGGAAGTCAATCGTGAACATTTGTTAAGTACATTTCATTAGAAAAATTGGTACCCGCCTGAGATTCAAACACCGTTGCATCGTTCAACACGAATGCACGGGACGTCTTATCCGTTAGGTCACCACGACTTCAGTCAGCACAACATTTAAATATCGACAAATAACGGCTTAGACGTCCGTGCCTATGTATTGTATTCGAAACTCTGGAATTAATACCACCACATTAAAAACACCATAAAACTAGTTTTAATTATAAAATCATCATAAAATTATTTAATAATTAATAAGTTTTTTTAATGTTTAAACAGGTTTATTTATGAGACGGAACACCATAATGGCATCGCGGAGCTCCTCGAAATCCTTGGTTCCATCATCAATGGATTCGCGTTGCCTCTCAAAGAGGAACACAAATTATTCTTACTCAGGGTAAAGTATCGTCCCTTCGCTATCAGAATATCGATCTATAAATAAATTTGCAAAATTTCCAAAAAAAATATAAAGAAATATTTCATTTATAAACGAGCGTCTTTACTAAGTTTACCTTTTTCTTGTTATCGATAAAGCTCACTAGATGTCACAACTATAAATCCAATAACAATGTGGTGGTAATTTTGAACAACAAACTATGTTTATAGACGATATCGACGCTTGAAAGGCAAACATGACTAAGCGACAATGCTTGAACTTTACAGTAGACTAATTTAAAATTGAAATATCTGAAAAAAAAAATATTTTAACGAATCTAACTATAGGATTGAAATGATTTTAATAGATCTAGAAATATGTTTTTTTGCGCATCGAATATATTTAAAGGTTATTGCCTATCATTTATGTAAGATATGTAATTTTCCCTACCTATTCGCTGGTAGCCTAAGAGGGTATTCTAGCTACGCCGGAACGGGTAGGTGAGCTCACGGGCTCAATCTGAGAGAATTTATTAACACTAGCTAGAGCTAGTGCTAGAGCAAGAGCATTGCTTCGTAGAACCTACCACCGGATCGGAATTGAAGCCACAGTTTGCATACTAGAAGAACTTCGTCTCTAGGTTTCAATAAATACGTCGACTTTTATATAAATAGATATGAAGGTAGTTTCACTGTACTATATTCACCGTATATGTGGATGTATTTTTAAACGCTAAATATCCAAATACGATTATAAATGAATTAAATGATTATGTAAAGAAAAACCTTTTTGATGTAATTGTTATATAAGACCTATTTAGTATAAAAAAATGTTTTTTTTCTTATACAGATTAAACTCTCTGTCACTGAGAAAAAAAGTCGAGTTTAGTTTTATTTAATTCAAGAATACGGAGTAAAATATTTTTTTGGAAAATATAGGTTATAAATGTCGGTTGTTGTCTGTAAATGTTGTCTTAAAATTTTATAGTACATTTTATTTCCTACCTATGCTGATAGCCTTGAGAGGCTATTTCAGCTTCGCCCTAACATGTAGGTGAGCTCACGGGGCTCGAACCGGAAGTGTTGCTAACACTGGCGAAGATCCGGCGAGAAACTCAATGGGCTCAACGAAATTAAGTCTTTTATTATTGTTTAATCACTTTTAGAATATGTCATAACTATATATACGTCTATTTCTGTCGTGAAGCAGTAATGCGTTTCGGTTTGAAGGGTGGGGCAGCCGTTGTAACTATACTTGAGACCTTAGAACTTATATCTCAAGGTGGGTAGCGCATTTACGTCGTAGATATCTATGGGCTCCAGTAACCACTTAACACCAGGTGGGCTGTAAGCTCACCCACCCATCTAAGCAATAAAATAATAAATAATGTGGTTGTAATGTTATCGTTTGCAGGTACTACTGCCGCTGCACAAGGCCAAGTCGCTGTCGGTGTACCACCCGCAGCTGGCGTACTGCGTCGTGCAGTTCCTCGAGAAGGACCCCTCCCTCACGCAGCCCGTCGTCAGGTACCACACCACAGCCCCTACTAATTTCCGACTCATCCTATATATTAATACGTGAAGCAAAAACTTTGTACCCCTTTTTACGAGAATTGCACGGACCGAGGCGTATGACATTCCCACACTAGAAAAATATTAAAAAAAAAAACATTAATCATAGGTACATTAAATCAATAAAAAAAACATTACACACACACTGTCATGTATTTGACACAACACACACACGCACACACACACACGCACGCACGCACGCACGCACGCACGCACACACAAACACACACACACACACACATACTCTTTGTTTATTTTCAATCTTTTATTATTGCATAAAGTCTGTGGTCAAATTGAGAATATGTTAACATTTTTTTATCTTTAATACTACTACTACGGTACCACTAGTAATTTTAACAAGTGGACTGCCATGTTGACATGAAAACTTTTCTCCTACCGCGTTTAGTTTGTGATCAAGCTTACTCCCATGACGAAGCGAACAAAAGTAATGTGCAAATAATTAATTAACAATGACAATTTAATACAAATTATATCCCCCAGTCGTTGTCTATACAAATATAAAAACTTATTTGTTTTCTCCTCTCGTAACCATATGAGTTTAAGAATTGTAACTTCTGCTCTACTAATGTCCAAAATAATAGTTTCATCTCAAATATTCGAATAAAAATACATTTGTCGTCCGTTTCCCAGAGCTCTCTTAAAGTACTGGCCGAAGACTCATTCGCCGAAGGAGGTGATGTTCCTGAACGAGATGGAGGAGATATTGGACGTGGTGGAACCGGCCGAGTTCCAGCGCATCATGGACCCGCTGTTCAAGCAGCTAGCCAAATGCGTCTCCAGTCCTCATTTCCAGGTGAGACACCTCAACGTACCAAATGATTATTAAGCTATTGCTTAAATGGGTGGACGAGCTCACATCCCACCTGGTGTTAAGTGGTTACCGGAGCCCATAGACATCCACAACGTAAATGTGCCACCCACCTTGAGATATAAGTTGTAAGGTCTCAAGTATAGTTACAACAGCCGCCCCACCCTTCAAACCGAAACGCATTACTGCTTCACGGCAGAAATAGGCAGGGCGGTGGTACCCACCCGCGCGGACTCACAAGAGGTCCTACCACCAGTAATAAAAAGTAAGAACAAAATAAACAAAAAAGGAAATTAACTTCAAAAATCACGTCACATATCTTTAAAGACTGGAAGGATCGGATGTCGCCCTAAACACGTCATTACGGATCCTCCCGATCCACTAACGGTGCTTTAAGGTACCCCAAGCTTACGACGAAGGGCTCGACGAGTAAATTAACCCTCAAACACAGCCCACTGAGTTTCTCGCCGGATCTTCTCAGTGGTTTCGCGTCTCCGTACCGGTGGTAGATTCTGCAAAGCACTGCTCTTGCTAGGGTTCGTGTTAGCAACGTCGTCAGGTTTGAGCCCCGCGAGCTCTCCTACTAGTTAAGGTTACGCTGAAATAGCCTCTCAAGGCTATCATACTTTGGTAGGAAAAAAATATATCGGGTATCTTGTCATCTCCCTCGCACACCCGTCACGTAACGTTATTGTGTTACGTTATTTGACAGCTGCATCTGAACTTGAGTTTACATTAGAACTACAATATTGTTTCAGGTAGCAGAACGAGCGCTCTACTACTGGAACAACGAATACATAATGTCTTTAATATCGGACAACGCGACCCACATCCTGCCTGTGATGTTTCCGGCGTTGTACCGGAACACAAAGAGCCACTGGAACAAGACGATACACGGGCTGGTGTACAACGCGCTCAAACTGTTCATGGAGATGAATCAGAAACTGTTCGACGAGTGCACGCAGCAGTACAAACAGGAGAAACAGAAGTGAGTCTCATAGTCACTGACTATGTCAATGTTAGTGTTAGGCGGGTTTACGAGAATCAGGTCGTGATGTGTGCCTCTAACGCAGCGGTCGGGGAACCTTTTTAATTATTACCCCAAAATATTTTTGTGTAAGTTGATGGCGAAGAACAAAAAAAAACGAAATCGCTTCTTTTTAGCATCTTTCATATTATAGCCCCCATGATAATTTGAAATCACAACGATTCTAAAAAAAGTTTCACTTCAATATATACTTTTTTTTTACTCACAAAAGTTTCATTTTTACCCCTCAAAATTTCATTTTATCCCATTTGGGGTAATTTACCCCGGTTCCCCGACCGCTGCTCTAACGTATCTTTCGACTTGTATTGTTCACTGATTCATTAGTGTCGAGTCTAAACCACTTTTTTTTATCGCTTAGTTCGGTGGACGAGCTCACAGCTCACTTGGTGTTAAGTGGTTACTGGAGCCCATAGACATCTATTACAAAGTAAATGCGCCACCCACCTCGAGATATAAGTTCTAAGGTCTCAAGTATAGTTACAACGGCTGCCTCACCCTTCACCAATAGGGCTACAGAGTACAGTCCGTTAAGAAAGGATTTTTGGAAATTCGGTTATTTTGAAGTCGCATTTTGCGGCCAGTTCAATACAAAAAAAGAGATTCACTTTCGACGTTTCAGTTTTATTTTTTTAAATAATAATATAATGATGCTTTGTTCGGTAGAGAGAGGGAGCGACTTCTGCAGCGAGAGGAGATCTGGCAGCAAATAGAGGAGAGGGCGCAACGAAACGACCGCGGCTCAGAGCCCGCCGAGGTGACGCAACCTTGTACTACTGATACATCCATACATGACCGAGCTCACAGCCCACCCGGTGTTAAATGCTCACCGGAGCCCATGGACATCGATAACGTAAAACCGCCACTCACTAGTGACGAGTTCTAAATCTCAGTTTTACGCAATACTGCTTCGCGGCAAAATTAAGTGGGGTCTATTCATGCGAGTGCACAAGACGCTCTATCAGTAAAGTAAACGTAAAATGTAAAAATATCTTTTTTTTATTTATTGATCCAAAGGGTGAACGAGCTCACAGCTCACCTGGTGTTAAGTGGTTACTGGAGCCCATAGACATCTGCAACGTAAATGCGCCACCCATCTTGAGATATGAGTTCTAAGGTCTCAGTATAGTTACAACGGCTGCCCCGCCCTTCAATCCGAAATGCATGACTGCTTCACGGCAGAAATAGGAAGGGTGGTGGTATCTACCCGCGCGGACTCAAGAGGTCCTATCATTACGCAATATTTTTGCGGATTTGATTTTGAAATAGAAGCGATACATCAAATTGAAATAAACGCACGTTACAGACGCGCAAGCAGACCTATAGTAACGCGAACAAGCCCCTCCTCCGCAAGAAGTCGGAGCTGCCCGTGGACAGCAGCGCCGTGCGTGCGCTCGCCGAGCACCGGCGCGCCGACCCCTTCCTGTCCTCGCCGCCCGACATCAACCACTGCTAGCGACCGCCCGCCGCCCGGACCCACGTTACAACATTCGGGGAACCAGAGCCATAAAGTCGGTTAGTTGAACAATATTCGGTAGGAGCGCGACCGTCGCACGTCTCCCGGGACGATCCTCAATCATCTAGATCTTTCGATTTCTATTAATCACGTGATACTTCTTGAAACAAAACGAGAGAGAGACTGAACTCATCTCGCCCCCAAAAAATTGCATCTCGAGTGTCACAGAACGATTTACGTAAAAATATAGAAAGCAATCGCGCTCTGGCGACTGGTTGAGACGAAGAACGATTGAACTGAGTCAAAAAAGCGTGAAACGCGCGTCGAGTTCGAGAACGGTACGTCGCGTCCGCCCACGGAAACCTGACCATGACTTGAATTACTTGGATACTTCATAACAAATACATAAAGAACTCGCTTACGCGTTCGATAATTTATTTATACTACATTGGACACGTAATGGATAGGTTTATAATATACATACAAACACAGTACTTACGAATAGCGCTATTACGGTTAGCAGTGATCTCTTTCAGACAACCGACGATGGAAAAAAACATCAACGGAAAAATCTGTGACCTACGACATAATTTGTACGTTTACAAATATATAAAATGTACATAATATACATACAGTCCTACATCCAACTCTATATTTACATATATGTATAAATACATACATATATTTTATGATTGTATTGTGGTTTATACAACGTGGAAATTCGTTCGTATGTATCGTACCGTTTCGATGACTCGCTTTCATTAAACTTTTACTTAATTATTTTTTTATATAAAATATTCGATGTATTATTTAAGAGTATAGATTTATACACCATTCCACTGCAAGTACCACCTGTAATCGTATGATGTTAGCCGAATTGTTTTATATTATGGTTCGATTTTTTTATTATTATTATTATTGTAAAAACTCAACCTGAAATCTATTTTGAAAATTAACACAATGTGTTAAGGAACTTGAGACAAAAACAAAAATACATTTCGGAATTGACTGTCAAAAAATGGGTTTTTACAATCAGTGATTCATAAAATTTATTGATATTACATACAAAAAAAAAAAACTGATCTACAGTACACTTCTATACAAAAAAAGTACACGTGTAAAGTTATTACAAAATCATTTTTTTGTCAGTAAATTTCGAGAGTCAAAATTATCTTCCGTGGATTTGATAAGCGCTTGACACTGTATCCGTAATGTTCGATGTTGTTTTTTCATCTAAATTCATTTAATAATTTAATTAACGTGTCATTAAAAAATTATAATAGTGTATGCAACTCATTAGTGTTTACATTTAGAAATTAAAATCCACTAAAGCCATAGTAATCATGAACTTTATTTATTTAATTTGTAGAATACCAAATAATGTATTGTGAAGGTAGTTAATTTTTAATTTTCTATTACGTTATAATATTTACTTTTATTATTATAATTATAATTATTATAAAAAAATAAAGGGGCACAAGGAACTCGAGTGCTGATTGCCTTTAAAAGTTATAATTTGTTTTATTTTTTTATCTGTTCTTATATTTGGAGTCAAAATAATATAAATTAATTAGTTTAGTTACATAACGAGGACTGAAAGACTATTTGGTTTAAGCGACATTTTAGCAACTTTATAGAAGAGCCATTTAAAGTTTAAAATTTTGATAAAATCTCATTAAAATAAAACTTCTCCAACTATTTGAATGGAGTAAACTAAATGGAAGTTCAATTAAAAACATTGAAGTGCTGATGTTAATCACTACATAGTAAAAAAAAAACAAAGTCGCTTTCTCTGTCCCTATATCTGTCCCTATGTATGCTTAAATCTTTAAAACTACGCAACGGATTTTGATGCGGTTTTTTTGGAACGAAGTTCCTTATCGCGCGTTGTGAAAGGGGGCTAGACGGAAAAAATTCTTACGAAAAGTTGTCACGACACTTTTTAGATCCGTCATTCTGACCGATCAACGTGTAGGCGCTTATCGCGTGACATTGCTCGTATCCGATTGATCCGCGTGACATTGCTCGTATCCGATTGGTCCGCGTAATGCCGTAATTTATTATTATAACTTTAAAAAAAAATTACAATTCCTTCACTAATTAATCGAAAGGAACTTCGTTCCATCCGGGTGTCCCTTGACACCTCTGAAGTTTTTATTTTTAATAGATAGAGTTATTGAAGAGGAAGGTTTATATGTATAATAGCATCCATTAAATAGTGGAGAAATCAATAATAAATTACAGTTTCCGAAGCGAAGCGAGGGCGGGTCGCTGGTGCCAAATAAAACGCACCTTTAATTACAAAGATAAATATCGCTCAAACCAAATAGTCTTTCAATCCTCGATATAATATGTATAAAATTTCACGCCAATACATAATAAATATTGATCTGCTAATCAAATATCGTTTGTTAATAAAAAAATATCTTAAATCACGCATTGCAGTATCGTTTTAGTTAGGTTCACTGTTTGCTTCGTGTAGGTAATAGTCGGTAATGTGATGAATGATGTATTTTACGAGCACCCGATGTACTGTTGCATTTCTACTGTGTCTTATTGATTTCCGATCTAGTAGTGCGCTTAGTGCCAAAGTTGTCGGTTTGAGTGTGTCTGAAAACGGGTGAATCTTATCAACTGTAGTTAGGGCCGCGGATACATACTTACTAGTACTAATACATATATCAATAAATGCTGGTCGATTTTATCAATTAATATATTTTGGTCAGCGATTTAATTTGGTTTAGTTATTTGAGGGAGCAGATACAACTGAGCTGAATTATTATACACTTATTGTTCGTACTATTTTTGCGCTCGTGTTAGAGAAAGAGAAGGAGAATCTTGCCGATCGTTTTTTTTTTTAAATGTATCAAAATCATGCGTTGAAAAATTTCGAGAATTCCATTCATTATTTAGACAAAAAGTATTTATTAATTAAAAAAACCATTTTAACTAGCGCATATAAAGTTTATAGACCATGTTATTTTGTCTGATTGTCTCGATGAGAAATGTGTGCGTGAATTTTTTGAAGTACTGGAAGTAGACATTTATTTCCCTTATACTATATATTTACATTTGATACAGACCTTTGATTGTAAAATAAATTTATTAACGATAACTTATTGTTTATCACTAATTCATATGTCTGCATCTACTGGAGTGAAAGTTAAAAATACGTAGGTTTCTGTTTCAAAATGGTTTTCAATCTTTGTATACAACGCGAATTGATTTTAAGAAAAAGGGGAATATAACCTTTATTTATTAATGGAGCTTATATGAAAATATGTTTTACTTAGTTTGGGTTATTGTTGTAGACAGAATATAGGAGTGGGACTCTGTATCCATAGACGGGCACTGCTTCGAGACTGAATGTTAAGAGACGGATTCTATACTATACTATTACTATATACCTACTACTATACTATACTATTTCACAAATTCACTTGTGCACTATATTCTCGTATAAAAATCTTCCGTGTCTATTTCATTCGATTCTAATATTTATCACTTAAAATATTGATTTCTTTTATTTTTTGTACAAATTTTCCAATCTAATTTCTTTAATACAGCTATTGTCAATATATCACTGTACGGTTTCATAACCGTTTTTTTTTTCTTTTCATAACTAATCTAAAATGTTCGAACAGAACTTAGGCATATTTATAATGTAAAATTTGTATAGTATACAACTTACTCATAAGTCAAGTGGCCGTATCGGACAATTAAAATATTTAATAAATAAAAAATGTAATTAGGATTAATAGTATTTAAAATAATAATAATAATAATAAAATATAATATCTATTTGGCGAAACGCTTCTGGTAAGCTGATGTGTGCAATTTTTATATGCGTGTCTGTTCGGTCACTTGACGTAATAATTAACGCTAGTTACACATAATAGACACGACATATATTCGTTTTGTATTTTTAAAGACATCCCAATGAATCTGCCATCAATCGAATTTATTTCTAATAAATATCTACATATGTATATTATATTATAATATAGAAATATATATTTGTGTGTAACTAGCGCGATTAAATTCTAAGTAGTTCTAATTTCAGTTGTCTTAAATGTGTGTATGTACGTACGGACTGACGTCACCATAGCAATATTTTGCAAAATGCTGTTCATGAAATTGATAAATTTTGTATAAAAGCATATTTATAACGGTAATATATGTAACTGTTGATAACAGAATAATGGTAACAGACAACATATTGTAAGGTGCTTATGATTATCGTTATAATACAAAGTTGTGCATATAGTTTTTTTTTTTTTTATTACCACAGGTGTGACTCCTAATGTAGAAGTTTATTGCTACTGCAGGCCGCAATGAATAAAATCTTTCCAATTTTTCAGTTGATGTGACGTCACATACCAGATAGCCACATTTTTGTTGGTACGCAAAAAATTACGCAAAATCATAAGATTGCAAAATGATTTTGTGCAATCTTAATATTTCTCCGTTTCTCCGCTCCGTTGGAGGCAAACTAAGAGTCTATTTAAAATTACGAGTTTATCTTTCGTTTAGATGATTTTAGGTTGTAATTGTTCCATGGTCCCATTTCTCCCGTTTTATTCTGGACATAATTATTTTCGATATCCCCACTGTAAAACACCGATCCAGTGTTCGATTGACGGGATATTTATAACTACGTATTTTTTTACCAATATCATAATTTGTAATACATTTAGGGTANCTAAGAGTCTATTTAAAATTACGAGTTTATCTTTCGTTTAGATGATTTTAGGTTGTAATTGTTCCATGGTCCCATTTCTCCCGTTTTATTCTGGACATAATTATTTTCGATATCCCCACTGTAAAACACCGATCCAGTGTTCGATTGACGGGATATTTATAACTACGTATTTTTTTACCAATATCATAATTTGTAATACATTTAGGGTAAAACCACCAGTAATTGACACTGCACCAATAGTTGACGCTTAGACGAAGAAAATTAAATTTTTAGAAAAAAAAAGGAAGACAAAGATCGAGATGGTGTCAGAGACATAGTATACATATCTAGCGACCTCAATACAAACTAACGTGTTGTCATAAACAACATCACTAGTTACCGCGTTCGACTGATGACAACCGCACGTTTCGCGCCATATTTATTGTTATTTTCTTGTGCAGTTTGTTTAGAGCAAGCCGAGAGATTAATGTTGTAAAGGTAAATATTATTTTACAATTTTAAATCAATATTAATGAATTCATTATAATTAGAGTTTGAAGCGTAAATACGTATTATTTAAAATTACATACTATAAGATATTACATATACATGGCGTCATGTCAATTACTGAAACTTAAAATTACATAGATTTGAGTAGTTGACATGTGGGTGTCAACTTATGGATTTTAACATAATTTGTTAATCCTGTATTATTTATTGTTATTTTACTGCTTATACGTTAAATTACGCTATTAGACTTTCTAAAATAATTTAGAACCATTTTGTTCAGTAGTTGACAGGAGGTGTCAAGTATTGGAGCTATAATGCTCTATAAATGCTATTGAATTATTTTTTCTTTGGTTTTTTAGATGCCACCGACAAAAGGAAATTTTAGAAATTATACACGAGAGGCTATGGAAGCGGCTATAGAAGATGTGCTTTTACAAAAAACTCCGTATGCTGCTGCAAAAAAGTTTAACGTGGGAAGGGTTCTTACGTATCTATCAAATCCTATAACTGTTGCATTAAACGCCTTCAGTTCTAACACTAGGAGCAGGCTTGGGCATTCTGGTAACCATACTCGTCGAACTCGGCAAAGAGTTCGACGTGCAACCTAACCCATGCATCAGCCCGCTGAGTTTCTCGCCGGATCTTCTCAGCGGGTTGCGATTCCGATCCGGTAGTATATCCATTCGCGAAGCAGTTGCTCTTGGGTTGTTAGGTCTCGGGCAGCTGTTAGCAAATCCCACCCCTCCTGGCTGAGCCTTTGCTCGCCCACCTGTCCTGGTGAAACTGGAAAGGCCTCCGGGCCACCAGTAATCTTTAAATAAGGATTACTCCTATTACTGGTGGTAGGACCTCTTCTGAGTCCGCGCGGGTAGGTACCACCGCCCTGCCTATTTCTGCCGTGAAGCAGTAATGCGTTTCAGTCTGAAGGGTAGGGCAGCCTTTGTAACTATACCGAGAACTTAGAACTTATATCTCAAGGTGGGTGGCGCATTTAAGTTGTAGATGTCTATGGGCTTCAGTAACCACTTAACACCAAGTGGGCCGTGAGCTAGTCCACCCATGTAAGCAATAAAAAAAGAAGAAAAAAAATTTAAAAATAAACCTATGTCAACTACTGAAAATAAAAAGTGTCAACTACTAAATCAATTTTTTTTTCACTAGGTGTCAACTACTAGCATGGTACCTTTATTTTATTAATAAATAACATAAAAATACACATTCGTTTTATTGCTACAATTCTTGTCACATTCTGAAAGGGGTATAACTTGCGCAATTACTGCTAATTAGAAGTGCCCTCTAATATGGTTCTATACCAAACTATGTCAATAAACATACTAATAAATCCTTAAGGTGTCATCTACTGGGTATTTTACCCTATGGCTAGTTCTCTTGTTTGAGAATATATTGTTGGTTTTATTTATTTATTTAGCGAAATTATATTCGATACACAACTACGAGTATCGATCAGTGAAATCGATATCCGCACAGCCCCTAGGGCGCGGCGCCCTTCCACAGCAGGTAAAGTAAAGGGGATATTTACAACTATTTTTTTTACCGATATCATAATTTGTAATACATACAAATCTAGTTCTCTTGTGTGGAAGATGTATTATTGTTTTTTTTATTTACCGATATTATATTCGATACACTTTTTTATTTATTGCTTAGATGGATGGACCAGCTCACAGCCCACCTGGTGTTAAGTGGTTACTGGAGCCCATAGACATCTACAACGTAAATGCGCCACCCACCTCGAGATATAAGTTCTAAGGTCTCAGTATAGTTACGACGGCTACCCCACCCTTCGAACCGAAACGCATTACTGCTTCACGGCGGAAATAGGCGGGGTGGTGGTACCTACCCGTGCGGACTCACAAGAGATCCTACCACCAGTGATTACGCAAATTACAATTTTGCGGGTTTTGGTTTTTATTACACGATGTTATTCCTTCACCGTGGAAGTCAATCGTGAATATTTGTCGAGTACGTATTTCATTAGAAAAACTACGAGTATCGATCAGTGAAATCGATATCCCGATATCCGCACAGCCCAGAGTGCGCGTTGCCATTCCACAGCAGGTAAGTAAAGTAACTATATTAAAAACAACCAAAAAAAGGAAAAAAAACGACTTAAATATATAATATGAATCGAAGCAGAAGTTTATGTTTATCGCTTTATTTAAACTCCTGTTCATTGAATCTACAATTATTACTTTGAAATTACTTTATTTACATTTGTAAATAAATACACACGTGTATATTATTTATTAACACAGATTTATACATAATTTTTTTTACACGATGTAGACATAAAACTTACAAAAAATTACGGTTCGTTTTTACAAGTCATTTACATACACATTTTATAATATTACAATTTTACTAACTAAGGGCGTAAGAGAATGATTCCCGGAGCCGAAATAGTAATTTTGTACTAACTACATCAACATAATCGAAAAATAATAATAATTGACCTAACCAGTAATTTAAAAAAAAAGGATGTGTTATCGGATCTTTAAGGAAAGATTTTTTTTTAATTCTATCTACCCACAATTTTAAAGTGTCGGTTGTATCTCGCGCATTTCCTCTTACATTGCGTGCAGTACGAAACAGTAAAATATCGTTTATCATCGCTTATTGAATATAAGTAAGACATTACCAACTACTTTAGTTTCCGGGAACGACTCTTACTCCCGATATTAATGAACCTTTAAGATTATACGCACAAGCAAAACTATTCATTTGGAAACATTAATGTAAAAATTATTAAATACAAAACGCACCACAAACCGACTATACAAGCACGGTAAAATACGGACGCTCGATTTAGTGGTGTCAACTTTATGTATTCCCAGAACTCCAATAATGAAGCAATGTTTAAAAATTAATTACATAAAACTTCAGTTTTAAAGTTGGTTAAAATTGGGTGGCAGCCCTACCTTTAATCTTTAGTAAAGATCTAGAACTACATTATGGTAAAACACGCACGCTGAAGATGCGTCAGACTTCCTGCACTTTCTATGGTATTTCGTTGTGTGTTCTAAATACACATGTTACGCAATATCGACCCCACTATCCCAGATATTGGTTGGAGGGTAACCCACGCTTGGAACCACATGAGCATACTGTAGTTATTTAAGTCGGATCACGAACTGAAGATATTAATTTCGTGTTTTTTTGTCATTACTCTTAAAGTGATTTAAAATTATAATAAAAAGAAAATATTCAAATTCATTTTCTGTCTCCTGAAGTTCCTCCTAATATTGAAGAGACTGGATAGTTCTTCGTCGATCGACCGAGTCAGAATTCAGATTGACTTGCATCATTAAACTAGACTGAATTTTTTTATGAATTGCCTAAACGTAAAATTATTTCATATACAATTTCAGATACCTAGTTAGGCCTAATACTCATTATGTCTAGATCATTAACAGTTCAATACTAAATAGGAATGCGATTTTAAGACTAGACCATGCGCCGAAAACTTAATATCAAATTGGTTTAGGAATATGTATATGTATAAAGATATAAGAACCATATATCTGATTTCATGTAAATAATCGATTTTAATAACTTATTTTGTACTTAACATGTCTTTAAAATAATAATATAAAAGAATCACCGAACCACAATGTTTAATCAATAACAAGTACTTTAATATATGTAGGCTTTGGTCGGACACTGCCAAACCTCATATTACGATGTTCCTTATAAAATTATCTTGTAGACAACAAAACAAAAGTAATAGCATTCTTTAGCGAAATAAGCTAATAATACAATTATATTTATATTTTTTCAGTATAGTTACAATGGCTTTACGGCAGAAATAGGTAGGGCGGTTGTACCTACCTACCTACCCGTGCGGACTCACAAGAGGTCCTAACACCAGTGATTACGCAAACTATAATTTTGCGGGTTTGATTTTTATTACACGATGTTATTCCTTCACCGTGAAAGTCAATCGTGAACATTTGTTAAGTAGGTATTTCATTAGAAAAATTGGTACCCGCCTGCGGGATTCGAACACCGGTGCATCGCTCGATACGAATGCACCGGACGTCTTATCCTTTAGGCTACGACGACTTTAATATAGAATTTAAAATTTTTTATAAGAATAAACGGCAACTACATCAACATTTTATTCAAATATAAACGATTGCTTACTTTTTAATCTCACAGCGAAATCAGTTCGATTTTTTTTAATTCCAATTTACCGCCCCGATAACATATTATGTTATTTTAAAACTAGTTTATGGGTTATTTCGCGTTTTTATTGTCACTAAAAAACAATTAAAAAAAGGGTGCGTGTACTTATGTACGCGCGTAAGAAGTTATACTATATTTTTATTAAATTTCTCTTTTTATATTTATTTTTTTAATTTAATCTAATTGAAAAAAAATCGATTAAACAACATCCTCAAACACGCATATTGGACATCCCTTTTCTTGCCATCGTATAAATTCGGTAATTCTCGGTACGGTTCGGAAAGTTCACCTGCGGCTATCTTGAGACTCGCCAAGTTACGTCGGTCGTATTGTAATGAGCGATTTAGTGGGCAACTTCATTCTGTTAATTTTGTGTCACGGTGCGCGCGCATCGTAAAATTTCACTCTCATCAATTTTTCATAACGCGCCTAAAGAAGTATAACTTCAAAAAAACGAGAGATCAAAACGTAACAGTAGTTATAATTATGTCTATGAGTCCAGAAACGAAGAAAATACCTATTAGACTACAATTCAATATTCATCAATATTGTATTACATAAATATATTATATTCATTACCTTATTACTGTAATATTAGCCGTAACTCATTCATAGCACGATTGTAGAAAAAGAAATCAACATTTTCAACTACCTTCAAAACATATAGGAAAACAGTAGAAGAAGAACCCGGCGTGTCTGATGAAACAGCGAAGACAACAGAGTAAAAATAGAGAGGGGACAACCAAAGAAGGGTAGTAGAATATAAATAAGAGATTTGCTAAATTTTCATCTGTCAGATAATCTTCGGAACAAATAATCGAAATTTATTTATGTATGTAGTTCTCGTAGGCAGACAAACAGATTAATATATATTTTACAAAGATTATTTCGAAAAAATAGTTATAGTCATTCAATATATTTGGAATTTACAGTATCAGACTTAACACATACTACCATGGATATCCAAAATCAAGCAATTGAGAGATAGCTGAATAAGTTTCAGGCATTATTACAACCTTTTTTTTAAAAAGTGGAGTACATTATGACTTTGTCAACAGTAAAAATATAAGTGGGATAAGCAGACTTAAGTTCTATTAGCTTTTTGTATACAAACCCTCCCAATAGGATATGGTACCCCTGCTCAAAAAGTTGCTTTTTTTATTGCTTAGATGGATGGACGAGCTCACAGCCCACCTGGTGTGAAGTGGTTACTGCAGCCCATAGACATCTACAACGTAAATGCGCCACCCACATTGAGATATATATGTTCTAAGGTCTCAGAATAGTTACAACAACTGCCCTACCCTTCAAACCGAAATGAATTACTGCTTCACGGCAGAAATAGGTAGGGCAGTGGTACCTACCCGTGCGGACTCACAAGAGGTCCTACCACCAGTAGCCGAAACACTCAATAGAACTAGAGAGTTCAACAGGAAAAATACTAAGACCCCTTTAACTATATTCGGGATAAATATCAAACAGTTACATTGGGAGGATGAAAAAGAGGAATTTCCCTTTGATGAGATAACAAAGTAACTGGCACTCAGATAAGTTTAGTGAGATACTAAGAAGTTTCCTGTCCAACCATCAGAATGTGATCGACGACGTAAAAAATAATGTAATGGAATGATTGATGTCTCAGAACTGATAGCCTTCCTAAAGGTAGGCAAACGTAGGCGAACATGGGATCCAATTTTGCAAAGAAGCGTTCCTAGTTTAGTAGCAATAATAGAATGCTGAAATTGTACAAAAACAATTTAAAAGTCACTTGCTCAAATAATACGTCATTTCAGATCCTATAAATATCGGTGATACTAGTTAGACCAAAGTTATAATATTATTATACCGTCATCGGTTATTGATTCGTGTTCAAATATTAAAGCATCAATCGGATGTCTCCAAATTTATAAAAATCATGTTTAAAAAATTCTATTATGTTTAAAGATAGAAAGACAGGTACAGGCCAGGCTAATAAAAGTGTGTTAAAAAACGAACGGGAAAGAATAAGAATAATAAGATTTACAAAATTAGTTGTAAAAGTTGAAATGCTAAATGTGCCAAGAAGCCGGCTGTTTTATTAGCTAAATTTGTTGTTCGACAATACTTTAAAAACAAGGATACGATGTGTACATCTATGTTGACTAATTAAAATTCGGCCTAAATTATTAGAATAATAATTCACCTTTTTCTTTAAGCAACAAAACGATCTGATCGTCTTCAGTATGGCTATACCATCTTTGATGCTCATATTATAGAATCATTAGTATGGGGAGACAGGCTCATTGCTTTTTACCTATTCACCTCCCAAATGGAGATAATATTGACAGTCCCAATCTCACTTGAACCGCTGCCACCTTACTCTCCAGGCAGATCGGTATCTGCTGACGGACAGCTTCAGCTAGTTCCTTTTGTTGGCGAGCTGGTGTTTGAGATGTTGTATCACGTCGTGCTGCCTCGTCAGCTGCTCATTGAGGCCGGCCACGTGTTCTGTCAGCACAGACATCTGCTCCTCGTAGTTGTGAGATGTTGAATGCAGTTCTTCTTCCTGAAAAAAAAAAAAACAACATGTAACTGATATTCATAAAGTCCCACGTCAAATTACGTTTCGTGCCTTAAACTTAATAATATTTTTTTTTTCTCTTTTGTTTTAGTCTCATGGCGATCTGTTTCAGTTGACAATGAGCTATTCCTTTGGCTGAATTTAATCTTAGTAGTGATATAAATAGAATCAGATGTCCAGTGACATCTTCATCTTTTATTGTAAGATTTAATTTCTATTCTGTAAGGTAGGTATACTGTGCCTCCTTAATCTAGTAAACTGCACTGCTCCTGTGCCTCCTAGGTCTGACGCCAATTTATTGACGTGTGTCGATAACCTGGCTTGGTATTTTTTGCTGTAAGCTACTATTTCCTCTTTCACTGTGGGAATATTTAGGTCCATTTGTATGATCTGTATTATAATAATAATAATAATAATCATATGAAAAGTGTTACTATACATTTGGCTGAAACTTGAGTAGTTTGCAAATTACCAATGTATGATATGACAGATATGATATCAAGGATTTTTTTCCTACCTATTCTAGTAACCTCGAGAGAATATTCTAGATTCACCTAACTAACATTGACCTGATGGGACCTCAAACCGGGAGTGTTGTTAACACTGGCTCTAACAAGAGCAGTGCTTCGTAGAATCTACCACCAGATCGGAAACGCGACCCACTAAGATCCGGCAAGAAACTCAGTGGGCTATCAAGACAAAGATAGACCAACTCTTATTTTCAGAAGACTGAAGTCTCATTTCTCAAGGTGGACTTTGGTATTAAGCTTTGTCGTGTCTCTGGGCTCCAGTAAACACTCAACACCAGGTGGGCAGTAAAGTAATTTTCCATCTATGTAATAATATAAAAAACTTTAGGAATACCTTATTGGGATAAAGAAAGGACATCAGTTTGTCTACCCACCTAGGTCAATTAAGAAATATTTTGTCAGTGCCATTGTATTAATGTTAAAAACTAGACTTTATAAAGAGATATGAAGTTATAAATACGATGACTCACTAGTCTGTTGATAGTATTGTGTTTCTCATTCAATGTATGCTTGTCCATTTGTTTGTCCTGCTCCATCTCCTCGAATCGAAGCCTCAGTAACTCACACTGAAAACGCAATATTCTTGATAACTTTTAAACTTTGTTGTAACCTTTACCACAAACAAAGAGAGTTGATTGTGCAGTGTTAATATTCTTTGTGACATGAGCACACCATAAACATCTGATAGGTTAACTTAAAAAAAAAACTAGATAATTAAAATGAACGTACAAAAGGACAAAGCAGCCATGTGTGACATATAATAAATTGACAAAATGGTTTTATATGTGGTTAATATGAGCACTATGAGACGTATATATCGACACTTGAAAGGCAAACGTGACTAAGTGACAATGCATGAACTTTACAGTAGACTAATTTAAAGTTGAAATACCTGACAAAAATTCTATTTTAACGAATCTAGCTGTAGGATTGAAATATTGAAATGATTTTTATAAACCTAGAAATATTGTTTTTTTGCGAATCGAATATGGTTATTGCCTATCATTTATGTATAAGGCAGTTATTGTCGCTTAGTCACGTTTGCCTTTCAAGCGGCGATATATATCTCAAACACTGACTACCATTGAATACACACTGTGAAGAGGACGAGTTCATAAACGAATACAAATATTTTTTCTGTTTATCATTTTTTTAATTAGATTTAATTTTAAGACTTAGAAAATCATATAGGGAGCCCTATTATAAATATTTGATACCAACAGTAACAACAATTTATAGAAATTACTATAGTTGCTGATGCATATTTCCATGGAATATTGACACAAACTTTTTGTCTTCCTATAATGGGCTCAAAAAGCTTTGATAACTCATTATAAGTAATTAGCAGTTTATAACATCACATTATTACATAGAATTTGAGACAATATTAAAATACCTCTTTAATATAATGTTCAGTCTTACTCTTCAACTCTGCTTTCTCAACCTGAATTTGACTTAGTTTGCTCCTGAAATATGTCTTCATCCTTTCTTCTCTTGCTTTAGTCTCTTCAGACAAAACAAATGGAACTTCAAGACTTCCTAAAAGCCCTGTAACTCTCCCCTCCCCATCTATAGACGTTTCACTAAATACATTAAAATCACCAGAATCATGCCCATCACCTCTTCTTTTTTGCGAGGCAGATTCATACTTTGCAACTTCTAATTTTAAACTCTCATTTTCTAAGCGTAAAATTTCGAATTCCAATTTCATTTGTTGGTTTTCCTAAAACAAACAGCAATTTAGAATGAGCCTGATTACTTGAGCAACCTAATTAACGGGGCATGTTTACCTGTTCTAAGGAATGTGCTTTAACACTAATTTGTTCATTGTCATTCAAATCATCTACAGAACAAAGTCCCCCTTCACTGCCAAACTGTAAAGTAAAAGAAACAAAATCTTATATTCAAATACTCCACAAATTGCCTATAAATAAGAATTTACCAAAGCATTTACCAAACTCCCTGCTTCCGACAGGAAGTCACCATTACAGCTTGTCGGTTGACTACTAGATGGTGCATTGACCCTGTTTGGGGTCCCATCAAGCTTCTCTTTTTGTGCACCTTCTAATGCTAGCTGTAATTCTTGATTTCTGTTTTTTAGTTTTGCTATTTCACATTTATATTTACTGTCACTTTCACTTATGTGTCTCTGGTAGTCTTCTAAAGATGCTTTCAATTGAGATATCTCAAAATGTTTGTCTGCAAGCTAAAGCAAAATTGTATGAAAATCATTTATTTATGATTTATTTGTATTATGTATCATGTGGATAAGCAGTAATATCCAGATAATACTTCCTATTTGATTTGAATGCTAATTAAAAATCTTCTGTATTAAATTATGAAGATTTGATCTGTGATTACTGTATTACTGCAAATTTATCGTCCTTATCAGACGCTCATGTCAACACAGATTTACTAGAATGTGATTATCTAGTGTACTGGTACAATTCCAGGACTTAGCCCACAAGCTTATACACTATAGATACCATGTTGGCATATTGAGATTTAATTATAAAAGTAGGCAGAGACACCTAGGCAAATAAGATATTCAAATATACTATAGAACAAATTGAAGATCAAAATTTTGTTAATTTTTTTTCTCCTAATATAGTTTTGCACCTGAGAGGAAATATCAGCATTTTCTATGATTTTCTTCTGCAGTTCTTCTTGTAGTAACCCTGAATCCAACATGCTACTTGTTGTGGGCTGTTTTTCTTCATTTTTACTTTTTGTTTTTTTTGTACATTTTATCTGTAACCAACATAAAATGCAATCAATGCAACTAGAATTTTCACTCTGAGTCCTGCATAAAATAAGACTGAATTAAATTTACCGGAATTGGTAACAGCAGTAACAGAATTATAATTCATTTTTTTACTAACACCGCTATTCCTAATAATTTCTAAAAGTAGTGTCAAGGAAACTCACTTGTAATATATCCAGTTCATCCTGGAGGACGGAAACTCGTCTTGTCAGCTGCTGATTCCTGAATGTCAGAGAATCTATCTCCAATTCGCCTTTACGCAAAGCCTTTTCTTTCGCCTTTAAAGTCTCTCGCAATTCATTAGACTTTGCTTGCTCATCGAGAACTCCTTTTTTCAAAACTTTGATGTGCACTCGCAGCTGTAAAACGGATGTGCCGAATTAACTTAGTCACGAAACATTTAATTTCACGAACAATGGATTGCTACTCACTTTAGAATACTCAGCGGCTAATTTTTGGTATTTAGTCTGAATATCCCCTGTTGGTAAGCCTTCCATGACTGTTTTAAATGTTCATAACAGTATAAATAGTGTAATATTTGTTTATTAAACTGGTTTGTGTTTAAGTATGTATCACAATTTTATTGAAACGAACTCCCACTTTCATCAAATTGTCAACAAAATATTATTTTTTTTGAAGATTTTTGGACCTGGTAATAAGACCTTTAAGCCGACACAATATTCTCGTATGAGGTTTAAATAATTTTATTTATGCTCTTATACCTAGTCTATCCAAAAGGAACTTTGTAGTAGATATTAGTCGATGATCAACTTATTTTCATTTGTAAGGTTAAATTATTAATTTTGGTAAAATTGTAGAACAGTTCGTTCCAAAGCTATTTTACTATTCATTAATTCTAATTTGAAGTCACTTAGTGCCGGCTGACCATAGTTTTATTTATGATTTTCTGAGAAGTTTAGTCGATAACGAGACAAATTAAATGTAAACTTGACGTATTATTTCATATAAATATTTGCATGTTGCAACACTAAGTCTGTTGATGTGTCGCGATTGCCCGATTGTTAGTTTCACTATTTTGTAAATTTGATGAAAGAAAACAATTATTAAATAACATAAATATACAAATTAAAGAAAGCAAAACTTATTACAGCTTTCAATGATACGAACATGGACGACAGGCAAGTTCTTTGTCAATCTCTCGTCACAACATAATACAACTACTAAAACAGCACTAGAACAAAGTAAATCCTGAGTGAAATGTCTTTTAACATTACAGAAACATGGAATCGAGCTGTTCCACTTGTAACGAGATTGATGGTGAACATTTCAAGAGCATTATACATATTGATTTAGATTGTTTCTACGCACAAGTGGAAATGGTGCGAAACCCCGAACTCCGTGATGTACCGCTCGGTATCCAACAGAAGAACATTGTAGTGACGAGTAATTACGAGGCAAGGAACTACGGAGTTAGTAAATGTATGCTCGTTACTGACGCACTTAAGGTTTGTCCAAATTTGAAACTTGTAAATGGTGAGGATTTACATAGTTACAGAACTGCATCAGGCAAGGTGTTTTTAGTGTTGCAAGGTTGGCGGTGTCCCGTTGAAAAACTTGGAATGGATGAAAATTTCATTGATGTGACAAGTCTTGTGGAGGAAAAATTAAAAAATGCAAACTTAAATGATCTCATAGTTATGGGCCAGCTATATAGTGAACCGAGTGCTGAATGCCCATGTGGTTGTCACAACAGACTAAAAATAGCATCACAAATTGCAAATGAAATGAGGAAGAAAATTTATGATGAGTTGGGTTACACAACTTGTGCCGGAATAGCTCATAACAAGTTGTTGGCTAAACTAATTTGTCCCCTGCATAAACCTAACAACCAGACCACAATATTCCCTCAACATGGAGCCAATTACATGTCTACTCTGACTAGTGTCCGGTCCATTCCAAGTATTGGCTCCAAAACAATGGAAGCATTAATTTCTCAGAAGATAATATCGGTCAGTGACTTACAAGAAGCTCCTTTAGAGATTCTGAAAAAACATTTCAGCAGTGATATGGCTGTTAGATTGAAAAGTTTAAGTTTAGGAGAGGATAATACTCCAGTAAAGCAAAGTGGAAAACCTCAGAGCATAGGATTGGAGGATAGTTTCAAAACTGTAAGTGTAAAAAGTGAGGTGGAGGATAAATTCTCTGCTCTGCTACAGAGATTATTAGTACTTGTAAGAGAAGATGGTCGCATTCCAGTTTCGGTGAGGGTAACTTTACGTAAGAAGGATGCTAAAAGATTAAGCAGTCATAGGGAATCAAGACAAAGTCAGATTTCTCCATCTATCTTCACACTAAGCAGTGGTGTGTTGACTGTAACAGAAGCTGGTCAGCAAAAATTGATGGCCATAATAATGAGATTATTCACTAAACTTGTTGATTTATCTAAACCATTCCATTTGACTTTGGTGGGACTAGCGTTTACCAAGTTCCAAGAACGAATGACAGGCAGGAGTTCCATTGTAAACTACTTAATGAATGACATTTCTGTTCAGTCAGTTCTCAACTTACAAAATGATGGTGACGCTTCAATTACTTCAATGGACTATTCTGCTGCATCTCCAAGTAGCAGTACCACTACAGATCTCTCTGATGCAGAAATTGAGCCATCACCTAAAAAACCTAAGAAAGTTAATTGGATTGCAAAGAAGCGGTGCCTAGCCAAGGAAGAAGTTGCATCACCAAGTAAACTGAAAGTTGGTGAACTTAGACTTAATTCTAAAGAGCTAGAAAAAGTCTCAGAGTTGAGGTTAAATTCAAGAGATCGATCTCTTACTCCTCGAGCAAGCCCCGCTAAAGACAACTTTTCTGATGCTTCAGATTCTATGAAGGACCTAGAAGATGGAGCTTGTAATGATTGTCCAAGTTATGTTGATAAAGAAGTGTTTAGTGCTCTCCCTGATGACATGCAACAGGAACTTAAATCAATGTGGAAGAACCCTACTAGTTCTGAGAAAACCAGGAGTAGTCCAAGAAAGAACAAATCAAAACCCAACTCTATAATGAAATATTTTGTTCCACAAAAATAGTATTAAAAATATTTTATCTTGTTATTAACGTTAAGTGAAAAGTGAATGGTTTCTATTTTTTCAAATCATACAATTTTATTCAGCTGAAAATACATGTTTATGTTAAAAAGGTTGTTGTGTTTATTATTTATAACTTTAACTCACCAAAGTAGGAAAATCATGCAAGGCTCATAGAAATCAGTATTTATTAAAACGAGATTGAAGTTTAATTCTTAATCCAAATAATGTGACCTGAGTATGAACGTAGTCATTTAAATTAGAATTTTGGGAAAAGATGCCTGATAATTTAAATATCAATGACGAGATCTACTTTGATTTTCTGTCAGTGATCAATTAGTCAGTTGGGCAGTTTTATTACGATCATGTTAATCTTTCAACTTTTTCTTCCAAATGAAAGTTGTAGCTTTGTATGAAGTCGTCCAGTTGTCACAGTCCACTCCATTTCTACCTTGAGAGATGTTACAACTTGTGTACAATGTGTGGGGAGGTAGAAAGTCACGATAAAATTGAGTAAAAAAAGTTGATGATTTATCAAATAGGAAATGTAACTGCCGACTAAGTAGGTACTTAGGGTAATTTTAAGGTGGGTGGCGGCATTTACATTGTAGACGTCTATGGGCTCCGGTAACCACTTAATATCAGGTGGGCCGTGAGCTCGTAGAGCCATCTAAACAATAAAAAAAATGGATAAATATATCATTTATAGTTGCTAAAAAGCACAAGTAAATCGTTATGATATTAAGTAATTACCGTGTGTAGCGCCTATAATAACTGGGTAGCAACGATTTATTTATAATAAATAGATCTTGATACTTTTTGTTAATATTTTGCCTCATTAATAAATGTATTAACATTTTTTTTTTGAATTCTCATTTTTTCCCCTAATTTCAGCTGGCCATGACAATTAACTTAAAAAAACAAATTTATTAAAAAAAATACAATTGTTGGGTTTCGTTTGCAGAAGACTACGCACTAAATGAATAAGAAATATCAATAACTAAAATAATCAGTCCAATTAAATTTAATAAAACACAAACCTTGTATAACTGGACATATCATTTAATTTCTATATTTTTTACAGCATCTGTAACCATATTGGATAAATCTGTGTATTTCTGAACACTATGTACATCGAGTTTTAACGATTCTGCTATTTTCCCATAAGAAATGACATCTACTTTTAGTTGAAGGCGAATTTTATCGCCATCTGTGATACCGATCTCGGGGTTTTGCTGTGACGCCACTTCCCGGATTTGTTTCAGTCTTCTCAGTGAGTCCTCAGTTTTCTGAACAGATGTTAAAACGTCTTCCACATTCCTGTGATACCTGTGAAACGAAAACGTGATAACAATGTTTGTTTTTCGTGACGCCCATTTAATACATATTCCCGAAAGTTCATACTCACGAAACGGTCAAAACACTAAATAAATCTTCGTATAATTCGGACAAAAACGACTGATCCAATCTCTTAGAGGCGTCTTCATTAAATTCTCTCAAGGCATTGGACACGGTGTCTATGTACGCACATGGTTTGGAAGGTACACTTCTGTTAGTTTTTCTGTACAACCTCGGTATATCGCTTACTTGTTTTAACTGTACATTAAAATTATCATACAATTCATTTATAATAAATTCTTTGATTCTCTTGTGAACTGCTCTCAAAGACTCCTTGGAAGACTGCAAACTCTTTCTAAGTAATTCGTTATTTTCAATCTCTAATTTCGACTCGACCAATTGCAGCAACAACGGCAGGCGTTCCACCAGGTTGTGGATGTCAACATAAATGTTTATGCTGTTGTTTATCAATTTTTTATTTACATTTAATGTTTCTGCTTTTCGTAATGATGCTTTCTAAAAGATAAAATAATTAATTTATTGAGTACATATTGTTTGGAATAGGCAGTTAATTACGTAGTCGAACAATTTTGTATTTATTAAACTTTAGTTGAGTATGATTAAAAAATTAAGTGTGTTGAAGAAATAATTCAAATCAGATTATAATAATATATAATAAATATGCCTTTCAAAATTAAAGCTACAGCTAGATTTTAGATTATACTGAATGCCTTTCCCGAACGAGTGTTGGTATTGAATGTGTAAGGCGTGCCTAAATATGACGTCATTATTCAAAATGGAGTGTTCCTTTCCTGCGTACTTTAAAAAAAACATAATTCATTTTATATATTTCTTTATTACGTGTATTTTTCGTTAGTCGCCACGCGTGATAGTAAAAAAGAAACGGATACCTAACATACAGATCAGGACTTCGGATATAATTGTCAAGGTTGTCAGGCATCAATACTTGAAATTCGAAATTATAGAAATTTTTAATCAACTTTATGTTAACATGTGGACTTAATAACCTTAATTTACCTGAGAACAATAAGAGCTAGCCCACGAAGCGTATCTCGATATCAACTGTAATGAGAGTTTCCAGAATTTATGTCCCAGTGCTTTTATGTAAATACCATCAGACCAACAGTCTTGTAATGCTAACCAACATTTATATGTCTGCTTCAAAATGAAACCATCACTGGATTCAATAAAGGGATCATTATGTAGTGAACCCTCATAGCTACCTGTAAACAGATTGAGGAGTCTTAAATATTATACAGTTATTCTTAATATAAGAAAATATATGAGTCGACTATTATCAAAGCCGGCAATGTGACTTTTGGACAATTATTGGTAAATCAGAAAAACGAATTATTGACTTTGTATTCCATTGGCAGTCACAAAACCCTTCTGAACGACATTTTAGATAAATAACAGGTTAAGTATTAACCTTTATTTAATGCAGGTTTTGAACCGTATTCTTTGAAGGAGACGATTATATTCAAATTAATCTGTATTGACATATCAATAAATTTTTTTGTCCAAATGCACAGATTGCCACCTTTGATAATAGACGACTCATATAGTATAAAAATAGTTGTACCAGCAATTTCTTGAAATCTTATCTGGAAGTAAACTGGGAGATTCCATCTTCTCTTGAAACTCTTATATTCTATAGTTTCGCGAAATAGTTTCACTGTATTTTCGGCAAGGCAATATTGTTCAAATTTGTTTATAAATTCCATACTTTCATTATATCTTTTGAAAAAAGTTTGAGGATTGCCAGGTGCAAATATTGATGATAAATTAATTTCAATTCTATTCTCGACTTCACACCAAAAAGAATTAACGAGGAACCTATATTTCTTATCAAGAAATGCCAGTTTGGAATGTTGTGTAATACTAANTGTATTTTCGGCAAGGCAATATTGTTCAAATTTGTTTATAAATTCCATACTTTCATTATATCTTTTGAAAAAAGTTTGAGGATTGCCAGGTGCAAATATTGATGATAAATTAATTTCAATTCTATTCTCGACTTCACACCAAAAAGAATTAACGAGGAACCTATATTTCTTATCAAGAAATGCCAGTTTGGAATGTTGTGTAATACTGAGTAGCAATTTAAATTTCGTATCCAAAAGTGCTAAGACCAGATCATATATCCCTGACAAGCCATCTTTGTTTCTCTGCAAAGCTGATTCGTTGATAATGTCCTGTAGTAATGGAGCTACTGCCTGTTTTCTTAATAATTTCTCGACATCACCGACCCGGTCTAGAGTTGCTAATGTTAATAATGCTTTTGTTAGATTTTCTTCATCTCCATCATTCCAGAATTGGAATAGCAATTCATTTAAGGTCCTTACGAGTGTTTCTTCAATATAAGTAAATTGCGTTTTGTGTTCAAGTTTTACTAAATTGTCACATTTTTTTATGGTAAACTTTAACTGATTATACTGCATAGCAGCTCTATCGGCTAGTACAATTTTATCATACATTTTCTGTTCAGTAATATTTTGTAAAACATTATCTAATGTGTTAAGACTGTTTATTGTTTGGCTATAATATTTCAGTAACTGCTTTTTACTTTGTAAGTTGTGCCGCTGACTCATCCACATGGAAGTTTCTTTCATAGCATCCTCTAGACTTTGTTTTACATTCTGAAAGCATTTTCAATAACAAAATAATTAAGATTTAAAGTCTATATAGTATTGCTGTGTGACATTAAATTCTTTTTTTATTATTATTTTCTTTATTGCAAATAGTGAACAAAAAATGTGACACATTTCATTCAATTTTTTTATTGTGTGCCCGAAATTAATCTATAAGATGAGAACTATCTACTAATTTACTGGTGGTAGGACCTCTTGGGGTCCACACGGGTAGGTACCACCACCCTGCCTATTTCTGCCGTGAAGCAGTAATGCGTTTCGGTTTTAAGGGTAGGGCAGCCGTTGTAACTATATTGAGACCTTAGAACTTGCATCTCAAGGTGGGTGGCGCATTTACGTTGTAGATGTCTATGGACTCCAGTAACCACTTAACACCAGGTGGGCTGTGAGCTCGTCCACACATATAAGCAATAAAAAAAAATCTAAACTACAAAGAGCCTAGCTTTTGTGTGGTACTTTAACCAGTATCATCAATGGGTACACTAACAAAGCAGTCCAACTACAAACATTGTTTTTAATTAAGAGAAGAATAAGTACTTACAAGAACATCCTTGTTTAATTGTTCTAATGGCACGTGAACTTTAGCTATAGCTTTGTCAAAGCCAATTAATGTTGCACATAAATTAACAAAATTGGCATAGTCCTTATTTATTAACTCTATCATAGCCAATCGGAGAACTTTTAAATACATGCCTAGGTCATCCCTCATAGTTTCCAGTGAAGCCACATCCTGATGCTCTGCTAAGAAGTTATCTACAGAAAAATTTGTCTGCAAGAGATTAAGTCATTTAGTATTTTAATTAAATCTTTCAATTTTATATTAAGTAATAGATGAATGATGAAAACAACTAGTAAGTAAAGATTATGGAAACAGAAATGAAGATACCTAAAAATAACCATAAAAACTTTCAATAGGTATTGTTATCATAAGTTGCAGTTAAAAAAAGCAGTAGACTTAAAATGAGTGTACATCAGTTTTTCTAAAAGAAATATTTATATACTAAAACTACTACTAGCTTTAAATTTCAGCTTTGTTCTTGTGGAAACTATTCTATGTACAAAGCAAATCCAATTAACCATTTTTACGACCCAATTCATGGAGTTTTGCTAACATCATAAACCCAATATCTCATACATATCTTTAGTGGTATTTTTATCAAACTACAACTATCAGATAACAACTAATGAGCAAGTGTGATTTCATTGAAAATATCAACTGACTTAGTCTTATTCTACACTTTATCAATGATAATTCTGATTTTCTACAGCACAAATCAAGCTTTTAACTGTTAAAGGTCAGGTAAATATCTGCTACAAAGAACTGAATCTGATCACAAAATATATAGTAATATGTTAAGAGCTTTACTATTGAATTTTGATAAAAAAAACATTTCAGTGTTGAAGCACTATTCAAGGAGTTGTTTATTAAAAACTCTAACTAACATTATAGATTGAAAAGCTGTGTTAGTGTGGTTTGGATCCCTGTAATCTAGTAATATAATCTATAATGTTATCTATATGCTATAATATCATTACGACGAGACTAAAATAATAACTACAAGTTAACATCTCTGTACTTTTAGATGTTGATAGCCGGGTATTATTTGACGTGTCTATTTCAGTACATTAATTTGTAGCATCTAATTGGACGCAATATAGATTGATTTAGATATAATAATAGATATTTTCGGGCGATTTTGGAGAAATTTATAATAACACTGACTGAAATATTGAAAAAATAAGTATTGGTAAAGAATAAACAATAAGTACTTTACAAACCTTCACGAAATCATTTCGATCAAAACACAAACCTCGAGGGGCCGGAGGCAAGCTAAATTCAGTCGATTCACATTCCATGTTTATTGTTTATTACCATATTTTTACAAAGGCACCATAATTGAGGGAAATGTTTAATTATTTCTTGTTTGGATGATTTTGATGAAATGTTGAATTGATACCATGATTTGAGTTTGACAGCAATGACGTCAGCTTGACATTACACGTCTACAGTGTTGCGAGATTGTCATAAAATTCAGGCATTTATTTTATGAATGTTTACTGCAGAGCCTTAATTTTAACTTAAATCAATGGATAAGTACAAAATAATTTAAGATATCATGCTTCAAATCTACCACACATGATCAAGATCAAAATAATGTGGTTGGTCATATTAACAACCAGTGTTTTTGTTCAAGTAAGCATCAAGGCTGTTTCAAATCGATAAACTACTTTACCACCGATTTGGAATTTGTTTCAACACTGAATAATGATCAAAGATTACTGTTGCTGTGTGGAGCACATTTTTAAATCCACGCTGTTGCGGCATTCATAATCTCTAAATGCTAAGTCTTGGCTATTAAACTAATTTATTTAGTTATTTTAACCTATGATCGAAATAGCCTTGGTATTTTGTTAAAATAAATAATTTCCTAGATAGCACGTGGTTTACCTTCAGGTAAGGTCGATCTTGAGATTACCAACAAATGGCTTCAAATCTTAGTCTAGTATGGTTTCCTAGCGTTTTCACGAAATTGGTTTTGAAATTGCTCGAAGTGCGATCACAAGTTGCGGGAAACGCAGTACCGCAACATTCTAAAGGCGCACGTATCACTGAGTCAGGTATGTAATTAATCAAGTATATATTTTTAAGGGAATCCTGATTGTACAGGGTAAACTGCTGCTGCTGGCAAAGACTAAATGGAAAAAATCGGCTATCTAACGGTGCCAAATTTTCATATTTCGTGAACCTACAATCTAAGCATGAATTGCTTAGTGACAGCTTCTAAATTATGTTGGTTCTACTTCCGCCAGAATCTCTGTACAGTTTCAAAACATTTTTATAAATGCGAGACTTTGCGTTCTATGCAAAAATTCATAACTCCTCAGGAGAACAATTTGTGTCTGTTTTCGTTAATTGCGCTTTTGGTATTACACTACGTTCCTTTATGAAAATAAGCACGAATTGATATCTACATTACATGTACTGGGATCAAATCATATTGACTTGGTATATTCGCTTTAGCAGACACTACGCCACGGACGCATTATAATTTTTAAATTAATAAATGATGTTAGTAAAACACGTTCGTTTTATTTGTATTACTTTGTAAAATTCAGTTGTATTTTAATAAACGTTCATTTTAACTTATAATATCTATAAAAATGCCTTTTTTTAGCGAAAGTTCTTTACGCGTGTTGAGGGTAAAATTTAACTCGCGACAGAATCGTTACGGCCAAAGAGAAAATATACAATTTAGGGAGAAAGAAAGTGAGAAAATAGACAGCGGATCACGAATCACTTGACCTTGGAGAGAGGAAGAAAGCGAGCTAGATCAAGGTCTATGGCTAGGTCGTTTCTCATAAACACATTCTATTTGCGGATGTCGGCCACTAGATGGCTTATTAGTTTCTCATTGTTCCTGTAGATGGCTGTGATTTCTTAAGTATTTTAAATTTTACCTATTATCTACGAATAAATACTTATTATTAATTTATTATTACTTATTACTTAAGCAAAGGACTGTCCTCCGATCTAAGTTACTGGTCGATTATGATTTGATTTTGTTAATGTATGACCAATAGAGCTTCACATACCTATCTTGAATGTTAGGCGAAATCATGCCTCTATAAATTATTTATTTATGATTATATGAGATACGACCACCGCAGAACCAGTCATGAGGACGAACTTTGGGGAAGGCTATGTCCAGCAGTGGATGCCTGTAGATTGATAATTATATTTATCTGTAGAAAATTAAATTATAACATAAATTTAATGGCCCAGAGTATCTACTTACAAAACTAAATTGTCCGTAGATTAATTTATAATTCAGTTAAATCAAACTTATCATTAAGGTACATTTACTTAACAATCTGATTGCACTGTTATTCGATGTTATTACCTACCTAAATATTTAAGTAAAGATATAGGTATCGAAAATGTGGTACAACGCGAACATAATTAACATTGCCTAGTTGAGGCTTTATTGGACATGTCTTTTAATTCAGAAGATCTTTATTTGAATAGAGCAAAATTTGTTATGAAATATCTTGGAGTTTGGGTTCCTCCTGAAAACGAAAATTTCGCAAGGAAATTTTACAAAGTTTTTATGATGTCCCTTCAACATTTATTTTTATTTTTCCAGACAATATACATAGTGGAAGTATGGGGGGATTTGGAAGCAGTTTCTCAAGCGTCGTACTTGCTATTTACACAAGCCTGTCTGTGTTTTAAGATAACAGTTTTTCAATTAAACATGAATAAGCTCAAAGAACTGTTGAAGCTAATGAACGGATACGTTTTTCAGCCAAAGAATATTATTCAACAAAAGTATGTTGTATCTCACTGAATAGATTTTATGTTTACCCAATATATTACACTTCTATTTAGTATATTTTATTATCCTCAGCATTATAAAAGTACAAGCGATACGAATTAAGAGATTGTTATTTGCGTTCATGATAAGCTCCCAGTTGACATGTGGCATGTGGGCTCTGAAGCCGTTGTTCGACGATGTCGGAAGTAGAAAATTCCCTTTTGATATGTGGTAAGAAAATAATATCATTAAAGTTAATGCATCGTTAAAGCTTCTTTTTTTATTGCTTAGATGGGTGGACGAGCTTACAGCCCACCTGGTGTTAAGTGGTTACTGGAGCCCATAGACGTCCACAACGTAAATGCGCCACCCACCCTGAGATATAAGTTCTAAGGTCTCACGTATAGTTACAACGGCTGCCTCACCCTTGAAACCGAAACGCATTACTGCTTCACGGCAGAAATAGGCAGGGTGGTGGTACCCAACCGCGCGAACTCACAAGAGGTCCTACCACCAGTAAAAAAGTATAGCTATAGTATTTACATGCAAATTGCATTTTAAATAAAATTTTTCAATACATCAATTTATACCATATTTTTCCCTACCTATTTGTTGTTAGTCTAAGGGGTTATTAGTGAAGGTGAGCTCATGGACTGAACCTGAGAGAATTTGCTAACACTAGTCCTAGCCAGAGCAGCGATTCGCAGAATCTACCACCGAATCAGGATCCATTCAGAAGATCCGGCTAGAAACTCACTGGGTTGTGCTTAGTGGCTTAGTTCGCTCGTCCAATTGTTATCGTTGAAATCAACTACACTCCAATTTGCAAACAAGACCCGAGTTATATTATTCACTCTGAACTACTCTGACCTAGTTTTAGTATATCTTATATTGTTTAATATTTATGATTTTTAATGACGTAGAATTTTAGTGATGTGAATTCCGCCATCATCATCATCATCATCATCATGAACAGACTATTATAGGCCCTTAAGCGGTTTAAAAATGAAAAATCCCAATCGAGGACTGAATAACAGTAGAGCTCCTAGAAGCCGGCGGAATTCCCTTATTGAAGGAACTCCAAGAGCTGTTTTATAATGTTCTCATCTCTGGGAGAGCTCTAAAAGCATGGTACAGGAGTGTAGTCGTGTTATTCTTCAGAATAATCCTTTTGATTATCGACTCATTTCATTGCTGAGCCATATCTATAAGTTGTTTTCTATGGTTATTACGAATTGTCTACTGCGAAGGCTCGATGAATTTCAGACCCTGAAACAAGTCAGGTTTCGAAGTGGTTATGGCACCATAGACCACATCCACATATTCCGCCAGATGATATAAAATGCCGCCAATCGAATCTTAATAGTACTGACAGCTAATCAATCCTTTTGTCTAAACTATGTAGACTAAAATGAACATTATAATAGGATTTAATAGGAATCGACCCACTGATAAACCTTAAAAGAAACGAGGCACATTTTTACGGATAGGGGTGTAGTTATCGGTATAAATTAAAAGTTTTATTATGACGTATTTTTTATTTTTTTTATTTATTGCTTAGGCGTGTGGACGAGCTCACAGCCCACCTGGTGTTAAGTGGTTACTGGAACCCATAGACATCTACAAAGTAAATGCGCCACACACCTTGAGATATAAGTTCTAAGGTCTCAGTATAGTTACAACGGCTGTCCCACCCTTCAAACCGAAACGCATTACTGCTTCACGGCAGAAATAGGCGGAGCGGTGGTACCTACCCGTGCGGACTCACAAGAGGTCCTACCACCAGTAATTACGCAAATTATAATTTTGCGGGTTTGATTTTTATTACACGATGTTATTCCTTCACCGTGGAAGTCAATCGTGAACAATTGTTAAGTACGTATTTCATTAGAAAAATTGGTACCCACCTGCGGGATTCGAACACCGTTGCATCGCTATATACGAATGCACCGGACGTCTTATCCTTTAGGCCACGACGACTCTAAATGATCTTAATGACGTATGGGAACAAAAGAAGGTTGGTAACCACTGATCCAATGCAATGAAAAGGCAGAAGAAGGATAGCAGCTTATCAGATCTTACACCACGTGCTACCATTCCCAGTATTTAAGGCACTTGAGGAAATTTTTTGTTCGAAATTAAGATACCACTACTAGGAATGAAATATGTAGAAGCATTCGTTGCATCTGAAGTATTTGCAGAACTATTTTTGTGTGTTTGATTCACTGATTCACTGCCTTAATAAAATTTTGTACCAGGATGCCAGTATCTCCGGAGAGGTCACCACATTACCATTTAGGCTACTCATTTCAGTTAGTAACGATCTGTATGAGTGCCTATATGTATTTTGGTGTAGACAGCGTAGCCTTTTCTTCGGTCATCTTTGGGTGCGCTCAAATCGGTGTTATAAAGGACAAAATAATGAGCGTAAGAATCATCAATTTTATTTGGAACTTTTATAAGATTTAAAATAGTTGTAATTTAAATTCGATTACGATAGAAATAATTTTGCAGATAAAACCTTTGGGAATATACAAGAGTCATAAAACGTATACAAAAATTTCACGGTACAACAGAAAAACTTTGATCGAATGTGTAAAACATCATCAAGCTGTGATTTCGTGAGTATCGTTAATTGTTATTTAATTATTAATGTAATTAATTAACAGTTCTTTTTTTTGTGTATCTAACTAAATGATAGATTATAAATATTAAGACAAGCCTTGTGTCTTTGTAGGCAGTATTTATTGGTATTTATTTGATTAGGAAACACAGCTTTGTTTATTTACTTAATAAAATTAAGCTTAATAAATAAATAAATGCTCAATTTTTAGGTACCTCAAAATATCTAGTTTAATGTATACTAAATGAAACAAATTAATTAATTTTTTATACTTTACTAATTATTAGTCGGGTCATGACCATCTGCAAATAAGTAGTTTCAACCAGTAATTACGCAAATTACGTTTTCGTTTAAAAAATATTATTTCCTCTCTCGAGCGCGTCATTTGTGATGTTAAGGATGTTTTTGACGTGACGACGTCTTATAATTCGATGAAGCCGGCTGCACGCACGAAAAAACATGACTTGTGCGGCGTTACCTCGCTCTGAGGCGTTCTATTTAAGGCTTGAAGTGCAAGCGAGAGTGCGCAACGAGCGACAAAGAAGCACAATCGGCCTCCGCAGCGTTCGACATCTGTCTCCTACTTGAGTGAGCGACGCATCCGCGTGGACAGCTGCTATACAATAATATAATTCAAAGCACATTCATACTGTAAAAAAACTATGAACATTGTAAAAAAATAAAATTGACATCATTGTATTTAGGTATGCGTACAAATAAATGTAACTTGATCAATTCAATAGTGATTTCCATTTTACCTCCTTCTCTATATCCATACAAAATATCTATCAAACAAATAAAATCAAAATTTTCTATTGAAAAATGAAACCATTCCATCAGTATTTTCTTATGACATTGTCACGTTCAACTATCGTCAGTAAACCGACTTTACAGACAACCGATTTTTTTTAATTAGAAAAATTGGTACTTACCTGTGGAGATTTGAACACTGGCATACTCGTATCAATTCGAGTACACCCGGCGTCTTATCTTTTAGGCCACGGTGACTTAAACAGTGGGGCTGACATCATTTCTTAGATAGCCCTTTAATGTTTTTTTTTCATATAATTATATCTGCTTGTATATATATTGTACAAGTATATAATATATTGTTACTGTTCGAGTTCGGGATAGATAAATGTTCCACCAAAGTACAACTAAAAACTGTGTTCAACACTTAGAACAATTAAAACATTCAACAAACACTTTAAAACTCTCAATTCGCTTCTTCCGCTTCGCTTGAGGTGATCCGTTCGCTGTGTCGCTTCGAGTAGTTCCGTTGAATAAAAGACTGCGTGTTTTTTTTTCTTTTTCTTTTTCTTACCTGAGCTTGTAGCCTGGAGCGGCTATTCCAGCGTAACCGTGGCTAGTAGGTGAGCTCACGGGGCTCAAACCTGACGACGATGCTAACACGAACCCTAGGAAGACTCGTGCTTCGCAGAATCTACCACCGGATCGGAAACGCGACCCACTGAGAAGATCCGGCGAGAAACTCAGTGGGCTGTGTCTGAGAGTTAATTTACTCGTCGAGCCCTTCGTCGCAAGTGACGGGTTCGACGAGAAGGGTGACCGGTGCTTGAAGTACCTAGAAGCACCGTTAGTGGATCGGGAGGATCCGAGATGACGTGTTTTGGGCGACGTCGACTGCTTTCCATTCTGTCCGCAGGATCTGGAATGTAGTTACCGGCGGCCACGATGAGAGGGTTCTCGTGTCGTGCCGCTTTATCGAAGTGTGACTGCGTGCTAGCTCTGCAACGCTTTTATAGCCGATGCCACATCCCTAGAGTTATCGAGAATAATCCATACATTTCGAGTATTGTGTTTCCGCTTTCTGACAATAGATGGTGTTGTACTTCTCGAGCGTTCTAGGTGCTACTAGATCCTTCGATATTTGTTCGACTATTCGGTGATAGATGGCGTCACTCTTGTCGGCGTAACAATATTATATTATGAATGCAATTTCGTTTTGGTGTACAATAAAGTATAGTGTACCCGACAGCTCTCATTTTTTCAACGTTAATATTATTTTTAAATTTTATCTTGTTTGTAGCTTTTCTAATTAAACAATAAAATAATAACCGGCGAATTTATTATAAATTTCATTAATTCTAATTAATAAGAATTTTCACAATTTTACAATCACGCTTACAGGCAATATGTGTGGTCTCTTTGAGTCTTTTCTTTTGTTACAGATTCACAGAACTAGTTGAAGACACGTATAACTCTTACCTGCTGTTTCAACTGGTTGGCAGCGTTGGTATTATTTGTATGTCGGCTCTTCGTATTTTGGTGGTATAAATTGAAAATAGTCGTAACTTAACAATTTAGGAAATACATACTTGAGTCGTCTATTATCAAAGGTGGCAATCTGTGCATTTGGACAAATTTTTTTTATTGATATGTCAATTCAGATTGATTTGAATATAATCGTCTCCTTCAAAGAATACGGTTCAAAACCTGCATTAAATAAAGGTTAATAGTTAACCTGTTATTTATCTAAGATGTCGTTCCGAAGAGTTTTGTGACTGCCTATGGAATACAAAGTCAATAATTCGTTTTTCTGATTTACCAATCATTGTCCAAAAGTCAGATTGCCGGCTTTGATAATAGTCGACTCACTTAATGTGAGTCGTCTATTATCAAAGGTGGCAATCTGTGCATTTGGACAAAAAAAAATTATTGATATGTCAATACAGATTGATTTGAATATAATCGTCTCCTTCAAAGAATATGGTTCAAAACCTGCATTAAATAAAGGTTAATAGTTAACCTGTTACTTATCTAAGATGTCATTCCGAAGAGTTTTGTGACTGGATGGAATACAAAGTCAATAATTCGTTTTTCTGATTTACCAATCATTGTTCAAAAGTCAGATTGCCGGCTTTGATAATAGTCGACTCATGTATCAAAATCGTTATCTATAAAAGTTAACTGACGTGCGTAAGGCCTTTGACCCCACGCGACAGATTTTTTGTATTTATTGTGGTGATTTTAATTTTCTGTAATTATTCCTTACACGTTTTGTATTTAAATATTCTAGGTGGATTGGCGCAGTGTCCAATTTTTCTCAATACTGTGCTATTTATCAGTAATGATAAGCCAATTATTTGTCTGCTGTTGGTGTGGACACGAACTTAGTGCTACGGTACGTAGGTATTTTAAACCGCCTTCTTACACTTTTCAAATATGAAAAATATATTGTTGCCAGTTCATTGCTGCAAGAGTCGAATTAAATAAAAATAATCATTTATCAAATCCATATTTGGAGATACCGTAAAATGGGGCGATTAGGGACAAATTCCAACTTTATGAGCAATTTTAAGGTAGTTGTTGATGTTTAAAATGCTATATCAGGATCAAAATGATTGAGTCTTGGGGGCATCTTTGTTGTCTAATTTAAAATTATGCAACTAGCATTCCAGTTTAAGCAAAAAATGCAAAAATAGGTGTAATCCCTATTTACCCGAAAATTGCGGTTAATTGGGACGAAATGAGAAATTTGCTAGGGTTGGCACTACTTTTATTTTTATATATAGTTTTAATTTATTTATTTATTTAGTTGCACCAACAAAGTGATCATCAATAAAAAAAATTGAAAAACTGACAAAAGTACATGGCAGACATCACCTCAATTATAGGTGCAATCGACAGTGCTGATATTTCTATCTGGGTTAAGAGATTAGGTGTGTCGGTTATTCCATGGATTAATCAGATGAATACCCCCACTCTGAACAAATATTAAATATTTTATTATGTATTACTTAGACATTTTTGTCCACCTTGAGATTTCATTGATCTTGTTACATGTCTCTGCAAAATCGACTTACTTATATTAAATTGCTTATCTATTTCAACTAAAGACTTATTCCCAATTTCGCTTCGAATAAACCAGATTTTTACCAACAAATTTAAAAAATATTGTTATAACTACATAGACAACCCTACAAACCTGTACCTATTTATACTTAGGTCGTTTCCATTTCACGTATTCTCATCCCAATTGACCCCTTTTTCGTTGTTATTTGTACCTAAGACGTCCCCAATATCCCCAAAAACAACAGATTTTTACATGTATTTTTATTTAATCAAATACATTAAAACCAATAACAACTGAGACTTACCTTTAATATATATGCTGGTTCAAACACTAAATAACGTTTATAAATCATAGTCGTCTTCTATTATTATCAAATAAATAAAAGAGAGCAAAGTTTCTAGCACTAAAATAATTACCACCACAGGAAGTTAATTTGAAACGCGATTTTTTATAAGTTAGCAGCTATTATCATGCATATTCAGAGTTGTTTTGTGAACTTTCAACATTCTACTATTAAACTACAAAAAAATGGAAGATTTTGCAACGAATATAAAACTTATATTGAGCGTCGAAAGATTTTCCCGGTTTTTTCCCGATTCGCCTTTCAATCCCTAATCGCCCCATTTTACCGGTACACGACAAACGGAAGATCTTCCAACGAGCGGGTGATATTGCTGACGGTCCAAATATTGTTGTTCGAAACTTGAATATATGCAAGCATCTCTTAAATTTTCGTATTTGAGTCGTCTATTATCAAAGGTGGCAATCTGTGCATTTGGACAAAAAAAAATTATTGATATGTCAATACAAATTGATTTGAATATAATCGTCTCCTTCAAAGAATACGGTTCAAAACCTGCATTAAATAAAGCTTAATAGTTAACCTGTTATTTATCTAAGATGTCGTTCCGAAGAGTTTTGTGACTGCCAATGGAATACAAAGTCAATAATTCGTTTTTCTGATTTACCAATCATTGTCCAAAAGTCAGATTGCCGGCTTTGATAATAGTCGACTCATTTGTCGTAAGCAAGATTCACGAGAGACACGCTTATGGTGAAGTGAAGATGAAGATGGCTGTAATTGTTTCATCGCAGGTCACCGGTTTGTGATATTGCTCGGTAGACCGACAGAATGTTATTGTTTGGAACTTGTATATATGCAAACTTAGCTTGAAAATTTCGTAAGTGAGATGATCAGGCATCTGTCAAATATCTTGTGTTCATCAAAATCATACATACATATTCTGTCAAATGAAAAATTATATCGAGGTGTGAAATTACATGACGCGGAATAAGTCTAAATAAAATAGTAAATAGCCACTTACTAGACTTCAGTGGATTCCTTAGAAGAACTCGAGAGACTACGGTCAACGACTTTATTTAGATTTATCACATTTGAGCACTTTTATAGATAAACAGTAAGCAAACCACCCATAATAAACGAATAAACCTACAAAAACACTACATTTTAACAAAATAAAATGATAGACCCAACTCGCTCTTCACTTTCCCGCCAATAATTCCCGCGCGTGTTCGTGTATTCAGTTATGTTGACCTTTTTAATATTAGTAATAATCTAATAAGAAGGCATTTTAAAATTTCAAACTATATTATATTATATTTATTATTATATATTAATTTTCTAATTTGATTTTTTTTTTTCCAGAGTGAAGATCTCCACACGATATTGTACAACTGTGCGTGGTACGATCAGGATGTGAAATTCAAAAGAGATCTTAATTTCATGATGGCGCGTGCTAGACGTCCCATTTTACTCCGCGCTGGCTATTATATCAGCCTGTCGAGGCAGAGCTTTGTTTCTGTTAGTATGCCAAGGATTCGTTTTAATGCAATTTTAGTAATTTAATCTGTACCGTGTTTGGCACAAGAACCATATTTTTTATTGTGCTCATGTTTAATATAATCTTAACGAGAAGAAGTATTTTCTGTGGGTTTCGCGAGTCGTAGATATAATTACACCCATGCATCAGCCCGCTGAGTTTCTCGCCGGATCTTCTCAGCGGGTCGCGATTCCGATCCGGTAGTAGATTCATTCGCGAAACAATTGCTCTTGAGTTGTTAGGTCTCCTTCGGAGGCGCTCGGGCAGTTGTTAGCAAATCCCACCCCTCTTGGCTGAGCCTTTGCTCGCCCACCTGTCCTGGTGAAACTGGAAAGGCCTTCGGGCCACCAGTAANCATCTAAGCAAAAAAAAAAAAAAAAAAAAGATATAATTACAAATACAAACGGTTTAATTTAATTTACAAAAAAAAGAAGAAGACTTAAAAAAGAAGACATTCAAAATGACATCCCTAAAATTAATTGTAAATAAGTCTGGTAATTTTAGATAATATCTAAATACTTTTTTTAGATCCTTCGCATGTCTTACTCCTACTTTGCTGTCTTGAACCAAACGAATAAATGAGGATACCGTCACAGTAGCTTCACATATTACAATGCTTAAACTATGGAATGCACCAAATTTATTTGTGTTATGAATTGGATTTGTGTCTTTATGTCGATCTATCCGCCTAAGTCTAATCTGTATCTAAGTATTTTTATAAGAAAAAATCACCTAAAACATACTTAACGTTGTAAACATAATAATTACGACGCATAGTAGCCTGTAGCTGGTAAATACATGGGTAAAATCCGTTTAATATCGAAATATTGGTTTGCGTTTACTGAATTAAATATTTCAAGACAATTTTAAACAATCAATCCGCATTTAAGGACTTAATCGTTGTTTGATTGTTCTTTGTTTTCATAACAATCGATCTACCGTATAATTTGCTATGTCATTGTGTATCGGGTGTACTTATCAACTGTAAAATTTAAAATGGATATAATGAACCTTTGATTTGGCTAGGAAATTACGTTGTTAGGCCTTATTGAAACTCTAGTACTTGGTTTAATCAATGCAGCTGGAATATAAAAAAATATAATGGAACTATATCAATAAAAATCAATTTTGGAATATATTTGTGTATGAATTTTTGTTCTCTATACGTTTCTAAGACATTCATCGGTTTGTGATGAAACTAGTTGTTGTTGGCACATAATTCTGTGAATTTACAATAGGTAATTGACGCGCGAGTAGTTTTGAGGGGACCAATTATTATTATAATGTAAGCCGGACCGATGCTACCTTGCCCAGGCATCCGGAACTGGATTCCCCGACCTAAAAAAGAATAGGTACCTAGGGTTTTTGACGTATATCGTCCGTATATCTTCATTGAGGTGTCCAACTTTTTTTAATTTTGTTCAAGATCACCAATATTACGTTTGCTTTTCATCATTGATTTTAATTTTGAATTATAATTAAACTTTTAGTTTTAATAAATGATGTATTGTAACAACATGCTGCCTATTGTTTGAATTAAATTTCTTAATTTATCCTTCATGTTAAGATTACCCCTTCCTCCTCCTTCTTTATTACCTTACCTTCGATTTATTTGCCGGAGCTGAGCCGAGCGAAGTCCATTCTTCACTTAGAAGGTAACTGTGATAAAACGAAAAACTTCTAAAGGTATTTCAGCTGCATTAAAAGGTAATACTGGATAAAGGAAAAACAATGGTGTATTCCAATTTAGCGTAGTTTTCGCCTGTGAAAATCTATATATCTATGCTTTTTTTTTTCTTCTTTATTTCTAAGGTCTTAGAATAGTTACAACGGCTACCCCACCCTTCAAACCGAAACGCATTACTGCTTCACGGCAGAAATAGGCTGGGTGGTGGTACCTACCCGTGCGGACTCACAAGAGGTCCTACCTCCTGTAAATGTTCAATGTATGTTCAATTTTGTAGTTACTTCTTCCCGCCAAATTCAGCGGAACCCTTAACAATATAAACTAATGTACCTGTATCAGTGCTACGGCATAATTTGTACACGCGGTAAGGAATGATGTGCTGGTGGAGAACCTTCGATGAGCAATGGAGAACATATTGCGAGTATGGATTAAGGACGGATATCGTAATTCTGATTACATATTTCTGCCGCGAAGTAATTATACGTTCCAATAGAACAGCCATCGTGCCAATGCAATTCAAACCTAAATCTTATATCTGAAGGTGGACTACGTCGTCGCTGACAAAAACATCAGTATATAAACAAAATGCCAATTCACATTAGGTGACCCGTGAGCTATGGGGTTCACTGAGTTTTATTTTGCTTAATAAAACCTTAGGGAAAACTAGTAATATTAGGTTCGTTAGATCTTGTTTTTGTTAATATTATAAGCTTCATGTAATTATTATCGCAAGCATAAGATTAGAGCCCTATGACATGTGCTTCTTCAAAAGAGGCTTGTGGAGAGTATCAAACAGTAGGCAGTGGCTTGGCTCTGCTCCTTAGGTTGCTGACGTCAATGAGCGACGGTAACCACATACCATCATAAGCCCGTGAGTACACTTTCGGGACCATTAAAATTTCCTGAGCGGATATCTTAAGGAATACATACTGGGTTAGGTACTCGAGAATGAAGTAGGAAACTGGTGGTAGAGCGTCTTATTGGCACAGGTAGGTAGGTACCTACTGCCGCCCAGGTTATTTCGGCCGCGAAGCAGTAATACGTTCCGGTTTGAAGGGCGGGGCAGCCGTTGTACTATAAAACTGAGATTTAGGACTCATGTCTCAAGGTGTACGGCAGCATTAACACCGTGACCTCGTCCACTTGTTTTACAAATAAAATAAAAACATTAAAAAGATTTTTCGGTTCGCAATTGTAGGTACTCAATTGTATTGGATGAATTTAATATGTTTTTAAAAAGGACTACGCTTCGACTCGCCTCCAACATTATTATAACCTATAAATAAAAAATTAAACTAGTTGTTCGCCAATTATTGAACTAAAAGTCATCAATGAAATATTAATGTAAGCTGAAGATATCATGAAAAACAACGATGTAAGTCATAGGGATGCTTCATGTAATTGTTTTTAATTTATTACATCTGGTTACGAAGTTAAAATGCCATTTAATTCGAATAATAACTAGAGTCGAGGGATATTCGATCCTTCAGATTTGGTTATTGCAAATAGAAATTGATCGGTGGAAAATTGACAGTCTTTAATTTGTATACTCGTTTTATGAGTAAAGACGCTTAATTTCCTTTAGTATTAGTTATTCCGAACTAGCTTATAGGCACACCTACTGAGCTTCTCGCCCGATCTTCTCAGGTTCAGCCCGTGAGCTCATCTACCGGTCCGTGAGCAGATGGAATAGCCCCTAAGGCTAAATAAAGTACTGGTATTACGAGCCCTACTCCAAAATTTTTGACGTTCGTAAGGACCTGTAACTTACGTACGTATTCCGCTGACCCAAAATGGATCTTCGTTTCCGAAATGAGATTTACGGAAAGACCGTCCTCCGTGGCGTAATATTTATTTTGTTAACATTTTGGCTAGACATGCTAAATATTTCAATTAGGAAACGTAATTTGTTTGCTGGAGATCGGCCGAGTAAGATTATTTAAAATTATTATCAGCCCGTTTCGAGTTTCCAATTGCGGTGTATACCTACCATTCCACCATAGACGTGAGCCAGCCCTAGCAAGCTGTTAATTGCAGTTGCGATAGGAAAATTATCCGATGTCACTTTACTGGCTTGCATTAGCCAACAATATTGAGCTCCCAGTCTATGTTATTCTCCGATAACTTCAGTTGACGTTGAGAAAGAATAGTAATTGTTACAGAGTATTTTTTTTATTGTTATTAAATACGTTTCAATAATTTTGACGAATTCTACAAGACTGGAAGTTTTATCTTTTAAATCACATTTAATTGTTAGTCAAGTGTAGAAATTTTTTTGGAATATACCTAATAACATAACAATGATGGGCAATAGTACAGATCTATTTCTTGATCGAACCAAAAGAATACTTAACTTCTTCGCTATGTGGCGTTCATTTGAAAAACCAATCCCACTAAAAGTTTATATGGCGTTTATCATGACGACACAGTATTTATTTCTCATATTTGAAATAATTTACATTGTGAATGTCTGGGGAGATATGGCCGAAGTTTCTGAAGCTTCTATTTTGTTGTTCACTCAAGCCTCGGTTTGTTATAAAATGACAGCATTTATCAGTAAGACAAACAATTTTGTGATCCTATTGGGTTTAATAGAAAGCGAAATATTTTCAGCCCAAACTGAATTACATGAAAAGTAAGTGTTTAAAATAGATATATACGCGCTCTGACATAATTTAGTTTGATGCGGTTTATATTATGTTCACACTAAAATGTCACCCAAACATGACAAGTCTGACCTGATGAGAGTTGAAGACTGGCCGACCTTCTAGTTTCTATCTTAATACATTTGATAATGCATCCTTTTCAGAGCGCCCAATTTTGGAGTCCTGTAAACGTTCCATTCAATGACAATGACAAATTTTCCTATGGAAAAAGTGCTGTTTTCGGTTGATAATTAACCACAATATTTAAAGTTTTGTTTTAAAGCCAACGGAGATCTATCTATCTATATATATAAAAATGAATTGCTGTTCGTTAGTCTCGCTAAAACTCGAGAACGGCTGGGCCGATTTGGCTAATTTTGGTCTTGAATTATTTGTGGAAGTCCAGAAATTCAGATCTGGTAGTGATGCATTCGCAAAGCAGATGCCCTTGAGTTATCAGGTCGCAGTCGGAGGTGCTCGGGCGGCTGTGAACAAATCCCACTCCTCCTGATTGAGTCTACGCTCGCCTGCCTTTCTCGGTGAAGACAGAATGAGCCACCAACAATCCCTACATATCAATAAAAAAGAGTCTAAATGTATAACCTCAAATTATTTCAATTGTTTTCAGGATATTAATTTTGAAAGCTCGAAAAATAAAGCGTCTGTGCATGTTCTTTTTGGTAAACGCTGTTACAACATGTTCGCTGTGGGCGGTTATCCCATTACTTGACATTAGCAGTAAAATGCTGCCTTTTAAAATTTGGTAAGAAAGTAATATAAACTTCAACGCAAATATAGTGTTAATATTTTTAGATACCCATAGTAATATGCATAGCTGGGCATTAACTCGTTAATTCGTTAATCGTTAATTAATGAAGTTAACATTTTGACTAACGGATTAACTTTTAAGTTAATTTTTAAAAATGTTAATCGTTAATACAATGCCGAATAGTTACCGCACGGCATCGACAAGTGCCGGGCAGCGCGTGGCAGCGAGTGAAATAAAAACGAAACTATGTAGATATATTTTGCCGATCAACGATGCTGCATTCCTCGGGGAACCGATATTCATAAATCTATTCATTAAATACAATACTGCTATGCCCTCAAGCGCTGCAGTTGAATGTCTTTTTTTCCATAATTTTTTTCCTATCTATGCTGATAGCCTTGAGAGGCTATTTCAGCTTCACCCTAACATGTGTAGGTGAGCTCACGGGGCTCAAACCGGAGTGTTGCTAACACTGACTCTAGCAAGAGCAGTGCTTCGCAGAATCTACCACCGGATCTGAAACGCGACCCACTGAGAAGATCCGGCGAGAAACTCAGTGAGCTGTGTCTATAGGTTAATTCGCTCGTCGAGCCCTTCGTCGCAAGCGATGGGTTCGACGAGGATGGTGACCGGTGCTTGTGGTACCTAAAAGCACCGTTAATGGATCGGGAGGATTTTTTCCACGGGTAAAGATATTTTAACACCAAAACGAGCCTCGCTATCAGCCGAGAACTTTAATATGTTAATACTTATGAAGGGGAATATGCACCTTATGCCCGACGATTGAATTACTCATTTGAATTATACAAGTACAGTCAAACCTGGGTAAGTGAGAACTGGATAAGTGAGAAAACTCTATAAGTGAGAGTAATAGCCAGGACCCGTCATTTTAAGCTCCCAAAACCTCTATTAGCGATAAACAGAAACCTCTGTAAGAGAGTCGTTTTTCCCTCATGGACCTCCGTAAGTTAGACTGCTACTTATCTATACCTCTATAAGCGACAGTCGAGCTTTATTTATTTATATTATTTAGGAGGAACAAATGAAAAAACAAATTACAAATTTAACATCTGCTATTTTATAACTCATTCTTAACTTTTGTGGAACTTTCTACCATTGTTTTTGAATTGTTTTCTCGTCAATATTGAACCTATTCTATTTCGTGGAACTAAATAACGTTGTTATTTTATCGCATTCTTTTCGAATGGACACGTGTGCCTATGTACCGTCCTGTTTGTCGGACTTACTCAGCTAATCGTTAATCAATTGCAAAGAAAAGTTCTGTTCTGTATCATGTCAAAACGGAAAATTAAAGTACTGTCATTAAATGATAAACTTAAATAGTGAATGCGTTTGAATCCGGAAAATCGCGAAATAAAATTCAGAGGAAGCATTAGCGAGAAACTCGGGTTAGTGAGAAACCTCTCTAAGCGAGAATGAGATTGTGCTCCCTTGAACTCTCTCTTATCCAGGTTTGACTGTATTTTGTTTTGTTCCTAACCTGTTAACTTCCAGAACTTAAACCAACAAGTTTTTGACGTGACAACGTCTTATAATTCGATGGAGCCGGCTGCTAGCACGAAAAAACATGACTCATGCGGCGTTACCTCGCTCTGAGGCGTTCCTTTTAAGTCTTGAAGTGCAAGCGAGAGCGCGCAACGAACGACAAAGAGGCACAACCGGCCTCCGCGTTCGGCAGCGTTCGACATCTGTCTCTCTCCTACTTGAGTGAGCGATGCATCCGCGTGTACAGCTGCTATACAATAATAAAACATGTTTTCGTCAAGTATGAAGTTCAGTGAAAAGTGAATGTGGTGTCAATTGTCCATACAAAATATCTATCAAACAATTAAAATTAAAATATTATTTTGAGAAATGAAATCATTCCATCAGTATTTTCTTATGACGTTGTCACGTTCAACTATCATCAGTAAACCGACTTTACAGACAACCGATTTTTATTTATGTACACTGACGCAACGATATAAAGATGCAATTTTACACATATTAACGAAATAACGATTAACGTTGACTTCCGCTAATTTTTCCGAAACGCTTTAACGTTTAACGAAACAAACTTTTTTGTATGGGATTAAATATTAACGAAGTTAACTATTTGATTAACGGTGCCCGGCTATGGTAATATGCTTCATCAGTTTAGAACTTACTTTTGTAATCATTCGAGATACTGTAAGATACAGTGTAGGAGAGCCCTTGCGAAAATCCTAAGGTCTTTTGAAGCCTCGTTTAGAAAAGGATGTGCGAAGGAGCTATTGTAAGATTTTAATTAATTTCAGGATGCCTGTTTCGACCGGTGAATCGCCTCACTATGAATTGGGATATCTTTACCAAATGATTACGATTTACATAAGTGCGTTTCTTTTTATTAGCGTCGACAGCGTACCGCTTTCTATGATCATGTTCGGATGTGCCCAACTGGAGATTATTATGGATAAAATTGGCAAGGTGAATTCAGTCAATTACGGAAACGAAACGAAATAATTTAACTAAAAAAATTGATAGCATCCTAAATAATTGTTAATTTTAGGTGAAAAGTTGGTCACTCGATCAGCAACCGATGCAAAAGCAAGAAGTGCTCAATTCAAATTATGAGCTATTAGTTGAATGCGTGCGCCGCTATCAAAGTGTAGTGAGGTAATTAGACGTAATCTGTTTTGAGATTGAGAGAAGATTTGAGTGACCTTAAAACATGCAAATGTATTATTTAAACAATGCTATTCCAGATTCATTGAACTAACAGAAAAAACGTATCACGCAAACATATTTTTTCAACTCAGTGGATCGGTTTTCATTATTTGCAACATTGGATTTCGTATTGCTATCGTAAGTTAAGACAAAATACTCTGTTTAAAAATTAAATATGTGATGGTGAATTGGTCTTCATTGTATTTAATCATCAAATTTTCATACCGTAATTAGGTCATAATAAATTGTGGCTAACTTAGGTACTATATACCAGTGGCGTAGTTATAGGGTGGTAGGGCTAGAAAATTGGCACGGGGCACCTCCGTAAGAGGATACGATGATGATAATGCTAGCAAGATGCCGGGGGGCCGCGAACTTAAAGTAATGTGACATATTTAGCAAAATTTTGTAAACTACAATAATATACATGACGGAGGAGAAACGCTGAAGGAATGTTTTTAAAAAGTGTGACGTCAGCATTGTTAACGTCACGGTCTTTAAGTTCTCGACGATGACTCATGTTTGGGCTTTCGAAACAAAACTTCACCAGAACTTCGCAATAACTGCGTATATTTCACGAGAAGCGTGACAACATTCAGAGAGATCCGTACTGTGCTACGGCTCGGACACGAATGACTAAACGCTAGACAGCACGGCCGTATTTATAGGACTTCGTACACGTCAGCGTGTTTACAAGTATTAAACACGTGAGCGTGTTTACAAGATTTTAAAGTATTGAAATTACAATAAAAGGGACTGTTTAACATCAATTTCTTATCACAGAGTAATTAGTTGATGATCAGTAGGTAAATAGTCATATTTGCGCCGACATACAACATATTATATATGTACTTAAAAGTAAACAAAGTTAGGTAGATGTGACTATACTTTTGACACCATAATACAGGTTGTTTTAAAACTGTAACTAATAACGAAGAAAGATGGAAGTTGGTGATTACTAACGTGATAGTGCTTAAGTAAGATTGTGTTGAAAAAAATATTTGAGTGATGTATTTAACCATATTTAACGATCAAAAGTAAACGGAGCGCGGCCAACATTATTGGTATTGTCATTAAATTAGAGATTAACGAAATCCGCAAACCATTGATTTTTCGATTTGTGAAGTGTTCGTGTTTTCAGGAATGGTGTTTAGGTAACACATCTTATTGTTATTTTATACATATGTATATACGAAGAGTAATGATTTATTATATATACGTCTAACGATTTGTGTATATTTTCGTATTCCTAGGTAGACAACAACAGTCTTCAATTTTATTCAATGTTGACATATTTAGTAACGATGCTCTCGCAACTATTCCAGTACTGTTGGTGTGGGCATGAGCTAACGATTCGAGTAAGTACCTACTTGCACAATATAATACACTACACATTTTATACTACAAATTATTATTATTTTAAAAATTTCTTAATATCAGGACTAACTTATAACAACGGTACCTAGTAATTCTACAGTAAATCAACTCTTCACACTGCTCGACTGCTGCCTAACATATATTGATGGTGGCTTTATTGGGCGGAGGTGCGAAACTCCTTCGAGATCCACGAATTTAGGGGAAGGTCGTGCGTTATATGTACATATGTGACTCCTTCCCCGTCGAAGATGGCTTAGAGCACCTACTAAATGATTTTACTGAGTTGAAGAATGTTTGAGCTTTACCTGGGGCAAAATTCGGGCAAGGTAGAAGGGGCGAATGCGCGGTCCACAATATATAATAGCCGGCAAACTTCTTGAGCATTTGTTGACGTAGTGGGGGTAAGTTCGCGCATGGTACACTCACGTGCAAAAACATTATTTACTCTGCGTCATAATGCATTAAATTATGAAAATCAACATATGTATTTATTTATATATTTATTAGAACATCAACAAAAAATATAGGTTAATAATTGTAATAATTTAATCTTGGGGTAAAATATTCCTTCTATTAAGTCAAAACTAGAGCTGTTGCCAGGTCTTGGTTCAGTTGAAGCGAAGCTGGTATTTGTAATTTTTTTTTCGTCATCATAATCTTGACCGTCATCATCACTGTTTTCATTACCCGAGTCGCTATCATCGTGATGAGTCGACATAGGGCTCATCGGTGTAGTTTACAACTCGGTCGGTTCGGTCTACTTTTTTGTCTATAATTAATTATTTTTTGAAGATATTCGATTCGTAGTAATCGAATGTAACTTTTTTCAATTACCAGCTTCCGATTATTTTCTGTTTTTTTTCCATCTGAAGCCTAGCTCTTTCATAATTCGTCGTAAACTTCATACCGAGCCATTCAAATTTATATCTTCTTTAAAATTTTCGAAGCCTTTCTACGGTACGGAGTTTCACTGCTTGTTATGTAGTTATTATGATTACATCTTTTTATTACAGATTGAACGAAACTATCCATTCCGGTAACTTTCTTCTTCCCTGATATTTTCTTGCCCGGAGTCCGAAACACGGCGAGCAAGCCAGAGCCTTTAGCTTCGTTAATAATGCACCTAACAGTACTCACGGATGTTTTTGTTGCTTCCGAACTCTGTTTTACTTTTTCCATATCATTCTTCCCCTGTTTTATAATGAAGCAATATACGTCGTACACAATTTTTCTACCCTTTCTTTTGAATACTACACCAGTTTGTCGCGGCATAGTGTATTTTTTATAAAAAATCAACAAACACTCAACAAATAGCAATGGCAACAAAGTCAACAAGCAATCATAACAAATAACTCAACGATTAATAATGATAGACTTTTCACTGTACGCAAGCGTACTTTTAGGAGCAAGCGGAACGAGGGCGCGGTGCGGGACGCAAGGTTCGACTCTAAGTGTATAATCTATGGTTCGACTGATCTACCAACAACGCGCTCGATACGATTTCCCCTGCCGTCGCGCCTCACCCTCACCACCAAAGTGATCTAAAATTCGGTTCTGCGCAGTCAAGGTCATTTGCTCAAGAAGTTTGCCGGTTACTATACCCAGATTTGTGGCAACCTGAAGAACGTCTGACTGAACGAGTCATCGGTGAAAGCGATTTTAAGTTTATGTGTACTAACCTAATATAAAATACTCTTTTGTATGCACGTTAAAAAACGACAAATAATTTTGCACATTATTATTATAAACATTTTAGGGTGAGGAATTGCGTGAGACGCTGTATCAATCTCCCTGGCATGAACAGGATATCCGCTACAGGAAGGTTCTCATAATTACAATGGAACGAATGAAAAGGCCTATAATATTCAAGGCGGGTCATTACATTCCGCTGTCGAGACCTACTTTTGTGGCTGTTAGTATATAATTACATTAAAATCAGACAAATCAGATTACTCACTAGCAATTCCAGCAGATGGCACTGTAACGTTAATTCCAAATTATAATTCGCGTCTAGTATAATCAAGTTTGATTTTCGTAAATGGGAATTAAAAAATTGGGAATCGAAGAAACATCGCGTGATTTCTACTACGTTTCTCTTGTGTTCTTCTTTTGTACAGTAAGTCAATCAGCTTCTTGCGTTGCCAGCGTCGACTTTACATACTTTTTACTGGTGGTAGGATCTCTTGTGAGTCCGCACGGGTAGGTACCACCCACCACCCTGCCTATTTCTGCCGTGAAGCAGTAATGCGTTTCGGTTTGAAGGGCGAGGCAGCCGTTGTAACTATACTGAGACCTTAGAACTTATATCTCAAGGTGGGTGGCGCATTTACGTTGTAGATGTCAATGGGCTCCAGTAACTACTTAACACCAGGTGGGCTGTGAGCTCATCCACCCATCTAAGCAATAAAAAAAAAAGATACATACGGTAGACAGTAGTTTATCTATGGTATGTCCATACTAGCTGGAGCCCATAGACATCTACAACGTAAATGCGCCACCCACCTCGAGATATAAGTTCTAAGATCTCAGTATAGTTACAACGGCTACCCCACCCTTCGAACCGAAACGCATTACTGCTTCACGGCGGAAATAGGCGGGGTGGTGGTACCTACCCGTGCGGACTCCCAAGAGGTCCTACCACCAGTGATTACGCAAATTATCTTTCAAATAACCTAACTACCCTACCTATTCATGGTAGGTATATAATAGATTTAAAACTGGAACGAACCATTCCTTTGCAGCACAGCAGCGGTTGGAGAATGAAAAAGCGAAATACTAAAACATTTTTCTTTTACAGATACTCCGCTGTTCGTATTCGTATTTCGCCGTGTTAAATAGAGTTCGAAACGAATGAAAACACTATTCACAAATTAATTGTTTATTTATAAACCGTGTATCACATATGCGTAATGTATAATATTCACGATATTTAGGCAAAAGTGTGCTTAGTTCACGAAAATTACGAAAAATACATTAAAAAAGTGATTCCCACACATACATAGCGTTTTAATTGGCCTTTTTATTATGCGTCATATTGTTGTTCATTTCCCATCAGGCGTCTTTATTGTTGTACAATTACTATTATAGGATATAGATCCGGATTCCCAATTTCACATTCTCACTCGATAACTTAACCGATCGCAAAGTTCTTAAATTGGTAAGCATTTTGTATGAACAAGAAAAAGACGAGTGATAGCATTTTTAAAAAGGGGTCTCTTACCCAAAACTATTTGGGAATCCCTGATATATTTCGATTATCTATTTGTATTTTACAAACACGAACATCTCTTGTTAACACATAAACAGGAGACTCCGCGGTAAAAAATGCCAATTAATACAAATTCTACAACAATTATTTTGGGAAACCACATTTTATATTCCTGTAACGCTCAACCATTTCTTAAGATTAAAAACATTAGTCATGTAGATAAATTCGTGCGCTTAAATAAAATATAATAGCATAAAGGCGAACGAATACAAAACAATTACAACCGCATTTTAGAATTTCAATTATTCAATAGACCTTTTCATACTCATATGTCATTTTAGACAGAATAAGCTCAAATCGACGCGGGTAAACTTTTATCGTCTTATTAAGTTTTCGTTCGGAGCTGTGCCCGCGTGTAGTCACTTTACGTCGCGTTGGGAAAGACCCATTCTCAGTAGTGATTTTTTTTATTGCTTAGATGGGTGGACGAGCTTACAGCCCACCTGTTGTTAAGTGGCTACTGGAGCCCATAGACATCTACGACGTAAATGCGCCACCCACCTTGAGATATAAGTTCTAAGGTCTCAAGTAAGTTACAACGGCTGCCCCACCCTCCAAACCGAAACGCATTACTGCTTTACGGCAGAAATAGGCAGGGCGGTGGTACCTACCCGTGCGGTCTCACAAGAGGTCCTACCACCAGTGTCAAATAAAAATTATCAAAGCTTGTCTATGCGCTTGCTTGCTTGTTTCGTTGGTAGTATTGTGCGCATAGACAAAGCTATTTCCTTATCGAATTACGTCAAAATCGTCTGAGTTGTAAAAACGTAACAGACAAACGAGAGTTATTTTCGTATTTATATTAATACTATAGAATAGATTGTCAACCCTGTCAATTTTAAATGTAATCGGAGCTTTATTGAAAATAATATGTACAGCATGAAAAGGCCTATTCCGATTAAAGTTATTTTAATTAAATAACTTCCATAATTTGTTTCATATTAAAAATGTATAGTTAATTAATATTATTACACCATAAATGTATAGTTAAATAATATTAAATTTTCTTTTCCGTATCCACTGAAACGTGTTAATAACGATTGAAAAATTCAATGTAATAATCAGTCAAATTGTTTTTCTCTTTTTTATTTTGTTCGTTACAATACAAAGTTGTTATTGTTCTTTTATTCGAGTTATTGTTCTTTTATTCTTTTATTGTTTCCCGCATCATGACCGTCAGGTTTTGTTTACGAAAAAAATTAAGGAAGCCAATTAGAGCTAACAGACCTGTTTAATTTAGCACCTCATCTTATTGCGTTATTGAATTTTTTGTTACAGCATCAAGTAACAAACTGTAAGTTTTTCATTCTTTTCAGACAAATACGAAGAGAATAGAGCCTTTTTATCCATATCACAGAGATGGATTAATTTTTAGAATAGGTATACGTAATATGGAATTCGAAAGCAATCCTGTATTTTTTTTTTTTTTATGGCTTAGATGGGTGGACGAGCTCACAGCCCACCTGGTCTTAAGTGGTTACTGGAGCCCATAGACATCCACAACGTAAATGCGCCACCCACCTTGAGATACAAGTTCTAAGGTCTCAGTATAATTACAACGGCTACCCGACCCTTCAAACCGAAACGTATGTCTTTTGTAACAAGAATTTGGCGTTTAAGTCATGCCACTAAGAAATATCTTTGTCCAAGTTATATGGTATATTTGCGGAGTTTTAGGGAACTAGGGAATAAGTGTTTTAGAAATATATAAAAAAAAATCAAAAAAATCAACCAACCTTTGAAATTTTTTTTTATTAAAGTTTGTATTGTTAGTATTATTGAAGAAAAATTACTAGGCAACATGAACATAGTATTAAATTTAAAAAATGTTTCAAATACATATAATGGAACATTTTTGTGAAACCATAATTATTCTTTTTTTACAGAAAAAAACATTGGACAAAGATATTTAACGAGTGCATAAATGGCGTAAAAGTCACGCTAGACAAATTAATTACTGTAACAAATTCTGTTACTCTTTATTATTCGCGGTGTGTTTTGTTTTAATTGGTAATTGCAACTTTATTGGAAGAAAAAAAACCTGTGCATTATCCAAACGACGTGTTACTGCAAAACCACACAACTCCCGAAAACCGGGGAAATTTAACACACGAAACATTAGCTAAACATTAGAAAAAAAACACGTGAAGTGAAAAAACATTTCCAAAAAAAAAAAAAAGAAAAAACCACAACCAAAACGATTGGATATTATAAAATCACAACTTCGTTTACAATTTTTGTTACTTCACCGCACACTCGCCTCCTGCATGAACGTTTGGAATTATCATGCAATTTTAATACTGTTTATAGAATTGACAGCTTGAAATCGATCAAAGATAATGTTAATAATAAGATAATGTTTTATTAACTCTGGGATGTTTATTTATGTATAAACAATACGTACCTTTAAATCAAGTTCACTTTTTTTTTTATTGCTTAGATGGGTGGACGAGCTCACAGCCCACCTGGTGTTACGTGGTTACTGGAGCCCATAGACATCCACAAAGTAAATGCGCCACCCACCTTGAGATATAAGTTCTAAGGTCTCGAGTATAGTTACAACGGCTGCCCCACCCTTCAAACCGAAACGCATTAATGCTTCACGGCAGAAATGGGCAGGGTGGTGGTACCCACCCGCGCGGACTCACAAGAGGTCCTACCACCAGTAAAGGTAAATCCTTAGAAAATCATCTTCGATACAAGCCTTAATTTCAATTTCAAGCTAATTCTATATACAAGTAATTTTTGCAACGAAAAACCGTCGAGATAAACCATCCTCAATTATGATCTATCTACTCTATGTATCTATTAATTCTACGTGAGCAAGTTCATTTATTGCATGACAAGCTCCAAACAGTTAAAAAAAATTCTATATGAGAAGCAAAATGTAACTAACTGCTACATCAGACTAATAATTACAAGGAATGGTAACACTATTTAAATATCTATACAATAAATTGTGACGTAATTAGAACAAATTCAAAATATAAATTCATAAAACCAAACCAGTTACGTTTATTTCATTCGCTGATCAATTTACTAATCTATAATAAGAGTTTTTAATTGAATATGCAATTTCGAAAAGGGCACATCTCTGAAAATGTAAAATGTTCAGGAAATGAAAAAAACTTATTTTCTAAAGCAGTGTAAAATTTAAAATATTAACTTTTGAGATATATTTTAGTGTTAATTAGCAATCGAAAATTACTGGAACTATTATAAAATGGGTGTGTAGGTAAGCCTCAAAACTACATGTATATGAAAAAACGTATTTGACAAAATATGCGACATGTGCCCTTTTCGAAATTGCATATTAAATTGTACAAAAGTTTGTACAAAATTTCATAAAAATTAACGAAAACTCAAGAAATTATACAATCGAGTACCTACGTAACTACGCCACAATATTTTTTTTATCATTTCAATTAATCATAAAAAAAACTATTAATTTAAAATTTAACTACACTACTATACTCTATCTAATTCTTTTAACAACACTACTACAAGTCGCTGTCTTTTTAGGAAGTTAGTTAACGAACTATCGATTTTATTTATTAATTACACATCCTTGTTCAATAAGTTCGAACGAAACTATATTATTATAATGGCAAGTTAATTATCGTATTCCCGACTTTGACCTCAGTCAATAAGCGAGTTCGTTCCAAACAAAAATAGTGCATGTCGAGGGGTAAAAAGTTATTTGTTTTAAGCGACATTTATCTTTGTAGCTAAAGGCCCGTTTTATTTGGTACTAACCGTACTCGCCCGCTTCGCTGGGCCTTTAAAATTAACATTATTATTTATTGACACTATTATTAGGGAGTTCAACACTTTGTCGTCGTCGTGGCCTAAAGGATAGGAAATCCGGTGCATTCGTGTTGAGCGATGCACCGGTGTTCGAATCTCAGACGGGTACCAATTTTTCTAATGAAATACGTACTCAACAAATGTTCATGATTGACTTCCACGGTGAAGGAATATGGTATTAAGCATCAACAGTTCGATGTTTTTAATTGAGCTTCAATTAATTTTACTCCATTCGAATAGCTCAAGAAGTTTCTTTTAGTTACAAAAATGTCGATTAAACCAAATAACTGTACTTTCACTCCTCGATGTTGTACTTTAGACTATATCCGATGTTGAAGTCAGGTTATACGGTGGCAAGTTAAGAGGATCGAGTTCGCCACGAAGACGATAAATATTCATTCAACGAAACAATTTATTGACAAATTTTAATGCATCAGAAAAATTAATAATTGACGCGTATCTAAGTGACGACGCGTCACAGCACTATCGCGTCTACAAACTACGATAAATGTTATCGTTATAATAACCATAATGAATCCATTAATTATTTAAGGTTTAAGCAATTTATAACTAATAGTTCAACTGATTTATTGAAATAAATTATTTCATCAAACTTCTATTTCACTATGATAATGGTTAGGTACTAAAAATGCATTTTAACTATATTTATATAGTTGAGACATATTTAAGTGCGATACTTGAATGTTCATTGTTGTATAGAAAGATAAAACATCCAAAAGCCAATATTTACAATGAATTCGTTATACATTTTTCGATTAGTTATAAAAATATAAATTAAATAATTACTAAAATGACATTAAATCTACTGATTATTCGAATATGGATGATCCGTATGCGTCGATTGCTTATATATAATCGATTTAAGAAAGATATTTATAATCCCATTAATGGTCCGGATTTTAGTGACTCCGCATATTATTTAAATGGCACACAATATCGACACCATATTAAACATTCTGGTCCAAAATAAATTATATATTAATTCGAAGACATATAATTATTTTTATCAAACCTTTATGAAAATATATTATGTATTATTAGCTCGTCAAATTGAGCAGCATCATTCGACTTACTAAAGACTCGTTTTACAAAATTCGTTAACGAAATCTATATCGATAAAACTATCGATAGAGATATAGATTAACGAGTGTTTATTTATGGGGAAGTCTCTAAAATGGCTATTAAACAACAATCTAAAATATCCATAAGAACTGCAACCTCTGTATCGAAACTATATAATTTAATAACGCATAATAAAACCACGATAATCATTATTAAAATCAAGTCAACATAATTAGATTAAGTACATACTTTGCCAACAATTACGAATAAGGATTATCGATAGTGCGACAAAAACGTATCAATCTGAAACCGTGAATCTAGCAACCCTAAAATGCATTATAAATGCCAACATTCGTACTAAGTTTGAAGTACATGTGTATTTAGTTTTCGTCGCAGGATCAAAATATAAACGCATTTTTACCTAAACAAAAACAACTTTCTAACACTGGGCAGTGTTTCTACGCAACATCTAAATTTAATAAACATCTAATAAGACAACCCTTTTGCGTTGTACGAGTTTTTTTGTCTATTACGATCTAAGGAAGGAAATATGAAAAAATGTAAAGAAAGACATTAGACGATTTAAAAAAAAAAACAAGGCTAGGGTTGTCGATAAAAATATTTAAAATTAAATTTCATAAACATTGGGTTATACGTTACGCAATCTTAAAAACAAAATGGTTAACGAAATTTGTACAACAGTAACAATATCTGTGATGTGTTCACGTTCGTTATTATTATGAGCAACACTGGGGTTTTTGTTTACATACAATTCTAATAATTGGAAAAGCTTTACGCATAGTTTAGCCGCGTCAATTTAGCCAAAAGGATGAAACATCAAAGCATACATTAGCTTAGCATTAGGATTCGGGATTAATCTAACAATATCCTCTTGACTTTGGACGGGTAATAACGGGAATATAAGCCGACATAATTAAGAATCAAAGCGGCGCGCAAGCGTCCATTTAAGGTTTATACAACATCGAAAGCTACTTTTTAAGTTATCCGGTTTATATTCCGCCTTATAAGTTTGGGAAGTTATGGATTTATTAAGAACTACAGTTGTATCAACAACGTAATTGACTAAGATGCTATTTAATAATAACTTAATGGTTTCGCGAAAGAAACGTAAGCTTTTATTTCTTTTTATAAGTTATTTTATTCGAATCCTTTACTTACATAATGTGGCGTTGGTGATGACCACATTTTAACGTGCGTATTAGTGAAAAACGAATGGGATACAAAGTATGGTATTTCTTTAGAGAATCACGTGTGCTATTTTATTTAATTTCATTTCTATTAATAATTTAAAATATAATGGCAAGTTAAAATTAAAACACAATATTAATTCATTAGTATAAACCAAAACATTACTGACTAGACACGAATATTATCGTTTATTAATTATTATTTTTTAAAAATTAATTTAATAATATTTATTTAATTCAAAGCATGTCATCGAACAGAATCGGCATCCGTTTTAAATTGTAAATTTTTAATATGGAAATAAAACATGAGATTCGAGTTAACATTTGAGCGACGTTTTGTGGATTGCGACGCATTCACGTGTGTCAGGGGGCGAACTCCCGCCGCGTGGTCGCGCCGAAGAACTGTCTCCGACATCTCACGACCGGGCGCTCCGCTTACATTCGTAGCCAATATCTGTGTGGGAACAATTAAAACATTAACATAACGAATACGAGCATTTTACTACGAAATATTTTATCATTAGGCACATTGTGACAAGTACCCGCATAGTACCGCTTGCGTATTTTTGTCGCAAAGAAATTTCTCGGGTTAAAGGATGAGACAGCCGTAGTGCTATATCAGCGGTCGGGGAACCGGGGTAAATTACCCCAAATGGGGTAAAATGAAATTTTGGGGGGTAAGCATGAAACTTTTGTGAGTAAAAAGTATATATTGAAGTGAAACTTCTTTAGAATCGTTGTGATTTCAAACTCGATGAAACGATATGAAATGAAACAAAGAAATAATATTTTTTTCAAAATTATCAAGGGGGCTATGAAAGATGCTAAAAAAAGCGATTTCGTTTTTTTTGTTCTTCGCCATGGGGTAATATCAACTTGCACAAAAAACATTTGGGGTAATAATTCAAAAAGTTCCCCGACCGCTGTGCTATATCTATTTATCTTTCTCTAAGCCCACAGACGTCCACTGCTGGGATATGGGCCTCTCTTAAGCCTCGCCACAACTGGACACAACGGTCCTGCGCTGTTTGCATTCAACGGATTATCGCAAATCTCAATAGGACGTCGGTTTACCTTATAGCAGGCCTTAAATTGTGTATAAGAAGTCCGAACGTATTCACGGTGTTAGTTCTATGCGCAATCGCTTAACATCATGTAACCTCGTTATTTGCTCGTTTTTGGTAATTAAGAAAAGTCTATAAAAATTTATACTAAGTAAGCAAACATGATAAAAATTTAAAACACAAATAATGTAAAGCAAAGGCGTCGCTTGTTCATGCAACTGCTGATAGTTACCCTAGCGCCATCTAGTGAGCGTGCGGTTAAAACGGAACGTTCAACGTACTTACTACCTGTAATAGGTAAAGCTGCCTCTGATATAAGGCCGATGTAAATAGAAGGATTTGTTTCGAGTCCTACACCCTAGCAGAGGGTAATAGGAAAAAACCAGAAGAAGAAGAGTCTCTGATATAAAGTTATCATACAAAAAAAAACAATATCATACCTCAACTACCATTAACTAAAAATTCAAAATCCCAAATCGCCATATTGCACGGACCATTTCTCGTACGCGACGAGGCTGTGCGGAGACACAGAAGGTCGGATCCTTTTCAGCGAATCTAGGAAATCTTGGAAGGTAATGCTCCGGACCAATGACAGGTCCAGACATTTCACTTCCTCAGGATCTAGCTCTGTAAAGAAACGAAGACTTTTGAAACGTCAGCAAATATTGTACAGACAGTGGCATTTTCACTAAGGTCGTAAGACTTCACTTCACGATGACAACTAAATAAAGATGGAAGATGTATTTATCTCTTTCTTTCTATTTTATATGCTCTCATTTAATAAAGATTTAGAATATTATAGACGACATGTTTATGAAAAACGTGAGATATCCGCAAAGGTGAGATTTAGGAATTACTCAAATTTAGCTCTGTCTTTGCATAGATAAAATACAGTAAAGTTTAGTTCACACTGAGTACAACTCTAAAATATTAAAGAAAGAATTTAAAATAAAATAAATAAATAAAACAAAACGATGTTAGTTCTCAAAGCTATAACGGGAAAAGTTACTTTACATAAGGTTCACTTAACATTAAAGGTTGTTTAACATATGCCTTTTCGTTTGTAAGTGACAGGAGTAATTTATTGCTTTGTGACGAATGATCGTAAGTATTAGATAATGTTTTGAAGATTTGAAACTTTATTACTAGGTGGCATAGTTGTAATTAGTTTAAACTTAAAACTGTTTCAAAACTTTTTTCTCCGTTTGTTGTAAACCAACGTAGCTATGTATGTGTATATTCACGCGGACAGTTTTTGCTTCGATTTTGTACGTGTCCCTTTATCTAGTTACAATTGTTGATCGAAGACTTTAAAATACGAAACCAGAGCTATCTATTAACCCACAGACACAGCCGGATCTTCGCAGTGGGTCGCATTTCTGATCCGGTGGTAGATTATGTGAAGCACTGCTCTTGCTAGGGTTCGTGTTAGAAACGTCGTCAGGTTTGAACCTGTTCACCTACTAGTTAAGCTTACGATGAAGTGGTCTCTCAAGATCATCTGCTTAGGTAGGAAAAAGCTCTCGGTGAGGTTTTTGTTTGTTTGCTGAGATGGGTGGACGAGCTCACAGCCCACCTTGTGTTAAGTGGTTACTGGAGTCCATAGACATTAATGCGCCACCCACCTTGAGATATAAGTTCTAAGGTCTCAGTATAGTTACAACGGCTGTACTGCTTCACGGCAGAAATAGGTAGGGTGGTGGTACCTAACCGTGCGGATTCACAAGAGGTCCTACCACCAGTAAAAAAGAGTTCGTGTTATAGAGGTCACATGGAGGTCGTGTCGGGGTGGGTTGGCGCGCACGCACCTCGGATGGGCCCGAGCGCGGCGTCCCTGCAGAGCGCGGTGAGGTCGCTGCCGGAGTAGCCGTCGGTGAGCGCGGCGAGGCGCACCAGCTCGTCGTCCGCGAGCTCTGTCTGCGCGGCGCCGCGGGCCAGCACGCCGCGCACCAGCGCCGCCCGCACCCGCGCGTCCGGCAGCGACACGTACACGCGCTTCGGGAACCGTCTGCAACAACGATAGCCATAACACCCAATTGAAGACTATGGTCACAATGTTATATTACGCCACATTATAAGACTGCGTTCGAAATTCTGAATGTAATTTAGTACTCTTATACGTATCATACTCTTAATTTGGATCAGGATTTTTCAAGAACACAAATTAGTTGCAATATCAATTTTCATGTTATTATAAATACTGTCCACCACTGCTGTGGTCAGTGTACCAATAATCACCAAATGGAAAAGTTATTTATTATTTCATTTTTCTGTTCCCATACGTTAATTATTGAAGTGGCATATTTAAAGTTTAAAAAAAAAAACAGAAACCACGGTCGAGAGCTATGGGTTTAGGCTTTAACGAGTTCTGTAGGAGAATAGTTGAGAACGAGATCCACATTATTATTGGATTGATTTATTAAAACTAAGTCATTATTATTTTTTACCTCAACGCAGCCTCATCCAGTTCCTGAGGTCGGTTGGTGGCGGCCATCACAATGAGTCTGTCGGCTCCGGCCGCCGGGAGCCCGTCGAACTCCACCAGGAACTCCGTCTTCAGCCGCCGAGACGCCTCGTGCTCGCCGGACGATCTCTCGCACAGCAGCGAGTCTACCTCGTCCACGAATATTATTGAAGGCTGCGAACCGATAAGCAAGTGAAGAATGTATTTTTAATACGCTTTTATTAGCTTCAAACGTATGTATATTCGTATGTTTGTAACGGAATCTTTGAACATGATTTTGATACATAAATAATAGTGTAAAAAAACTAACAAAATACGCTTTTATAGAAAATCCAACTAAAAATTAGACAGCGCTATGACATGTCCTTCTTCAAACGATGATTGTGGAGAGTATTAAGCGGTAGGCAGCGGCTTGGCTCTGCCCCTGGCATTGCTGAAGTCCATGGGCGACGGTAACCACTCACCATCAGGTGGGCCGTATGCTCGTCTGCCTACAAGGGCAATAAAAAATAAAATAAATAAATAATAATAATAAAAATTTAATAAATTTGAATTAAAAATAATGAAAGAAAAAATTATTTTATTGTAAAAGAGCGTGGGGTGCTTTTTAGGATATTATCAAAATAACCCTTCTACTCATATCTTTTCATAAAATATTTAAAACTATTGATACCATGCACCCCACGCTTTTTTACAATAACATCATTTTTTCTTACGCTAGTTTTAATTCAAATTTATTAAAATATATTTTCTATTTTTTAGTTGGATTTTCTATAAAAGCGTATTTTGTTAGTTTTTTTAAACTATTATTTATTTCAAACTGCTTTTATGTACTTTTCAATATGTATTGTTTACGGAATTTTATATGTTAAATGATTTTCAAACCGGTGTATTATTTGAAATCATTAACACAGTGCGGCGCCTAATACGCGAAGCTACACAATACGGCCTTATAAATCATACTGATGGTAGGAACTCTTGTGAGTCCGCACGGGTAGGTACCACCACCCCGCCTATTTCTGCCGTGAAGCAGTAATACGTTTCTGTTTGAAAGGTGGAGCAGCCGTTGTAACTATACTGAGACCTTAGAACTTATATCTCAAGATGTGTGGCGCATTTACGTTGTATACGTTTATGTGCTCCAGTAACCACTTAACACTAGGTGGGCTGTGAGCTCGTCCACCCATCTAGGCTATAAAATAAAAGTTTTGTATAAAGAGGTGTATTATTACCTGCAGTTCTCTAGCGACTTGGAACAGAGCCCTCACCATCTTCTCGCCTTCGCCCACGTATTTGCTGGTCAGACTCGCGGCGGATATCGAGAAGAAAGTCGCTGAGCATTCGGCCGCTACGCATCGCGCTAGCAGAGTCTTGCCTGAGACAACCAAAGAAATGATGAACTAATTGATAGAAGGCGAAGATAGATAGTATTTTTGTTGCGGAACAGTAATGCTTTCCGATTTGGAGGGTGGGACAAAACTTATTCTATTTAATCGAGATTCGTGACTCAAGGTTAGGTTAATGCTGTTTACGGGCTCTGGTAATTAAATAATTTCAGGTCTATGTAATAAATTAAAATCGTATTATACATATAATATATAAGATGCTATCTGAGCGTATAAGTCGTTTTTCAGAACAATGTGATTTCTGTTTTTTGAATTAAGTTAAAACTCACATGTGAACAATTATGTCGATATGTCATTTATGAACAAAAACAATCAACATAACAAAAAAATAAATTTTTTTAATAAACTATCAGAAATCACGGTTGTCATTCATTCCGGAGGACACATTAATAAAGAACAGATGTGATTAACAATTGTTAAAAAAATGATCATTTTTCTTCTACATAAATGTTGGGAGCCTAAAGGGTAATTCTGACTACGCGCGGACTGCTAGGTGAGCTCACGGAGTGTAACTTGAGAGCACTTGCTAACACTTGCCTTAGCAAGAGCAGTGCTTCGCTGAATCTACCATCGGATCAGATCGCGACCCCCTGAGAAGATCCGACGAGAAACTCAGTGGGTTTTTATGAACGAAACTTACAAATATTGTCAACATCCTTTTTTCGTGTAGACGTAATTTCAAATTTGCAAAAAACAATTTGCCACAAATTACTTTACAAAATTTTGCAAGACGCATAGTTTCCGAGATATCGCGAAAAAAGTGTTTTCACCCCTGCTTTCCAAGATGGCGGCCGGGGGACAAGGATGGCGACCCCACAAACTTGAGGTTAAGCTTTTATTGACACATGTCCCAAAAATAAAATTGCGTCCTCTAAAGAATGCAATATTCGGCGCTTAAATTGTAACATTTCAATGGACTAATTATAGTTTTAAATGTTATTACGACTTACAGCGTGTAGAATTTACACTCACCATTTCCTGGAGGTCCAAACAAAAGTAAGCCTCGGGCTGGCGATCGGAGTCCGGTGAAGAGTTCGGGCCTCAACGAAGGTAGAACAACCATTTCTTGCAATGCTTGTTTTGCTGCCTATTGTTAAATTCTTTTTATAGATAACTAGCTGTACCCGCCTGCTTCGCTAGGCATTTAAAATTAACATTATTATTTCTCCTATAGGGGGTCCAACATATCATATATCAACTCATATAAATATTAGCCTATCCATTAAGTACATGTATTTTCTACATGGATACCAAGTTTCAAGTCAATCGGATGCATGGTTCAGTAGTTATAACGGAACATCCGTAAAGACCACTGTAGATTTATATATTAGTATAGATCAAATTGTAAATTCAAGACCGTAACTATAATTTTAACGGATTTTATTTTCAAGAGAGAAAAAAAACCACGAATAAACCTGATATTTTAGAAACGTTAATTACTAAAAGATCGCGATCAAATAATTGTATTTATTGCGCTGCACGCAATGTATTGGTTAGAATTCAGGCCAGGGTTAATGACCTTGTATGAGGTTTAAGAACTGCATTCGCTTTAGATTGAGGACCCTATATGGTATTTAATTAAATAAATACAAAAAGGTTCACTATATTTTCTTGTTTATTTCTCAATCGATTTTATTGGCGATTGACGAACTCCATTAATAACAAATATTTAAAAAATAATGGAAACAGTTTTTTTTTCATCTTCATTAAAACTGTATAAAATGAATCAACATCTTGAGGTATCATTGATACGTTTCAATTTCTAACAAATAGGGGGACAATAGTTTTTACGAATCGCCAAATTAGAGAGTAGCATAGTGTAAGATGAGACTTTTAGGTGACTTTCACGAAACTCACCTCTTGGCCAGCTATATCGTCCCAGTTTACTTTGGGTCCTCCTTCGACTATCTCGTCCAGTATAAGCTGGACCAGCTTCGGGTCGACGCCTCGGACGGTTAGCGCGGGCTGCGGAGTCCTACTCCTGGTGGGCGTTCCGCGTTGTGAGCCACTCACCGCCCGGCGGACTGGCGAACCGTTTACCGGCACCTGGTACGCGCTCTGAGCATGAGCGTGGTAGAATTGCTTATGGTTAATGGCGATGATGTGTTAGTAAGCGATGAATTAAAGCATTGGCACAGGTTTTGAAGTCGTCGTGGCCTAAAGAATAAGACGGTGTTCGAATCCCGCAGGCGGGTACCAATTTTTCTAATGAAATACGTACTCAACTAATGTTCACGATTGATTTTCACGGTGAAGGAATAACATCGTGTAATAAAAATCAAACCCACTAAATTATAATTTGCCTAATTACTGGTGGTAGGACCTCTTGTGAGTCGGAACGAGTAGGTACCACCACCCCGCTTATTTCTGCCGTGAAGCAGTAATGAGTTTCGGTTTGAAGGGTGGGGCAGCCGTTGTAACTATACTGAGATCTTAGAACTCATCTCAAAGTGGATGGCGGCATTTACGTTGTACATGTCTTTGGGATCCAGTAACCACTTAACATAAAAAAATCTTTAGTATACATTTTCGTTATTTGCTCAATTCCTATAATGACACACGATCGTCTTAACAATGGATACGCGTCAACGATTTATTTGACCTCTTAAAAGAAACTAGAACGTAATTCGTCCAATAGAAGACGAAAACCTAATACATTTCTCTTTGGATTCGTCGAAAGTTCAATTGAAATGTCTGAAAGCTATAAAATAATAATAAAAAAAAAAACGAATTAAGGAGGTCGCGGTGACGCATCGAACGATGGAACGCCAACGACAGCGAATACATTTGCCACGCTCGAATGGCAAGATCAAATCGATAATGGTTTTCGTAAATTCAATCAGAGTAAACACGCGTTACTGAAATGGAAAGTGGAAAATTAACTCCCAAAAACCTTTTAATGATTCTAACAAAAATATGTATAAATAGCTTGGGGAAAAAGTATTTTCGCATTATAGTAGGTATGTATGTACTTGTAATAAAATCTCTTTGGCTATATATACTATTTGTATCTGGCTGGTTTTGGTATCATTAAAAGTATAAATTTTAAAGAAGATAATTCCAAATTCAAATTAGCAAAATTTGTGATTTTTATTTATTTTTCGTACTGTCAAGATGAGTGAATCTAATGAAGGTGTATAATTAAAACTATGTATTTTTACGATTTAATCTTCGTAACCACAAGTAATGTGAAATATTTTCGAAACATCGTAAATAATATCATGCTAATAAAAAGAGGCGAGATTAAACCGTAAAACTATTTAGTTTTAATTATGTCTGTTTCGCGAAAATAAAGAAAATAGTAAATAAAATACAACAAAATCGAGTGCTCGATTTTAGGTTCAGAAACCAGTTTTTAACTAATCTACCGGGGAGTTGCAAATTGACATGTTAAATTTGAATAAAATTTACATAGTAGTCGCGAAATTACCTAATCGTTGCGAAGCGAGTCAAATGTATTAGTAATGGCTTTTGTTAATGCTCACGCAAGATGTTAAATGACAAATGGGTTAAAAGTGCACACGGCCTTTAGAATAATTCATGGGAGTGAAACAATTGAATCCTTAAAAAAAATTTTTTGGAGTGTTTGATTTTGAAGAATATTAAAACTAGAACACACATTTCGATAATATAAAAGTGTAAACAAGATTAATAAGCTGATATTGGCTTGGTACAGATAGTCCTCCTTTAACACGATAAATAGTATTCCTATCCTACAAAACGCGGTGTTGTGCGAAATCGTATAATTTTTCTGAATGAAACATCTCAACTATTTCTTTTTACGTATTATACCTAAAAAAATAAGCAGTAAAATGTCAGTTATAGTCCCATATATGAGTCGACTATTATCAAAGCCAGCAATCTGACTTTTGGACAATGATTGGTAAATCAGAAAAACGAATTATTGACTTTGTATTCCATTGGCAGTCACAAAACTCTTCGGAACGACATCTTAGATAAATAACAGGTTAACTATTAACCTTTATTTAATGCAGGTTTTGAACCGTATTCTTTGAAGGAGACGATTATATTCAAATCAATCTGTATTGACCTATCAATAAAAATTNCAAAATCGAGTGCTCGATTCTAGGTTCAGAAACCAGTTTTTAACTAATCTACCGGGGAGTTGCAAATTTACATGTTAAATTTGAATAAAATTTACATAGTAGACGCGAAATTACCTAATCGTTGCGAAGCGAGTCAAGTGAATTAGTAATGGCTTTTGTTAATGCTCACGCAAGATGTTAAATGACAAATGGGTTAAAAGTGCACACGGCCTTTAGAATAATTCATCGGAGTGAAACAATTGAATCTTTAAAAAAATTTTTTTGGAGTGTTTGATTTTGAAGAATATTAAAATTAGAACACGCATTTCGATAATATAAAAGTGTAAACAAGATTAATAAGCTGATATTGGCTTGGTACAGATAGCCCTCCTATAACACGATAAATAGTATTATCCTACAAAACGCGGTGTTGTGCGAAATCGTATAATTTTTCTGAATGTAACATCTCAACTATTTCTGAATGTAATTTTTACGTATTATACCTAAAAAAAATATGTAGTAAAATTTCAGTTATAGTCCTATATATTGTGTGTTCATAGTGCTTATTGTAATTTTTTAAAAAACAAAAATGTAATTTTTATACTAAATCTCGTTTTTATACTAAATATCTTTATACTAAATAAAATCTCGTTAAAGTGTTGTAGAAGTACAGTGAAATATTGGGGTTTTGGGGAATTTTCTTTTCGTGTTAGAGTGACCCCGAGTTGTAAAATACCGTGTTTTAGAAAGGTTGTTACTGTATGTATATTTGTTTTTTTTGTAACGGAGTATTTGAATGCAATTTTCACAGACTTCAAGAGGTCTGATTAATTTGAAAATTTGCACATGCATCAAGAATCGATTACTATACAATACATTTTATAATTTCGCTCTAATATCCTGACCAATATCAACAGGATTCAATGTGCTGGTCAGACCATATAGGCTCAACTCTCAACGAGTCAGTCCACGATGCCATCCACAAAGGCTTGGATAGATTGAACTGGCGCAAAATATTCCACGAAAAAGTCATTCAGAGAGGCCCAATTATTGAAAATTATCGACTAAATGAGGTGCAATACGATCAACAGAATAAATAAAAAAGATGAAATTAATTTTTAGTTTCCTATTTAAGCGTGCTTTTTTTTAGAACTTCAACTACTTAAATTATTTTTAAGGTTTCAACATGCATGCTAATGTTTATTTAATTTTAAAGTATTTAAATATCTTATTTGTAAAACAAGCATTTTGAAGTTATACTCAAAATTACAGTGCGCGCTATATCATTCACACTAATAGTAACGTCACATTCAATTTAGAACACAATTCAACCGCTAATTTATGAGTTTCTTCAACTGCACGAATGTCTCTCTAAAGCGGACACGAGTGTATGAAACACACACAATATTCACTAACAATAAACGGTGCCTGTACTGTTTGTTTATTGTGTATACCAAAATGGCGCGAACCAGTCATGCGTTCCAGTTTGAAGGGTGGGACGGAGCCGTTAGACGGTGCAATTGACTTTGACCTCATGTTTTATTGGATGTTTATGACCTTCGGTAGTTATTTAATCTGGAAAATAAATAAACTAGCTCGCAATGTTTTTTTAAATGGCAACATTGTGACTGCGTTTTTTTTTTTTCAAAAATGACCAACCATCAATTCTCGGTTTTATTATATGCTGTTACCATTAACGTTCGTTTTTTTTTTATTGCCATATAGGCAGACGCCGTTCATGGACGTCAGCAATGCCAGGGGCAGAGCCAAGCCGCCGCCTACAAATCATCCTCATTTATGATCGTATTTCAAAAACTTTCTTCCTTCTACGTCGTAAGTTGATTCAAACGATATTAAAAAGCTACGTACATATAAATAAAAGGAGGAAAACGCATTTAATATTTCGACACGGCTGCGACACAGCTGCGCCAAGAACGCATTTAATACAAGCCTGAATTAATCCAAATTAGTGTTTAAATGGATATAATAATTAATTTTATTAGCCTTGCGCTCGTTAAGAATCATATCAAGGCGTTAACAGTGAAAGTTCTTAAGCGTTATTTATCTGTGCTCATTGAACTTTTAATTTGAAAGCATATGTAATAAAAATTATTGGTTGTAAATAAACTCGTTCGCCGTGACCTTATGTTACGGCCATGTATGTAATTTGTGAAATTGAAAAAAAACAACGGAAAAAATGGGCATAATAATGCAATCTATAAATATCTTTATTAACACCCTAGCTTTTGCCCGCGACTTCGTTCGCGTGGTATAGTTCACAAATAATGCTTTATTTTAGAACAAATTTGGTTAGCATATAAACGTTATAGTGAGCCAACCTTAACATATAGACATATTATTATGCTGTCGCGGACTTTTTTTTTTAGATCTTTTAAAGAGGAACAATTCTGTCATACATTATTTTAGCGAAACTTTAACCGTTTCTGTAGCGCACGCAGCGGCAGCTTTCAAAAGGTAAAAATAACCCCGATTTTGAAACATTGCTTGTATTGGTCTTAGCGTGATTTTATATAGCCTTATAGCTTTCCTCGATAAATGGGTTATCTAACACAAAGAATTTTTCAAATCGGACCAGTAGTTCCTGAGATTAGCGCGTTCAAACAAACAAACTCTTCAGCTTTATAATATTAGTATAAATACGTATTTTTTTTCTTTTCGTTGTATCTGTTTAAATTACTTACAGACAACTGTCTTTTAACAGCCGGCGGTGTAGACGCAGGCTTCATGGGGTACCGTGTGTAGCCCCCGTTAGAGCTGTTCGGCTGGGAGGATGATCTGCCCATGGACCTCGGCAAAGTCTGAGATTTCATCAAGGGCCCTCCTCCACTGCTAGGCACTCTTCGGCCTGCCGTCGTCAGTTTTCGTCCTGCAACTGCCTCTTGGGTCAGACTCGATTAAAATAAAACGGGAGGGCTTGATTTAGTACAGTAAAGCATCATTGATAATAGAGAACCGGACTGTTTTTTTTTTTTTCATAAATGCCTCGAAAACATTAAAAAACTGCTTTGACCGCAACTGCATTAGCTGTAACGTCATTAGTGGTCAAAACAGACAAGTCCACCAAAAACACACACATTGCCCACATACAACTTCATAAAGTCATGACTATACAGTTGGTTTAAGNTTGATTTAGTACAGTAAAGCATCATTGATAATAGAGAACCGGACTGTTTTTTTTTTTTTCATAAATGCCTCGAAAACATTAAAAAACTGCTTTGACCGCAACTGCATTAGCTGTAACGTCATTAGTGGTCAAAACAGACAAGTCCACCAAAAACACACACATTGCCCACATACAACTTCATAAAGTCATGACTATACAGTTGGTTTAAGGAAAAAAAATGTTAATGATAATTTAAATTAAAAATAATTAAACAATTGCAATAATATTGAACGATCGTCTTAATTAAATTGATATTCATTCGCAATACATTTTTGATGCCTATTGTGTCACGAAGTCTATCTATTATAATTATATAACTATTAGTTGGGTACCTACTAACGTTCCAAAGGCACGCTATGTGAATAGCTTTATTAACTTTATTAAGATACAATAATAATTTAAGTCTAATGAAAGTTTCTTGCTATCGAACAATTATTTTAGACTTATAGATGTAAATGTCTTACAACAAATACGTATTAGACCACAAAACACTAACTTCTTCTCTTCTTCTATTCTATATTTCTAATCTATTTCTTCGAACATCACGAAATAAAAAGGTACCTACTATAAATTTCTAAGTAAAGCATAGCCTTTGAATGCAGAAGATAGTAATCTTCTTACTGTGTAGTTATATTCTAATCTTGGCAGAATGACGTGAACCATAACTATGGAATCATTATAATGATATCTCCGAAACACTGGCAGATATTGCGGATCGAAACAGCAGAATGCCAAAAAAAAATACCCTATTTTATTCCGAATGTATTTTACTTTAAGTGGAGTTATATATCTTTTACAATAAATTTTAGTTTCATTGGGCGTGTTTTATTATTTGAAATTTTAATTTTAATTAATACGTGTTATTACAAAGAGTTATACGGCATGTGAATAGTTAATTGAATCGTATAGATCGGTGGCATCAGGGAAATACAAGTCAATCGTAAAAGATCATGCATGGTCGTTACGTTCCAATGCTTCTGTTTGCACCCGCGTTCCCGAAGCGTGATGATCTACTTTCGGTTCATTGCAAAAGGTTATTTGTCGCGACGATGAGAGTGGGAATTTATTTATGTGATTAAATGATCAACCCTATTTCAAAGTTTGTTATGGCTTAGAATCGTGCAACGACCTTTCTTTCCAAGTATACTTTTTAATAACTAAATCAAGTTGCTCGAGTCATTGTTCGAATGTACCAGTAAATAATATACTACTTATTTAATGAGAGATCTGGTTCAGAACGTATTCAATTATAAATGTACCTTATTTTTAAGTAGAAATTTCATCATTGTCATATCCATCACAGCTATAATCTGATAATTGAATTCGGATGGTGTACTTAATAAGTTGCTCCAACATTTTGCATCTCGATTTGAAATTTTTTATGGTACTCACAAAAGACATAGTTAAATAAATATTTAAAAAATGAGGTTATTTATAATGTTATTAGTTTATTTTGTATTTTAATTGTGTACTTGACTATAGAACTCTGACTTACTATGCATTTTTAGACTAACCTTTATCTAATGTTTTTTATATTTACATCTACATTTATTTTGATTTTCTATTTAAGCTTTAATCAGATGAATCGTTCATTAATGGTTGATTGGCTGATTATGTGAATTTAAATATTTTTATCATTACTTTTTGCCTTATAAACATTATAGTGAATGGAAATAAATTAATGGAGTAAAATGAGTGAAGCTTTGATCGTTCAAGAAGAACTTTGATAATTATTTTATTAGTTATGTGCGTACCAAATATTATATGTGACATATTGATACACTACAGTTCATTTACATTTACAATCAGTAATCATGGCGGAAATTTGATTAGTCAGAGATGTTCATGAATGTAATGGCTGAGATAGCTAATTTATATACATTATTTAAAGCAATACAGTTATGAGTATTATTAAATGTAAAACTAAAATAAAACATTATATAATAGTTATGCTTTTTTGGATTGGATTTTACACAAACTACTTTGACAATGTGTTCATTGGGTATACAAGCAAGCGGCATTGTTTACGGAAGCATCACAAATCTTCATGCAAACACACACATACTCATGCATTCTAATTACATTACATTACTTTATTTCTTCAATAATTGGTTAGTTTTCATTACTTTTTGCAATAAGTTAAGTCAAACAAAGCTAAGCATTATCATTGAGTTGCTCTACCTTCTGTCGGCGGCTTTGTTTGACCACAATTATTTTCTGTATGTGACAGTAACGTTGTCTTGGACTTCTCTAGCGGCTTTCGGACCTTGAGAGGTGATTCAGTTGGCTTTTTGTCACTCCTCTCTGGCTCACTTTCAACACCCAGTTTACTTAGGGCGACTAGGTTGGCTACATCGAGGAATACATTTCAAATAAATTAAAATTGGAACAGTGATTAACTTTTAGCTCCGAGAATCATTGATGGTTAGGTTAAATGATTGATACAGACTTGCCCGATTGAAGCATTTGTTATATACAGATTATAAAATTTTATAATTTTGTACTTTTAAGCAACAGGTATCGATTAAGTTTTATCAGACAATGATTATATAAAATTTAGTACCAAAATATTTTTTTAAAAATGTGAAGATACATGATGCGAGCAAATGACCTTTCAATTCAGATTTTGACTATTAATTAATAAAACTAATACTGGGTGTGATTCTTTGTCACACTACAGTTTATATGAATCTAATCTATTTGATTCAGTTCAGCCTTGATAATAATCACGTGTTAGTCTTTGTTAGGACTAACTAGGTCATCACTTTATCTCAAAACGGATAGTCTAGTTTTATGTCAAACATCTACCTACATTATGACTACAACACCTACACCTTCATGCATCTAACCATTAACCATCAATGACTTAACATGATACAGTGAAGAAAAAACACAATAATATTAAAAATAATAATAAGCTTTGCATGCATACAATCAGCCATTTTAGACTGCATAGCTTGAATAAGCAGTGATTTTAACTTATACCAATATTTTATTACCAAGGAAATGTAAACGATCCTTAGCCATTCCAAGGTTTGTTTTCATCTTGTCGTGTAGTTTTTGAGCTCTTTGCCAAGCGTCTCCTCTACCTCCCCAGCAGTCGACAGCGATACCTCGCTCCAATTCAAAAATCCCTTTCTTGTACAGTTCTATTGCTAGCTCCTTTTGGCCTGTTTTTATACAATATTAATTTTGTTAACTAAGTTCAAATAACTTATGTGTGTGTTTATATAAAACTAAGAAGCCATTCAATTTATGAGTCAGAGTTACAATGTTTTGTTTATATTTATATCCAACACAGGCAGTGTAAATTATATCATAACCAACTGTTAAGTTTTCAAAACAAACATTTATAGAATCTTGGCTGTTATCCAACTCACAAAAAGAAAAAGTGCACCCTTTTCAGGACTGAATCATTACTCTATAATTACATAGCAAATGAGTCATTACACCCCAAGAACTAACAACATACTATTGACATGCAAACTTGCCTTCGTTTTCCTCATCAATCTTCAAAGCTTTCGATATGTATTCAAAAGCTTTGCGATGATGATGCTTCTGCTTGGCCAGCAGTGGATCGCCTGGTCCGACGTGATGAGACATATCTTCTTGAGCTATCTCTGTGGACACTATACCGTCTTTCACTACAACTTCTAAGTTGCACTCGCCGATCTTACGAGGCTTTTTCATGAACCGATGCGAAGCCGTATATAAGTATTTGAATATCAAAAATAGTTGGTATAAAATTGATCGTAAAATATTGAATAAAATAATTATGGGAAATGAAACAACATAAAGGTTCCGTTTGTGAACAGAAGGTTGCGAAGCATTTCGCAACGTTGACCCCTTAGCTAGGTCTGCATCTCCTTTCTTTGACTTGCGGTTTGGGGACCTGGTATTTTTCCTCGATAATCGGCCACCATTTGAATCGTCTCCTGACACCATCAAGAATGCTGACCCCCTGACTTCTCTAACACGAAACCTCCATACACTTTTCCAAACAAAGAAACGCACGTTTATTTTACCCGTTGTCCGTAAACACGGCAGGATTCGCGACTCGTGAAAGCTTTATGTTGAAGTTTATTTTATTCAATTTTTTTGACAAAATTTGACGTTTGTATGTCTTCACTTGCAAAAGCAAAGGGAATTAAGCCCATAAGTTCTTTCTTTGGGATAGAAAACTATCCCAAAAAAAAAAAAATCAGCAATAGCTGTTTTTTTTTGACGGAGAGAAATCAATTGCTGATTACGACTTTTCTTTGATAGTTTAGTTTTAATAGTATCTCTAAATGTAGTTCATAATAATATTATAATTACGTTTCAGATTTTAAACCCTTGCCGAGATACTAATTATAAGCGGTTTTAAATCATTATCTTCAAATCTCTACTGGATATTTAAAACTGGTTTTAAGTATTTAGCTAGAAAATTTATTACGTAAGATGCAGGATCGGGTCGCTCCGCTTGGTACAAATCCACCGGGTCTTATATCTCTTACGCCATGTTCAATGTTCCTCTATATGCGTTTATTCCTTACATTTTCCCTCCTTGGTTTTGTATATATAATAACAACAAATACAGGTATATAAGTCTCACCATTTTATTGAACAGAAAAAACTTATTTTATATCCGAAATACCGATTCGAAAATAAACATAGAATATAAAATCGAAATTTTCTGTTAGCCATCATTAGCTATTAAATATAAAGCAAGTAGTATTAAACGTTTTATCTATGCCAATCAGTACTGTCTCAGTCTAATCATCTGTCTATGGAGGAAATTATACAGAAGAGACAAGGTTATATAGGCTAGGATACCCTTGCCTTTCCTAATAAGGAAAAATTGTACCACAAAAATGTCTATGGAGGCTTAAATTTGTCAAAGAAATACTTTGAAAGTCTAGGTCTAATAACCTCGATGTGGTGAATAAAAATTACCTTCTATTATAAAAATGTAAGTACTTGTGACTACTAAATGATTATATTCCTTTTTTCTAATATAGTGGAGCAAAGAGTTGAGAAAAATAATGTAAAGTGACAAGTGAAATTATTTGTAGAAATTTGTACATAAAAAATACTTTTTTTAGTTAATTAATAAAATGGCAGAAGATACAATTAGCAATATAGCAATAGCGGAGGATGAGGACTACGTGGATCCATGGACTGTTACTGGAAAGTCGGACACCGGCATTGATTATGACAAACTAATAAGTATGTATTCTATGTTAAAAAGATATACTTCGAAATGCTTATTATTTTAGTGGTGATGTGTCAATTAATCCTTCAATAGGTGGCTAACGAATGGAGTGGCTTTTAATAAAAATTAAATACTTAAATCTCAAAAATATGTATGATCAAAAAGGTGATATTTCACCAGTTTCATCATCTTTCAATCAATCATTTGACTTTTTTTTTTTTAATGGCAATCTGCCGATACTTTCAGCAATTTCTGCCAGTGTCGTGTTATGGCTACACATGGAACATTGTCTAGCTATTTAAACACACTTCATATTATGAAAAGTATCCAATTTTGGCAATAATAATGGTGCCTGGGACTAACATAAAATTAATGTTACTATAAACTTACATATTATAATAAAGATAATGTACAGAGAATAATGTACTACATATAATTATAATTTTATTGACTTAGTAGTTATAAAGTTAATAAAAGCACTTATAATACGGGGGTCTGGGAATAGTGAGAGGAGGTGGCAGACATTTACGGGTTGTTGAATTTTCAGTTCACTAATAACTTGGTCCCATATGAATAAGTTGTTCAAGCGACAATTGAGGAAAATGTGATCTATAGTGCCGTCGTCCAAATCCAAATAAAAAATCATTTCACTTGGAATGAGTTTGGTATTTTAAAATTTGTGACTAATAACAATAGCTAAAATTAATTCAAATAAATCTAACATATTTGAAATAAAGTCTAGGGTTACTGATTAAAGATGTTATTGGAAAATATAGTGTAATTTACTCAATCTTTATCCTCTATCCCTATTACTCCTGAGTTACACTTTACAGTTTTCATTTGTTTATTGACTAAAAGTTAAGAAACTTTATAGAAAAACAAGTTCAAATACTCAACCATATTTAGTATACTTTCAGCTCTGATACATCATGCTGTCTTCCTATTAAATGGCTTATATTCAGCGCCCATATACATATATTCCATGATGGCTTGCAATGACTCAAAAATAAATCATGAAATGTAATGATGATTATAAACTTTAAAATTAATTATGTTGCAGAAAGGTTTGGCAGTCAGAAAATTGATGATGAACTTATACAGCGATTTGAAAAAGTTACAGGAAGAAAAGGTAAATTTTAAAAGAAATATTTTCATTAAAATTTTGTATCAATTTAAAACTATTCAGATTCTGATGTATTTATAAATATAAGCTTAATAGAGAATAATGCACATTCTGATCTGCGATTAAATAAAAATGTAAAAAATAATTATTTTTAAGCTCATCATCTGCTGAGACGTGGAATATTCTTTTCACATAGAGACTTAAATGTAATAATTAATTTACATGAAGCGGGAAAGAAATTTTACTTGTACACTGGAAGAGGGCCATCATCGGACAGTATGCATCTCGGACATATGATTCCTTTTATGTTTACTAAGTTAGTATTTTTTTTATTATTCAAGGTAATCAAAGAGTGAAAATTTACTATACAATGGAATGTTATTCCTTTCTGGAAATACAACCATTAGTGAAGAATTGCAATTGCAATAAATAATACGAATTTATGGAGCGTTGCTTATCAATGCCAGTCATCATTCATCACTTGATTGAGTACACAGGGTGTTTTACCCCATCATAAACATTTCAAATATACTTCAAAGACTTAAGACATTTTACTCTGTGTATTTAATTATTTTTCAAATGATTTAATGTTTGTAATGAATGTCTGGTGTTACTGGTCTATGCTTTAATAATGGTAATACATTTTTAGATGGTTACAAGATGTTTTCAATGTACCTCTAATTATTCAACTGACAGATGATGAGAAGGTACTGTGGAGAGATATAAAAGTTGAAGATGCAAGGAAAATGGCTTATAATAATGCTAAAGATATTATAGCAATTGGATTTGATCCTTCAAATACATTTATATTTAATGATTTGGATTTTATTGGGTAAGTAGATGGAGATATTTTTTAATCTATCACTTAGTTTATCTTCTTAAAGTTTATTACTTAGTGCACTGTTCTATGCTCTCTCTGAGGAATAAATTTGAGCTGTGAATGGCTTATGATTCAAAAGCAGTGATGTAAATTTTCCATTTAATTATAATTTTTTGGTTCACAGGCAGTGCCCAGCTTTTTACCAGAACATGTTAAGGATACAGAAATGTGTCACATACAACCAAGTAAAGGGCATATTCGGTTTCGGTGACTCTGATGTCATTGGCAAGATAACATTCCCATCGATTGAAGCCGCTCCAGCCTTTTCCACCACTTTTCCATTTATTTTTGAAAATAAAATTGTAAGTAATCATTCTGGTATAGTCATGAATTGATTTTTAGTTTGATTCAATTTTTATAAATTATAGCTGTACCCATCCACTTCGCAGGGCATTTAAAATTAGCATTATTATTTCTCACCACCACAAAGATTCTCTTCATTAACGCCCCTGCAACTGGTGTAGGGAGTCCAACACTCATATAAATATTAGCCTATCCATTAAGAACATGTGCTTTCTACATCAATAACTATTTCAAATCGATCGGATGCATTATTCAGTAGTAATAACAGAGCATCTGTAAAAATCACTGTAGATTTATATATTAGTATAACAATTTTTACTGTGTATTACCATATATACCGTAATAACCGATTTGAATGAATTTTTTTGTATGCGTTTGGGTGGCGTCCTGGATGGTTTAGATTCACAAATCAGCCCGGCATATGGCAACTAAACGACTGGATCGACTTGAATGAATTTTGTGTATTCACAGGACGTCTGTTGGGTCTGCTAGTTTATATATAGATAAATAGACAAATAAGAAAGTTATTTTCTATATTTACTTATACTATATAAATGTGTACTGTGGTTAAATTATTTTATATGATTAAGCGTCAAATTTCTAAAACAATATTATGTAAACATTAGAAATAAATAATATTTCAAATATATAATTCCAGGTACATTGTTTGGTTCCGTGCGCGATCGATCAGGATCCATACTTCCGTATGACGCGAGATGTGGCTGTTCGTCTCAAATTGCCCAAACCTTCTCTGATACACTCTACATTCTTGCCGGCTCTTCAAGGCGCTCAACACAAAATGTCCGCTAGTGATTGTAACGCTTCGATATTCTTGAACGACACTCCGAAGCAAATAAAAAATAAGGTAGGCATTTTTGTCCCGGAGATTTTCATGGTTTTGCTTTAAAAATTAAAAAGCTTTATAAATCAGATGGATGCTATTTTGATGTCACAATCCATATTTCATTGAAAAATGCTAATAAATCACTACTATGATTGCTGACCCGAATAAAAAAAAAATCTAGAAGGTACCACTATTAGCTGTCTAACTTCCTGAAGAGGCTGAAATGGTGCTCGAACGAACGGTTTCCTACCATAAAAATAGATGTGCGTCGTTTTGTAGTGGTAACACTGCCCCTTCTTTTTTTTCCTATCTATGCTGATAGCTTTGAGAGGCTATATCAGCGTTACCATAGCGTGTAGGTGAGCTCTCGAGGCTCAAACCGGGAGTGTTGCTGACACTGGCCCCAGCAAGAGAAACTCAGTGGGCTGTGTCTGTGGGTAAATTTTAGAAATTTTTGCTGTGAGGTAGTAATGCGTTCCCGTTTTGAGGGATAGAGTATATAGATTGTAGGATTGTACATAGCGTGTTCAGGAGAGATGCACAATATCTACCAAAGAGAATTGTTTGTACTTAGCTTATCGTTATGTTAAGACACAAAAATATTTTGGTCTTGTATGGAGTAGGTATATACGAGTTACCATGTATCCTTGTTTTATTGGCACTTCTACGATGGTTTCTGATACAGTATCGTTAACTTAGATTAAACTGCTTTTTATGACAAAAACACGTCATCTGGCGCCTGTGTTTTTTTAAATAACTTGGTGTAGTAATTATTTGGCGGCGGACACAGTGAAACGTGACTAGGATTAACTAATAAAGTATACATAGAAAAAATAAATCATGGAGGTCAAAATGCAGTATTCTGTTTAAGAATATAATACGAAATATTTGTCACAAAAGGCGTATCGGTTTGTAGGGTGGGGCAGCGGTTGTAACTATACTGAGACCTTAGAACTCATATATCAAGGTGGGTGGCGGCATTTACGTTGTAGATGTCTATGGGCTCCAGTAAGTGGTTAACACCAGGTGGGCTGTGAGATCGTCCACCCATCTATGCAATAAAAAAAACTAGATGGACAAAAAAACTTTTGTCCATCTAGTTACACTATAGACTGACCGAGTAGTTAGTGGCCCTGACTTGCGCCGAGGGTGGTGGGTTCGATACCCACTTTGAGCGGTCGGTTAGTTCTTTTGTCGTCTATTTTATATACATACTAGCTGTAGGTACTCGTCCGCTTCGCTGGGAATTTAAAATTAACATTATTATTTCTCACCCCTACAAATATTCTCATCATAAACGCCCCCGCAACTGGCGTAAGGAGTCCAACACTCATATAAATATTAGCCTATCCATTAAGTACATGTATTTTCTACATAGATACTAAGTCTCAAGTCAATCGGATGCACGGTTCAGTAGTTATAACGGAACATCCGTAAAAACCACTGTAGATTTATATATTAGTATAGATGAGAATGGTCAATTCGTTCCTTGTCGTCTAGTTCGTGTACGTCTTTTAGGAAGTCAAAAAAAGTACTTCTTGCCGCTAGTCACGTACGCCCTCGTTCCATTTCTCTCTTTATTTTTGAATTCTTGTCAAGTGTCTGTCTTAGTCTGTGTCTATGTCTAGTCGTTGTAGGTCTTATGTCCTGTCAAAGAGATTGCACGCCACGACACACATCATGCAATCATTCGTGTGATGAATAAGTTTGCTTGCTCTTAGTATGGAGGTGTGTGTTATCTATATATTTATATATTTAAACGTATATAAGTCTGTATGTCAATCTCTGGTACCCATAAACCACAAAGTTTGCGGTCAGATGACCGTGCGTGATTTGATCCCAATTATTAGTTATTATTACATATATACAAAGTTTTTATTCTCGAAGTTTTATGAGTTTCGGTAAATACTGAAAACCATGGGCCTAAGCCAAGTGGAGTTCATTTTAAGTTTTAATTTTGTCTTAGGTTTCGTTCTGCAAAAACTTCGAACAATTCGACACGTATTTAAAATTGTGGCATGATATATACTAAAAAGTATATTTTTGGTTTATTATTATAATACTATTTTACTATGTTTATTTGAAATCTTATTAATTACACAATATTTTTTAAAAAGAATATTAAGAATACAATTTTTAAAAAACAGTATATAAAAATAGATAGCCGCTAATGGCGGTTTCTACGACACAAACCACTAGTGGTTAGGACTCCAGAGTGAGAAACACACAATGCGCGCAATATCGAGGATAACTTTATTCATATTATTGTCGAATGTACTGAGTCGTGTGCTTTTTTACAGATAAACAAATACGCGTTTTCGGGAGGCCAAGTCACGGTGGAGGAGCACAGAGAGAAGGGTGGTAACACTGATGTGGATATTTCTTACAAGTATTTAGTTTTCTTCCTTGAAGACGACGACAAACTCGCTGAGGTAATAGATGTTTGTTAATCGTTATTTATTCAAGGATAACGCACTTTAGTCCGCACGAACTGAGCTTAAGCAGCAATGTACAGTTTGCAATACATTACGTGTTAAAAAAATGTGGACGATGCAATCTATTCAGTCGTTGAAGGAATGTGTTGCTCGCTTCGGGCATTGCAATATTGCAATAACTGTTACGTTAAAGGACCACTTGTAAAAATGAATATTTAAAAAAAAAATAATATTTAAAATAAAATAAAAAGACATGCCCGCTGAGTTTCTTGCCAGTTCTTCTCAGGACGGAGGCTAGTTTTTGTGAATTGGCAGTAGTTCTTTTTGACGTTCAACAAGTATGTACTTTCATTTAGGTTGAATAATTTTTTTTGACTATTTGACTATTTTTGACTATTCGAGTGGGACACGATATGATCCGTTTGTCGTTTAAATATCACGGAGACGCAAACGTTGAGAAGTTCTGTTACGAATTTTGTTTGAAAGTACTCGTATTTATAAATTTCCGAACTAATTATTTTTCAAAATTCCCTGTTTTTATTAATACGTAACTTTAAAAGCATAATAGCACTGTGATGCCATATAAGAGATGCAAATTCATGTCCACTTGATAACTTACCGTAGCTAATAAGATGAGAATAAGAATGACACCCTCGTCGGTTGAGTAAGCGCATATTGGCTAAGCGACAGCCTTAAAAAAAATTTTTACCAGTGAATCTACTGTCCGTACCGTAGTTGAACCCGTCGCTTGCGACGAAGGACTCGACGATTAAATTAACCCAAAGATATAGCCCACTGCTGAGTTTCTCGCCGGATCTTCTCAGTGGGTCGCGCTTCCGATCCGGCGGTATATTCTGCGAAGCACGGCTCTTGCTAAGGCCAGTGTTAGCTACACTCCCGGTTTGAACTCCGTGAGCTCACCTACTCGCCCGGTTACGCTGACATAGCCTCTCATGACTATCAGCATAGGCAGGAAAAAAAATTAGGCCAGAGCTCACGGCGCTGTCTAAGAGACTTTGCTAACGTCTGCCCTAGCAAGAGCAGTGCTTCGCTGAATCTACCACCGGATCGGAATCGCGACCCACTAATAACTCACTCTTCTGATTTAGGTATCCGGACTCTGAAAATACCCTATTCGTAAATATAGAGGCTTTAAGATCGATAGATAGATAAATCGATAGATTGTAGATAGTAGTGCTGGCCTAAATTACACGACGTACTCATATCGATCGAAGCGATTATACCGGTGTTCGAATCTCAGGTGGTTTGTAAAGGGCGGGGCAGCCGTTACACTATCCAATTGAGACTTGTGCTCATTTTTGAAAAAAGCGTTTGAAATCCAAAAATTTATATTCAAAATTTCTGACTATGTTTAATTTTTTTCGTAATTATGTACCTTTTTCGCAGATCAAGAAGTCTTACGAGTCAGGACAGATGTTAACAGGAGAACTTAAGAAGATAGCTATAGACACCATTACAGGATACGTTCAAGATTATCAAGCTCGAAGAGCCAAGGTCACAGATGAGGTCATGCACGAATATTTCAGAATAAGGAAAATCGTCGTTTAAAACTATAACAATAAAGTCGCATTTAAATTAACTGCAAATATGTTCCATTATTTATTTCTTTAAAAAAATCGTAAATCTATTTATAAAAAAAATCTGCATGAATAGTGAGTTTTATTTTATAGTAAGATGAAATTTAATCAAGTGAAACGATAGATGATATGAAATTATATCTTAATAAAATAAAAAAATCCGTAAAGTATTGCTTAGGTGGATGGACGAGCTCACAGCCTACCTGGTGTTAAGTGGTTACTGGAGCCCATAGACATCTACAACGTAAATGCGCCACCCACCTCGAGATATCAGTTCTAAGGTCTCAGTATAGTCATAACGGCTGCCCCGCCCTTCAAACCGAAACGTATTACTGCTTCACGGCAGAAATAGGCAGGGCGGTGGTACCTACCCGTGTGGACTCACAAGAGGTCCTACCACCAGTGAGGGTCAAGTCCAGAGATTTTTTTTTATTTTCCAATACTTGTCTATTATTATACATGCTATAAATGTCTGTCAATAAACTACCATTATTGCACGCTTAATTTTACAGAAACATTATATAGGTATAATAAAACCATTCATATAACTGCACTCCTTTCATTCCCGCCAAAATTCTGACATATTTATTCATCCAATATAGGAAGATAAATGTTCCTTTGCTTATACGTGGCTATACTTTGAAGCTTTGGGCGGTTGAATCAAATTAGTGTATTAATTAATTTTTAGTTTTTTCATTTCATTAATGTTTTTCGAAAGGAGATATTGGAATCTAAATTCCCACATTCTACTTTTTTCTTATTAAGTTCTTCGTAGAACCAAAGAATGTAGCTTCCGATTAGAAGTCTAAAGCTCATTGGACATAGTCTTTCGTGTTGTCGCTATGAATCTTGACAAAAACACAAGTTAGGGTCGTTTTATTTAGTTTTTATTCCAAAGTTTTAAATTAAGAAATGAATCAATATAGTATATGACACCGTATAGAAATCGGAGGTACGCCCAAATTTAGTGGAGGATCGTCTAAATTCATCGCTATGTTAAGAGAACAAACAGCATTGGTGTAGATTTTTAAAGAGAATACATAAAAAGAAATTTCCTAACGCCCCCACCATACTCCACGTCGTGACAATAGACGACAAAACAAAAGACTCCGAGCCCTCTTCAAAACGAAAAATTGTAACACCAACTGTGTACACAAAACTGTACGCAACATTAATCGAATATGCATCACAATAGAACACAGGAGTGGATGACACAGTCTTAACAACAAACAGCCTCAAACAGGTAGTCGCCACACGCACCACTTGTCAATACGTCTAGTTTTTAGTTATAAAATATTGTGATAATGTTTACATTAATAAATCATCATTAAATTTACTTTGAAACAAAATATCTTGGAGGTTGTTTTCAACTACAGGTACTTATATGAATATCAACATAGCAAAAATTTTCTTGAAATCGTAATGTACAATCAAACATACGACGATGAGGCCCCTTTGCCTCTGATAGCTAATTACACCGTTGTCAAAGAAGACCAAGAAGAAAAGAGAGAAGTGGAAGAAAGAGTTATTCTAGAAATAGGACGGCAGGACGACAAACCGAAGGAAGAACACACGTTTTCTCATAAGAAGTATGATAAAACGATTTCCCATCATCGGTCGTATGTGCTGGAAGATTACGAGCCCAAAAGGATAACATACTTCAGGCCTCACGAATTCGAGCCTAGCAATCACGAAGGTGAGTTTAAGACGGACAATGATGGAAAATGTTGCCAATAATTCCCATCTAGTGTCTACATTTTTATTTTAGATTAAACGCGGATCTCGTACCGCTGTGTTTCAGTAGGAACAGACCATCTCTCTAGATTCCGAACAAATAATATATAGCTAATATAAAATGTAAATTTGTAAACGGTATCAAAATCAAATCTGGGAAACATGTTTGATAACATTTTTTTGGACCGTTTTTAACGTTTGATTGTCCCAATTATCTTCGCTCCGATTATGTAATAATACCTAACGTTTAGAAATATGATATTCCTCAGGTCCGCGTTACTATGAGCACGAATACGTTCGTGACACCGTAGTGGGTCAGGAAACTCTAAATTCCGAGTCCTCGTTGGACTACTCGCAGGACTCTCAGGACAACATGAAAACTAATGACGATTCCAACCACGATACGATCTTGAGCTTAAAGGAAAGAGCCTTGCAGTTGGAACGAGGTATTTCATTTCTGTTCTTATGTTAATGACAAAAAATACCCTTGAGTTAAAAATAAATAAACGATAGACTCTTACATACATACAAGTTTGCGGACTTTTAATTCTTAGTAGAATATTTGTGACATTCTCGCAGCGCCTTTGAAGTTGAAACCTTTTTAGAAGCGACGAATTCAATCCTTTGTTTTTATGGGATAGGACCTTAGTGATTTCATGTAATTAATGAGTTTTTCCACGAATGCCACGGGGCAACTATCCTAGATATACAATGCACCAATGTAATCGGGAAAATTACGTGCAGGATTTAAAAAAAAACTCTACAACCCATATTTTTGTTTATTACGCCTATATTAAAAGACGACTCAGTGAACAGACTAAAGATGTTTTTCGCCACGTCTATATTTCGTGAAAATCAGTGCACAATTTTGAAGCCCGCATTTTTAACGATGTTTCAGAATACAAGAAAACTGCATGTGACCGAGAAAGGACTCGAATGCGTGACATGAATCGCGCGTTTGATCTCTTAAGATCAAAACTGCCCGTCACCAAACCGTCCAAAAAGAAATACTCCAAAATCGAGTGTTTGAGGTACGTTGTTTTAATAAAACCAAAATCGAATACTTTTTTAACGTCATCGAAAGCAGGCTACAACGTAATCTATGTGGCGCTAAGCGCAGACTGGCTCTCATAATAAAAAAAAAACAGCTAATCTGTTTTTCTAAGGCAAAGGCAAAACTAGGGAACATGTCTAAGGTAAATAATAAAAAAAATTGCAAGTAATGTACCAATACGATTTGACCCTTCGTGGTTATTGGTTTCGGTGGTTCGTGGGTATCGTTTAAGGTTACCACCGCCTGCCGCGAGGAACATGACATATCCTTCTTCAAACGAGGCTTGTGGAGAGTATTAAACGGTAGGCAGTGGCTTGGCTCTACCCCTGGCATTGCTGAAGTCCAAGGGCGACGATAACCACTCACCATCAGGTGGACCTTATGCTCGTCTGCCTACAAGGGCAATAAAAAAGAGCACGATTGAAAGAGAATACACTTCCCAAGAGGTTGCATGTTTTAATAAAATTTCCTCGCGATGGCCGAAATGTAAAGATCGTGTGATAAATACTGCGTTTAGGAATATATTTTTTTAATTAATTTAGCGACCAAAATCAAAACTTGTCTTTTATTTCACATAGCGTCAAATTAACTTGATTTTTGTACTAAGGGCCTATTATGTTCCCCACGAAGTACCTACTGTATATCCTGTTCTAGCTTTGCGCAATAAAAACAGAACCGTTTTATCAGCTATGTGACAATTTTTCAACAATCACTCATTGTTCTGAATTTTTGCCCTAAAAACCGACATATATGTTTTATATACGTATTGATGTAGGTAGGTTTTTATGCGAATTATTTCGTAAATTGTGTTCAATTTATCAATCATTTTAGTCTCTAGGCGGTAGTCAACTAAAGTAGGTACCTACTTGTCCAGTTATAAACAGTTAAAAATATCAAAAGGTATTTTAAGTATACGTGTTTTTTTTTTCAGAATAGCAATTTGTTACATTCGCCACTTGGAGTACATGCTTGCAGGCGGCACACCGGACGAGAACTCTGCATTTTTCGAAGTTCACGCTTCTGATATGCGAAGGCGTCAACAGAGATACTAAGAACTTTTAGATATTGTATCGTTATATTTAGGTACATACAATGACAAAATGGGGCAATAAAAATATTAATATAAATGTAAAAACATTCGGGCTATAAATATATTAAAATATAATAAAATGTATAAAATCAACAAACAATACTTTTTAGGTGCATTTTAACAATTACTTATTAATGTTAAGTTTAACAATTTTATACGAATATAAGAGAACTCTCAGAAGTATATAACTGTGCTTTCTTTGCTGTTTTCATGTTTAAATAACATAATATAAATATTCAGAACATAAAATAATTACGTTTTCATTGACTTGACTTTTTTATTTTCCTCTCCTTCTCCAACTCTTCTTTTCTCTTTTCCAACGCTTCTAGGTAGTCGATGTAGGCACATTTAACGACAAGTGGAAACTTAGCAACGCCTGGAAACGGGGAACAGCATTTAACATAAAACCCTTCCAAATTACAGTGACAGCTGAATGTATACAACACGAATAAATTAAATACTAATTTTATTTTATTAACTTTTTACTAATGTTACTTGTTTTTAACTATTCATTAATGATAATGGATTCTTAAAGAGCTCTGTAATTGCGGTTCGAAATAAGTTTTACATCGGCTCGCCGGTCATAAGTGAAGTTGAAAATCACTTTTCACGATTGATGGTGCGTCTGAGGAGGTCCAAGCTTTGAGAAAAATTATTGAATGAATGATCTCAAAGTAGACTAGCTCAATTCAATTCGTAAAACAGTTGTAAACTATGGATTTTTACGTTTTTATCTCAAGTATGGAATTATTGTTAGAAGATACTTTTGAATTTTTTTCGTTTAAATTTTTTTTTATTGCTCTTGTAGGGAGACGAGCACACGGCCCACCTGATGGTGAGTGGTTACCGTCGCCCATGGACTTCAGCAATGCCAGGGGTAGAGCCAAGCCGCTGCCTACCGAAAGTTCAGTCAGTTTTTTTTCTCCAAATTTTTTGTAACGCAGATCTAAAATACTAGAATTTTTAACACGCTTTTATTAGGTTGGTATGTACATATACTTGTTTGTATTTAACGGAATTTTTTAACGTTATTCTCATCAATATCAATTAACTTTTAAAAAATTGCACACGCATCAAGTACCGATGACAAAACAATAACATTATGACTTCGCTCTAAAGTCCTGACTAGTAACAATAAGATAAAAAAACAATGAATGTTAGTTCGGTTTGTTATTTAAGCATGTTTTTTGCTGTTGTTTTAAACTACTTATTATGCTATAGGTACTATTCCACAGTCTAAATCAATTCAGCCTCTAAGACTCGTTGCATCACGAAAAGTGGCAGTACAGTGCAAATGCGGTGGTACCGAGCTGGTCTGATGACGCTGGACAGAACTTTTCAATGGCCATTAGTAAATTTGTTGAAATTGTTACTTTTTGGGCTGCCATGAAGAAATAGGCGACGACCGGTCTTCTCTATATTCTAAATTATTAATCTAATTTTAATTCAAACTATTTTGAGTACAGGTAATAAGCCCCTGGGTTTATTACCTGTACTCAAAATAGTTTGAATTAAAAAATTCGAATCACTGTAACCAAAGCTAGGAACTTCTTTTAACTAGAGACTATCTACTTCTTTTAACTAGGGTATACAAAAATATTTACCAGAAAAACAAGTTGTGACTAAACTTTTGTAAATATTATAAATGGGTGCTACTATGCTCTCGGTCGATTCTTTCCTCTGAAAAAAAAAGAAGGAAATATTTAATTTATCAGAGTGGCGATAGGTAGAGAACATTAATATTACTACGTATTTTTTTAATTATTTTTTTATTGCTTAGATGGGTGGACGAGCTCACAGCCCAACTGGTGTTAAGTGGTTACTGGAGCCCATAGACATCTACAACGTAAATGCGCCACCCACCTAGAGATATAAGTTCTAAGGTCTCAGGTATAGTTACAATGGCTGCCCTACCCTTCAAACCGAAACGCATTACTGCTTCACGGGAGAAATAGGCAGGGTGGTGGTACCTACCCGCGCGGACTCACAAGAGGTCCTACCACCAGTAATTACGCAAATTATAATTTTGCGGGTTTAATTTTTATTACACGATGTTATTCCTTCACCGTGGAAGTCAATCGTGAACATTTGTTGAGTACGTATTTCATTAGAAAATTGGTACCCGCCTGAGATTCTAACACCGGTGCATCGCTTTAACACGAATGTACCGGGCGTCTTATCCTTTTGACCACGATGATGTGGTCCTCATGTTGTTATGTCTATGGTCGCCCGTAGCCACTTGGTAGTAAGTAGGTGGGCAATGAACTAATATGCAATTTCAAAGGCGAACCTTATTTAACACATTTTGTAAGCCTAGAAGTTATTTACAACTTTTCAATTTAACATGGTCCAAATTCAAAGTTGATCGAAGGAATTATTTATAAAATCCATTATAGGTAGAGTAGGTGTGTTTTTTATCTACGAGAATAAGTTTTTATGTTGTAAATTTTAAGGTTGAATACGATAACTATTAAAACACAAAAAAAAATCGCAATATTTATCCTTGTAACGTATCATTGTCAACTTTATGACATGACCCAGTTACTAGATAGATATCAGAGCGTAGGATGAACTTCCTCCCCGTATTTACACAATTTTAAATGATAAATCAACACACAACATCCACTAATTTGCGTACAGAGCCTCTCGAAGGTTGGAATTTGCTAATAATTCTACCAAATTATATGAATTAATTTATCAAGTATATTTAAAAGTCTAACGTTATCTTTTATACCTAAAAAGGGCGAGAAACTATAAACTCCATGACATAATGCTATGTACTCACTGCCCGTTTTTAGATTTTATGAAAATAAATACTAGAAAAAAGCGAACAAAAGGGAAAGATTATTAGAAAGATTTAAAAGTAAATAATGAATGCGACTGTTTTTTTTTACAAGACACTTGTGATTGATAAGTCGTCGTGGCTTAAACGATAACACGTCCGGTGCATTCGTATGTAGTGATGCATCGGTGTTCGAATCCCGCCGGCACGGCGAGTACCAATTTTCCCAATGAAATACGCACTTAACAAATGTTCACGATTGACTTCACGGTGAAGTAATAGCATCGTGTAATAAAAATCAAACCCGCAATATTATAATTTGATCTAATAAATCATATCTCAAGGTTGGCGGCGGCATTTACGTACATTTCTATGGGCTCCGGTAATCACTTAACACCAGGTGGATCGTGAGCTCGTCCACCCATCTAAGCAATAAAATATTTATAATATATTTTTATAATATAGTTTAATATATATAATATATTTTACTAGATGTACAAATATCCTCGCCCAGCTTAAGATATGAGGTCAATTGCATTGTATAACAGCTGTTTCACCCTTTAAGCTGAAATGCGTGACGGCTGCTCGCCAAAAATTAGCGGGAAAGTGATGCTTACTTATGGACCGGTAAGTGATTATTGCTAACACAGACTGTGCTTGCATGATTTGTTATTATTAAACAGATTTTCACGTCCCAACTTAACAAATACATTATCAATTGTCAGTTGATACATAAATCTCAGACTCATGCCACAACTATTTTATGCAAGACTTGAACATTTATGTAGTCTTCATTCTGTCTTAATAAATACTAAATTATTAATTAGTTAATAATTTAATACAAACACATAGTTACTTTTGATGATTAAAACTTAGTATTTAATGAGTTCTATATTAATTTCAATAATACGTTCTCAATCATTGCCAATGTCACACACACAGTACAAAAGTATAAATGTGTTGTATTCAGTAGAATTAACATTTATTAACAATCTAGGTACATATTTATTATTAGACTTGTATTTATTATTAAAGAATTTAAACTGAATTAAGTAAGCACGAGTCAATATTCGCTAAGCGATCGCGTGTAATCTGTAATACGCCGCTGGCTTTCGTCGGAAGCAGACGTTTACTACATCGCGGCACCTTCCGATACGTATGAGCCTGTATTGTCGAGATTGGGTCTATCTTGTACCAGGACCGCATAATTTAGTAGCAGTTAAGACTGCTAAGAATTTTTAAGACTCATTCGAAACTTTCAAGGCGCTTATATAGTGGATACGCTAGTTTTTATTCGATATATGGTGGAAAAGAAAATTGTTTTATTGAATATTGACGAACGCTGTTTAGACTAGTAATAGACAAGTACTATAGAAATAAATGATAAGTCATATATTAATTAAAGCTTAAGAAAGATTGCAACTGGGCTATTTTTTGGAGTCAAGTAATTAAATTTGTAAATTTTATAGTTGTGTTTTCTATCTAATCGCTTATAGTCTTCAGAGGCTACTTCAGCTTCTCCGGGGAGGTACCCAGGGCTGAACCTGACAGGCTTTGCAAATGCCTGCCCTAGCAACACCAGTGCTTCGCTGAATCTACCACGAAATTGGAAGGAATCGTGACCCACTGAGAAGTTTCGCCGAGAAACTCAGTAGGTTGTCTTTATGAAATTTTATAGTTGAGTAAAATTAAATTATAGTACATAAAAATAATTTAAAGATTGCATTCATTTTTATATCATAATCATTCGGCATCGTCTTTATAACATTTTATTTACCTATGATTCATCTCTGATTTACATTTATAGCACCAACTTTTTTCATATCATCAGTTAAAAACGAGTTTTCCATGTCCATCCCACTAGTAAGTAACTGATGACGTAATCGTTTCTACTAGGATCGCATAATTGGACTGAAGGTAGCGATGAGAAGCAACCAACTTATTCGAATCTTTTAATTTACGCTAAAATCATCTTTATATCAACCGCTATACGTACAATAACCTTTCCACATTGATCAAAAGTAGGCGGGCGTCGGGTGTTGATACTTCGTATGTATTCTTGCCAACGTTTAATGCACTCCGTGACGTCTTGTTGGTCGCCCCACACTCCCTGCGTGTAAGTGAAGTAAACCGTTCCTACCAGGATGCCAGCCTGCAAGGAGGTATCTAATAAATCTAGTAGACTACTAATGACGATGAAACGGGGAGGAGGTATGCTTACAAAGTTGATAGTTTACTGTTGAATAAATTTCAATAGATACTTGTCTTAGGTTTTACATATTCATTAAAAGAATAAATACAAACGGTTCTGCATCCGTTATGAGTTTTCTATGAAATTACGAATTTTAAGATATGTAATTATTATTTTTTGTGATTGAAAGATTACTGGTGGCCCGGAGGCTTTTCCAGTTTCACCAGGACAGGTGGGCGAGCAAAGGCTCAGCCAGGATATTTAATATTATTTACTATTGTGTTGATAGATCATTTGTTTTTCAGAATCGTGTGTATCGAACAGAGTCCTATTACAATATAACTGTCAAATTACTTGTAGTACCGATTTTATTTTACTACATTTTACTAAAAGCGTAGTTTCCTCTTTAAAAGACATCATAATCATAATTAGTTTGTTCTGTGACAAAATAGAGTCCGTACATACTCATTTATTTTCTTCTCAAACTATCCCTAGGCAAAGATATTTTAATAATACAAATTATTTTACCTTGACAGCGTATAACAATTTCCCGTGTGCGTAGTATGGGACGCGATGCGTGATGGTTTTACCACTTTTGCGTAACTTATATTCCTCTCTACTGCAAACCTTAATGCATGTTGGACTCAACGGAAGCTCTGGAACATAGCAGTAGATTATTGAGTAATCATTATTATACTCGTAATGGTATGTACTCAGTCTGTAAAGAATAATTCTCAGAATGTTTTTTTTAAATTTGGACGTATTATTTAAACCTACTATGACTTCTATACTTCATTCGTTTTGTACAATTAATTCTATATCAGTTAATATTATCATCGACCAAGCCCTATTTTCTAGTTCCAGCTTGTAACCAAAAACGTAGATTTTGTAACGCCAAAGACATTTTATAGCGTGTTATTTCAAGTAAAGTAATTAATTGCAACTAACGAAATCAGTGTGAAGAGAAAATTTTAACGGATATTTTTTTTGTGAAGTTTTTATTTTTGTTACTGTTTAAAATAGAAAGAAAAGGTAATTAATTATTGATAAAGAAACTAGAAGCGTCAATGTGGGGGTGGCTGCTTAAGATTGAATTCATATTACCAGGATCGCAAAGACGTTGAGAAGTTTATGCAAATACTTGTATCTAATTATCATATTATTGTGTTATTGGCATATGATATTATGATACTTATGTAAATGTATCGCGTCTGTATACATAATTTGAGATAATGAATGCTATTTATTACATTATTATTGTAATGGGAGACACGACGATGATATACGAGTGCAAAGTTTAAAAGTAAGAATATGTCCAAGTATGGAGCTCTCCTTGGGAACCATTCTCAAAAACAAAGATAGTTTATTTAAAGGCAAGTTACATAAAATATAATTTTTTAATGTCCAGGGCGATTATTTTAAAATATTTGCAAATTTTAAAAAGTATGTCAATGTTGTAAATGTAAATTAAATAAAAGTTTATTTGAAACTAAACAAAAATATAATTACGGCTCATATAATTTTTTTTGAGCAAGCTTAAAGTAAGAAACGGTCAAACGATGTGTTCTTTGTGATTAGTCGAAGTGCATTTTGATAGCAAACTAGCGTTACGTGTTCATCTTGCTCATAAAATCATCTTTACGTTGTAAATTCCTTTACGAAAAAAACAGACAGTTAGTTAGTTAGTTATGAAGCTACGAACGAATAAAGTAAAAACAAAAGGAACGAGTTACATAATTTGTAATAAATACTAGGACGCTAGGAACGTTAGGAGGTCGATTGTGTAAAATGTAGAGCAGTCGGTACGCTCTGTTACAGCGACAGTTTCATTCATGTTTTCGTGCTCACTCGGGGCGCAATGCTAAAATTCGCGGTCTCTGTCCTACACAAACCTAGTTTTATTACTACAGATAATACAAATCCTACATACAGATAACAGATAATTCTATATAAATGTAACGTTTATGAATTTTCATTTACAATTTGCTTTGATTGATATAATTGAAAATAGTGAGTACTGTAATCGAAAAAATCTCATTTTTAGTCATACAAAAATATAGGTTTTATTATTTATGTCCTATTTAAAAAAAGTAAATCGATATCTATGAGCAGACAAGTCCACCCAGTGATAAATCATTGGTGGCCACTAGAGTAGAAAATGTCGTTAGTAGTAAATTTTAATTTCCTATTTTTTAGATAATAATGACATTGATCATTAATTATCCAATGAGTGTTTTTGAGAGTCTTGTGAAATTCACAGGTCAACTTGGTTAGTTTTAGTCTCAATGAACAATGATACACTTTTCTTAAATGCTTCTTTTTTGTTATCGCCTAATGAGAGAATGGTGTTCAGGCAAGTGTTTAAGTTATTCATTACCCAAGATACCCAACGACTATCATACCCTTCAAGCCAGTACCCTGGATTCCTTAGGAGTAGAAATAAGTAGTCGTACCAATCTTGTTTAACTTATTATGCGGGCGCAATCAATGCTCGTGCATTTAAAACTGTTTTTGACTATGAATTATTTTTAGTTTTCAGTGAATGCGTTTATTAGTCTATTCTTGAGTATCGAAGAAATGTATTTCTACTCTCTCAGAGGTATATTTAAAATAGAGCTAATATATAAAACAGGGTTCGCCCGTGACTTTTGATTTAACCTGATACCACTAAATATTTGGCGCTTCCGCACTTTGACTTGTGTATTTGTGGTATGCGCTACTTATTTCAGCTTGAAGCATACTTGAGCTTAACATAATGGGAGCTTTTCTTTGCTCAAACAGATTAAAAACTGGTGGGAATGACGTTCATCTCGCAAATTTACTGTTAATGAAAAATTGTCGGTGAGGTATTCATTTTTTAATGAAAACGGAATTCATATAATAGTGTGTTTGAACTCTAGTAAGTACTGAATAAACATATGCCCGACTATCCCGTAGAAAGGCCAGTATTATTAAAATAAATAATAGTTTAAAAAAACTAACAAAATACGCTTTTATAGAAAATCCAACTAAAAAAATAGATTTTTTTTTTAAATATATTTGAATTAAAAATAGTGTAAGAAAAAATGATGTTATCGTAAAAAAAAGCGTAGGGTGCATGGTATCAGTAGTTATAAATATTTTATGAACGGATATGAGTAGAAGGGTTATTTTGATAATATCCTGAAAAGCACCCCATTTTGGATTTGGATTTTCTATAAAAGCGTATATTGTTGGGTTTTTTAAACTATTATTTATTTTTGATTTTTTAGTTAAATATCAATATTTTTTTTTCTATATTTTTATTATTATTCAATTGTCATCGGTCCTTAATAAGTATACCAAATTTCGAGTCAATCCGACGTTTTGAAGGGGGTCAAAATCATGTTCAAAGATTCCGTTACAAACATACATACGTCTGAAGCTAATAAAAGCGTATTAAAAATAACAAATTTTGGATTTAGAATTATCTGTGCATTCAGTCCCCTTCTTGTCCCCCTTCGTTGTACGTTCTTTGACACGCGTTTTTTATTAAAGATCAAAGATATATTCTATGTGTACCTACAAAATAATGCGATATAAAATTCATTTATGATAACTCCAAACCAGACGGTCCCAATCATTAACAGTATTATTTAGCGAACTACTTAAACAAAAATGCCATAATGAAATAAACTTATTAATGAAACTAAAAATAGTACAAAATAAATAATACGGTAAGTAAAATTTTAATTTTCAAGACCTCATTTTAGATATTAATTCATACATGTGAAATAAAATACTCTATATTTGAATTCGCGCTACCTACTCGACGGGGCGTAACCTCTAGCAAGATCTGCGTTCCTGGTACTTGCGAACACGTACAATTTGTCTTGATCCGTCCCGTTCTAATTGAACACTTACTTATTTTTAGGACCAGAAAGACAAAATTGAGAGAAAACTTTTAGGTAAAGTAGTAAGTACATAATAAATATTATGATTAATTAAAAACCACTTTAATAGAAGGTAGAAGAAATAAAGCGTTCGAGGTAAACTGGTTTTGTATGAAAAAATTGACAGTTTATTTATTTATTTAGCTTCATAACGTTAATTTAGGCGAACAATATATTTTTTATCTATATAAATTAATTCGCTCTAATTTTTTTATGATTTTAAAACGGCATTCATTTTACTTTTCGGTGTTTATTGCTTTCAAAATGTTTGTGGGGTTCGTAGAAAACGAGTTTGCTGCAGTTTAATCGTTGATTGTAAACAATTTAATAATTAAAATTTATTTAAATCGTCTTGAGCGATGCACCGGTGTTCGAATCTCAGGTGGGTACCAATTTTTCTAATGAAACACGTACTCGACAAATGTTCATGATTGATTTCCACGGTGAAGGAATAACGTCGTGCAATAAAAATCAAACCCGCAAAATTATAATTTGCGTAATTATTGGTGGTAGGACCCCTTGTGAGTTCGCGCGGGTAGGTACCACCACCCTGCCTATTTCTGCCGTGAAGCAGTAATGCATTTCGGTTTGAAGGGTGGGGCAGCCGTTGTAACTATAATATACTGAGACCTTAGAACTTATATCTCAAGGTGGGTGGCGCGTTTACGTTGTAGATGTCCATGGGCTCCAGTAACTACTTAACACCAGGTGGTGTGAACTCGTCCACCCATCTAAGCAATAAAAAAAATCCTTTGAAAAGTAAAACGCAGCAACAACTTCTAGGTGCCTCGGATTTTTGAGCCATCACCTCGCCCATACCTCTCGATCTAGATCGTATTAAATTAAGCACAAGAATCAACATAAGATTCGTACTAATAAAATACTCTACATTTAGTTTATTGAAGCGTGGAAAAGCAAAGCGAGTCAGTGACACGCACGCGGCCACTGCGCTTTGTTATCTATCTAAAATAGCATTCGCGTAAGAGCAGAGTATATACATGCACATACGCATGTGTTGTAGACGACTGATATATAAAACGCACACACGCTGACTCATGGAACTGTGATGTGACGGTTACGCATTAAAATTGTCAGTTAATTGCACAAAGTTGCCTGAATATGGATGATATGCCATTAGGCTCAATTCGTTTCAAAAATAAGCCAAAGTGATATTTTTAAAATGACATTGCACCCCCCAACCCTCTATGTTTCTCGCCGGATCTTTTCAGTGCTTCTTCTTCTATTGCTAGAGCTAGTGTTAGCAAATTCTCTTAGGTGGAGCCCGTGAGCTCGCCTACCTAGCCTCTTAGGCTAACAGGGGAAAAAAGCATCTCACTAAGCGAATTTAGTTTAAAAAAACATTTGAGAGAAAAGCACGCGAACCAGATAGATAATTTATAATATTATTTTCGTACACTAATTTGGTCAGTACAGCTTCTGTAACTCTTTCCGAAAACGTGTGGGCTTTGCAAAAAAATACCTAGATTCTTACTTAAAACAGGAACTTGGAGTCGTATAGACGAAAGCCAGATCATGTCCCGAAATAATCAGAGTAACAGCGCGCAAGTCTAACGATGGAGTGTTAAATTTAGGCCAAACAAACACAAATTGGTTACAGTTAGGTAGAAGCATAAAATTTGTAGACCCGAATGAATGTTAAAAAAATTCGCTGTCGGAAAGCATCTATTTGCGTTGAAAATGAATGGCCGTATCAGAATTTGTTGGATTCAAACTATCCGTTGTATCAGTTCCTTCCAATTATGATGTCCTAGTAGTTTAGAAACAATTTCTGTCCTGCGCGCTGCTCGTGGATCGAGTTCGTCTCCCTAGAGACTTGACTTTATTTCTGAATTAATTAATTATTAATTATTAATTTTTGAAGGAAAACCAGAAATATTGTGTTTCTTTAAATTTGTGACAAAATTATTTTTGATGTCAATCAAGTTTCATATTAGTCTTAAAATTCTAGTTGCTCATAACTTACTTATTGGTATAATTAATGTTTTTATTTTATTTTATTTTAGGATCATTTACAAATTTGTTCACCTGTAACTCGTGGGCATTCAACCTTCTGAGCGGGACTGCATTTCTCGTAAATTTGCATATTTGGTTTTGTTTGTTTTACGTGGTTAGCCAAATTAATTGTACGACACACGTCGCATCGCACTCTAGACGGATCTAAATTATCACACATTTTGTAGGGCACAATAATTTAAAAAACTCTTAATTTCAAATTTTATTGCATTTGATAAATGAAATAGAAAATTACTGTGAAGTTTGACATGTTTTTCTTTCAATTTATTCAACCGATAGTATGAACAAGAAGGTAAATTATCACTAAAATTTAATTTTCGTAAAAAGGTTTATTGAAACTATACCCTGTAGAATGGGGCTTAATATTAAAATGGGGTTTTCGTTATTAAAAGATTATTTCTGTTGACGCCCTGTACCTAATTGACGGGGCAGAAGGTGGATCAGTTTTCTCACTAGTGCTAATGGATTTCTCTATTACCTTGCTTATATTTCTTACCGTAGAAATTGAAGCTTATATAAATTTGCTCCATCGCGCCGCTCTTTCGTGAAAACTTGGCAAGTACATATTTCTTTACAAAAATTGGTATCGTGTCTACGAGATTTGAACACCGGCACAATCAAATCGTTCGATACGAGTGAACCGGGCGTCTTATTCTTTAGGCCGCGATTACTTGTATGCTGTTAATATGTTAGTATCTCAAATGAAGCCGCAAAAGATATTTCAAATTTGTGTAATTAACATGGCGAGTTGTAAGACCGCACAAGTAGGTATCACTATCATTGCTAATTTTTATCGCGAAGCTGTCATGTGTTCCAGTTTGAAGGTTGGTATCATCGCTAGGTGGTATTCTTGTTACGACGTATGTATATGGACTCTCTGACGATTTATGAAAGATGGAACACAAAGTTTTGTGTTTAATTATTTGTTAAAAGTAAAACCAATGCTACCGAGCTCCAATTTCTACGGGACTCATAAATAGACTGAAAAAAATAAGGGAATGATTTATGAATGGCCTTTTTGGTTTTATTTTATTGGACAAATTGTTATCAGCGCTTAGGCAATCCTCGTTTCACGGTCAAGTTATATCCGTTTACAAAAGATACCGTAATGATTTCGCATGTACAAAATCATAATTTTAATTAAATAATTTTATCGCTTCGTGCATAATGATTTTTTGATGAAAACTGTTTTTTTTCCTAAGATAGACAAGAAATCTCTATTTTGCCATCGCACCTCCCACCATCAAAGCATAATTCATTAAACCGAGAACTAAGATTATCCACAGTGCGCTTTCATCTTTTCTAACACGTACCATTTGGCTTTGAAATGAGCTACCCTGTGCTTCCTCAGCGCTATGATATGTCTTTCTTCAAACGCGGTTTGCGAAGAGTATTCAGAGGCAGATATCGTCTTCACCTCTGGCGTTGCTGATGCTCATGATCGATGGCAACCACTTATCATCAGGCGGGTCCTATGTTTGTCAATCAAGTCGTCTCGTTAAGGGCAGTAAAAATATAATTATTTTTTTTCCAACATTCAGAATGCTATATACTTTAAAATGGGTGGGTACCACCACCCTGCCTATTTCTGCCGTGAAGCAGTAATGCGTTTCGGTTTGAAGGGCGGGGCAGCCGTTGTAACTATACTGAGACCTTAGAACTTATATCTCAAGGTGGGTGGCGCATTTACGTTGTGGATGTCTATGGGCTCCAGTAACCACTTAACACCAGATGGGCTGTGAGCTCGTCCACATAACTAAGCAATAAAAAAAATTAAAAAATACTTACACCTCGTTACCAGCTACAGTCTATGTGCTTTTACTATCAGTCATAATCAGAGGATTCTTGGAGAAATAAAAATATGAATGTAACAATTTCTTTGATGTTCAAAGCCATTCATCGGAGCTTTATAAGCTTGTATAAACCCGATAAAATGGTTCGGTCGGCTATATATGTAGCTGAACGATCCGATGAAGTAGTTCGAACATATTATGAACCTACTTGGAGAGAACGAGTTAAAAAAAAAATCATGTCCGATTTTTAACGTTAGTAGTAGGTACTCTCATCGAAATTTACTTCACTTGAAACCACGGTTAATAAATACACTTAATATTTAAGACTTCAAACACATTCCACATCGTAGCCTCATATTATCGTTTTCGTTTTGAAAAGTATTTTAATTTAAAATGTATTTATGCTTTAGCATTGCCTTGATTGATAAACATTCGGGTAAGGAAAAGTGCTCTGAGGAATTGTTCGAGATGATACCGGCATCTCGTTTTTACCATCGCACCGCCCGCCACCGGAGTAGAGTTCATCCATACTACCTGGAGCCACTGCGGTCATCCACAGTGCGTTTCCATAGGTCTTTTTTGCCACGTACCATCCGGCTATGGAATGAGCTCCCCTCCACGGTGTTTCCCGAGCGCTATGACATGTCCTTCTTCAAACGAGGCTTGTGGAGAGTATTAAGCGGTAGGCAGCGGCTTGGCTCTGCCCCTGGCATTGCTGAAGTCCATGGGCGACGGTAACCACTCACCATCAGGTAGGCCGTATGCTCGTCTGCCTACAAGGGCAATAAAAAAAAANCCATCGCACCGCCCGCCACCGGAGTAGAGTTCATCCATACTACCTGGAGCCACTGCGGTCATCCACAGTGCGTTTCCAGAGGTCTTTTTTGCCACGTACCATCCGGCTATGGAATGAGCTCCCCTCCACGGTGTTTCCCGAGCGCTATGACATGTCCTTCTTCAAACGAGGCTTGTGGAGAGTATTAAGCGGTAGGCAGCGGCTTGGCTCTGCCCCTGGCATTGCTGAAGTCCATGGGCGACGGTAACCACTCACCATCAGGTAGGCCGTATGCTCGTCTGCCTACAAGGGCAATAAAAAAAAATGTACCGGCAAAGAGATGTCCCAGTTTCATGAGATGCTGAGGAGTTTCGTAAGCCCAACATTTACCGAACAACCGGCCTTCTTCTTCTATCTTTTTTTGATTAACTAAACTAGATTTCAGTGGCAAAACCGTATTAAAAATTGAGATTTAATTCTACACATTTAGCAGCATCTAGCTATCAGGGCTAGTTTCATAGCTACTAGGTAATTTTATCAAATAGCTTCATAGGCTACCTACCAGCTATCTAACGATTACGAGATAAGAAATTTATCGAATTGTAGAAATAATTTAAAAATAGGTTAGTTCCAGAGTTACAATGAAAATCGAAAAAAAAAGAATTACGTAAGACCTACATTGGTAGCGTTATGTTTAAAAAAATATCCGTCCGATAACATATTATTATCGATCCCAAGGCATAATATTCTTTGGAATTTTATTGATCTACGTACAGAAACTACGGACATTAAATTCAGAAATAGTTAATAATATTATATGCCTAAAACCATAAAGTACCCCACATAATAAATGAGATCTATTAAAAAAATCAATAGCATCACTGTGACAGCGGCGGTCGCGACGGATGTGTTAGATAGGCCCACGCGTCCGTAGTACCCACCGCATTGCGCAGTCTAACGCTTCCGTGCTCGCCAATCCTAGATAACTGAAAGTATGTTGCAAAATCACCAAAATCCTTTTAGCGTAATCAAGAATGAGAAATAAAATGTATTTTTTTCAAAGTTGCTTAAGGTTCTTTTTTATGTTTTTTTTTATTGCTGATTGAAAGCAGATTTATCCGTGTGAAATATTTCGTCCTACTATAACATTGTGTACTCAGTATAAAGCACTCAAATGAATCAAGTGAGCATGCGCATAGCGGTTTTCTGTATTTCTTTTTGTAGAACATGCTATGAAAAGACTAAAAGCTCGCGGTCCATTGACAGTTTTCATGAATGGTCAAAGCGTGGTGGGGGAAGTACTTGTAGGATGCGCGAGCGCTTGACGCCTGCGGCCCGAACATTCCGTGTGCCGGAGGCTGCACGATAGTCACATCATTGTCCACCGGCGCGCCTGCGACTGGCAACTTCCAGCTCGCGCGGGAAATTCAAAAATATTATTCTTTTTTTTTCCGATCTTTAACTTTTTCTTTTTTTACTGTGGCTTGTGTTGTGGTGACTTTTTATTTTATTTTGTGGAACATTTAATTTGTGAAGGCATGGTCGCGTAGAACGATGCTGGGTAACTTAAGGTACGTAAAATAGAAATTGCCGCATAAGTATTTTAAATACAAGACTGTTTTATTGTCAGTAATTATATTAATATATATATATTTTTTTTCTGACTTTAAAGTACGTATTTGATTTACAGCTGTGCCAGTTTGAGTAACTTTTTAAAAGCTTGCCGAGCCAACATAATAATATGTACTATATTTAAGCTATCCTTCTGAAAGTACAATTTTATCTAATCCAAGGAAAATATATTTAATTCGAACATCGTGTATTTAAAACTAGCCAACGTTTTATTACATTTTTAGGAATCATTATTTTAAAATGAAAAAATAATTTTAAAATGAAATTGAATTGAATTGAAAAGCTTACGGAATATTTCCTATATCCCTAACTCCCCTAACTCCGTGGCGAAGTATAGCGATGGAAATTATATATTATACGATACGATTACTTAAAAATAGCACGCGATTAAAGTTTCATTATGTTTTAATATAATAAATGCTTTCATTGTAACAATTATTTCTAATCTTATCCACTTCTAATCCTTTTAGGACGTAATAATGTTAGGATTTAATATAAGTCTCTGGTTCATTTAAAAATTTGAAGTCACGTACATATGTTCGTTAAAATGGAATCTCGTTAAAACAATCTCCCTCTTTTTTTTTCGTTTGCGTTTCGGGTCCAGTCACGCAAATTTTAGCCGCTTCACGTCGAATGATGCGAAATGGAAACTGACGAAGGGCACTGTAGGCTGACCATGTTTTTTTTTTTTTTTTACGTAGCTACGGTACTACGGTACGTAGGTATTTTAAACCGCCTTCTTACACTTTTCAAGAATGAAAAATAGGTTGTTGCCAGTTCATTGATGCAAGAGTTGAATTATAAAAGCAAAATCGCTTATTAAATACTAGCTGACCCGCAGACTTCGTAGTGCCTCAATAAATAAATAAAAGACCTAAACTTTATTTACTTCCGAGAATTTTCATATTTATCTACCTTTTAAACCTTCCTTGGACTTCTACAAATAATTCAAGACCTAAATTAGCCAAATCGGTCCAGCCGTTCTCGAGTTTTAGCGAGACTAACGAACAGCAATTCATTTTTATATATGTATATAGATAGGAGATAGGTAGATTTGGACGTATACGACAAACGGAAGACCTTCCACCGAGCGGGTGTTTTTTTTATTTATTGCTTAGATGTGTTGACGAGTTCCCAGCCCACCTGGTGTTAAATGGTTACTGGAGCCCATAGACGTCTATAACGCAAATGCGGCACCCACCCTGAGGTATAAGTTCTAAGGTCTCAGTATAGTTACAACCCCACCCTTCACACCGAAACGCATTACTGCTTCACGGCAGAAATAGGCGGGGTGGTGGTTATATTAGCTTATAGGTTATCAAAGCGTGGGGTGCATGGTGTTATTAGTTATAAATATTTTTCTGACAGATATGAGAAGCATTATTATTTCAATAATATCTTAAAAAGCACCCGCGCTTTTTTACAATAAAATATTCTTTTTTTTACACTATTTTCAATTTAAATTTATTAAAATTTATTTTCTATTTTTTAGTTGAGTTTTATATAAAGCATGTTTTTAGGTTTTTTAAACTATTACTAATTGCATGGAAATACGATTGAATTCGTTTTACGGAAAAATCATCGAATTTATAGAAAAAAATCCAGCGTGACTGAAAACGCGTTGTCACCGTAATCGAGCTGTAAATCCAGACGGAGACGAACTGGATCTCGAGTATCCCAAAAAAATTAGGCGAGATTAAAATTAAGACTATTGTTCCTTTTACTTGGAGCTCAATCGAATCCACCAATACTATATCGAGGGGTGAAAGGCTATTAAAAATTTATTTAAGCGACATCTAGGGTGATATGTTTTGAGTTATATACATATTCGGAATCAGCGTTTTTTTCTCCGTCGATCGATCGATGTTTTTAATGGAACGTCAAATAAGGTTACCCCATTAAAATAACTGAAGTAGTTTTTTTTTGTAATGATTTTCTTTACAAACTTTTAAACTTTAAATAGTTTTCCTGTGAAGTTGTAAAATCACATTTAAACCAAATAGCCAATCACCACTCGATTTATATATATACAATTTAATTTCGCTTATATATTTGTATAAATTTAATATTACCGTAAAAGTACTCTTAATTTTGATTTCGGTATATTGAAAACAAGAATAGTATTAGGAAGTTGTTTCGAATTTTCAATCATGTAGGCTCATTCGAAAATAAAAGTTTGGCAACCTTCAATCGAACTTTTAGATTAAAGCTAAGCAGGAACCCGAACCGGGGCTTTCGTCGACTTAAACGTTGTTTTTCGCTAAAGCTATTGTTTAGTTTGTAAGAGCTTTTGCAAGATTTAAGCTCTCGGTGTTTCTTTGAAGCGTTCTCAATTTTCGGCTCAGCGGCTGTTTGTTTTTTCCACTGTCTTCTTTGAAAGATCTTTGTCGGGATGTTTTTTGTTTGTTTGTGTTCTTAAATTGAGATGCGTACAGATTGTTCATTAAATATTAGTTATTTGGCAGGTTTTTTTTCGCTTAAGCTCTGATTGCTCTTTAAGAATATATAGGACAAAATCATAGGTGAACGTGTTCTGACTAAAGATGTAGATGATGAATACGTCGCAATAGACGCTGAAGATTTTCAACGCGATTGATTTGGTGCAAAATATTGATCTTTTTGAATTATTTGGCGGACGAGCATACCTATTTACTATACATGTTTACTGGCGGTAGGACCTCTTGTGAGTCCGCACGAGTAGGTACCACTACCTTGCCTATTTCTGCCGTGAAAAGGCCGTGAAGCAGTAATGGGTTTCGGTTTGAAGGGTGAGGCAGCCGTTGTAATTATACTTGAGACCTTAGAACTTATATCACAAGGTTTGATGAATAATGGAGTGTTGGTAACACTCTTGAAGGAAGTGCATTAAAACGTACTGTGAATGCGCACATTAATTACATTTACATATACACTGAACTCAGTCTTTAATTCTGAGTTTGGTTGAAGGGTTTTCGACACGATCACCTCGTTTAGGATCACGTGAATGAAGTCGTTCCTGATGTTTGGATTTGTTACGAAATTATTGATGTGTCATATAGCAGCCACTAATACCCAAGAGCTGATCTCTTATTTATTCCTTCATCTTTATTTTATATACTGTTTTCTTTTTAACCGATTTCAAAAAGGAAGAGGTCATCAATTCGGCTGTATTTTTTACGTTCGCTACCTAAGACTTTTTTCTAGCGATTTTGATTCTATTGTGGTCATTTAAATTTTTTGAAAACTAGTTTTTCAGTTATCTTTAGTAGTGCATATTCCTTTTTTTTATGAAGCTAAATAAGTACAGGAAGCTATTTTGTTTTACTTCCATCGCTTTTTTGTTCTCTACTTCTGTTCATTATAATTAATCTTAGCTATGTATGTAGATTAATGTTACATAGATAACTAATGTTAGATTTATTTGTATTTTTCACATCATATTTTTGTATAATCATATTTTTTTAATGTCATTAACCTAACTAAATTTTCAAGTGATTTTCAATTTCATTAATATATGTAGTTAGAAAGACGACTGTTTAACACTGAATATATTTTTTTGTCTACAATAATGGACTACATATTTTGTGTTAGTTCGTTACCGGAGTCAACACGAGTACCGCCAATCTTCTGAAATGACGTCGAAGTTTCAATTTAACTGTAATAGCGACTGTCCAACCCTTTTAACTGAACACATGACTGTTTTATGGTAGGAACAGACAGATACATATTACGTACGCGCGTGGGCTCATAGCTTATGCGAAATTTACACATTTTTACGTGTAAAGTACGAACGTATCTACTTAGAAACATTTGCGTACAAGATTTAAACACCGACATAGTCCGCTATATACTAGCCGCTTGAAGAATCATATCTATATATATATAAATGAATTGCTGTTCGTTAGTCTCGCTAAAACTCGAGAACGGCTGGACCGATTTAGCTAGTTTTGGTCTTGAATTATTTGTGGAAGTCCAGAGAAGGTTTAAAAGGTAGATAAATATGAAAAAGCTCGGAATTAAATAAAAATAACAATTTTTCCTTTGATGTGTCCCCCGTCGGACGGATTCCTATTGTTTGTTTTAAGTTTATTTTATACAAATGGTTTAGGTATTGGCACTACGAAGTCTGCCGGGTCAGCTAGTACATCAATAATTAAGCCCACTGAGTTATTTGCCGGATCTTCCCAGTGGGTCACGCTTCCGATCCGCTAGTAGATTCAGCGAAGCACTGCTCTTGATAAGGCCAGTGTTAGCAATTGTCTCAGGTTGAGCCCATGAGCTCACCTACCGGTCCGCGGCTACCAACGACTAGGTAAGGAAAAAAAAAATTCTCAAAAGTAAATTTGCACAATTTATTCCATTTCTGATATTCCTGATTTGATTGACAGATAGATTCCAAACCTAATGTATTTCTTATTTTAAAGTCATATAAGGCTTAATATAAAGGCTTAATCTACATAGTTTGACACGCAAAAATCAATGATTCAAATATACACCAGTTCAAATAAAAGTAGATAAATAATTGAATTGGAAATTTATTTAAATACCGTTCATAGAGAGCACGTTTTACCGATGCAAACTCCGAATCCCGACAAAACTTGATAGAACATACTTAGCGTTCAGCGGTCGTGACGTATGAAAGTATAAATCTCTCGGTCTAGCACTTAAACGGCCCCTTTCGTTTATGTGCTCCTGGTAATTCTAGGTACAAATATACCGGGCTCGACTGGATATCGGTCTCGATTTTAGACTAAGTCTAGAATCTCATCATGTTATTCAGGGTCTAAGGAGACTGATAACGGAACAAAGTTTCTACAGACCAAGTAAAGTCCATGGGCGACGGTAACCACTCACCATCAGGAGGGCCGTCTGCTCGTCTGCCTACAAGGGCAATAAAAAAAAAAAAAAAAAAATACAATACGTTTACTGCTTTTGCGTAACTCGTCATAGGATACATTGT